TTATTACTAGTCTTCAAGTATTCTTCATCTTCTTTGGTCTTTCATGCATAGATCCAAGAGTTTCTTAAAGGGGATAGAGCTGCAGTTCGTCAGATCTCAGAGGCAGATGTGCCATCACGTGTGAGGGGCGTGTTGAAGGAGAGGTTTTTGAAAAGGGTAATAGAAGAGCCGTCTTTGGCATATTCGATTAATACTTCATTGTCATTGATGGGATAAGTGACAGGGTCATCAACCTTTCGAAGGAAAGTTGGTTCAGTGGGAATGTCATCCCAGACATCATTTTTGGTATTGTATTAGGGTAACAGATCTTCATCAGGATCTGGCCAAAGAGGTGGAAGTGGTTCTTCTTCTTTCTTCTTTTCTTTTTGATGTTCAAGAGTTCTTTTCCCATTTATGGGAAGTGGAGCATAGACAGGTTTGAATTGCTCAGGGTCTTCCTCTTCTTCGATTGTGACTTTCTTGCAAGGTGAAGGAATGAAGCCCCATTTCTTCTTGAATACTTCTTCTAGTTGGAGTGATCTGGGAGTAGAAGGAAGTTGAAGGGTGTCTTTAGCCCAGTTGATGTCAGGATTCATGGCAGAAAGCCAGGGTTTCCTAAGAAGGATCATATTGTTGTTGCTCATGTTCATGACATTGAATTTTCCAATCATGAGTCAATCATCAATCTTGATTGCAAGATGGCAATAATGGGTGATGGGGCCTTTGGAGATCTTTCCATCAGCGGTTCAGATAGGGAAGGGTGTTTCGAAGTGGTGTGTCTTTATTCTGTGTTTTCTTACAAGCATCCAATGGATGAATGTGGCAGCTGCACCACAATCAACAACAGTGGTGGTTTGCAATGATTTATTGGGGTGTACAGAGGAAAAGATGGTTGCCAGGACCCTTAATTCTTTAGTTTTTCCTACACTGTGTGCAATATGTACATTGATACAAGGAGTGGCTAACATTGTGGTAGGCTCCTGGTTCAAAAATCCATTCTTCTAGCATTAAGATCTTCTTCATCATTGAGACCTTTGATCTTGCTGGTGTCTTCTTCTTTAGGTGCTGTACACCTTACCATCTGCTTTCCTTTATAGTTATTCTTTCTGGCATCTCCATTTCAGGGGTGGAATTCTTGGTCATTAGATCTGTGACCAACCTTTCCGCAGGAGAAGCATTTCCCTTGCTTCATGTATTCCTTCTTCTCAGCCTCAGAGAGGTGATTGATGTTCATAGCATTAGGGTCATTGTTTCTAGGGGTGAAATGCAGAGTGGATTGTTGGTCATTGAAACAGGTGTTTTTATTGTTGTTCTGGGGTCTGTGGGAAAGGAGAAGCTGATAGGAGTTTTCGATGGATATCACCTTCTTGACTATTCTGTCAAGGGTGTCAGGGATTTCTCTAGAATTGCAGAGTTTTGTGATAAGTGGCTGTTTAAGGCTTCGGAGGAAGTAATCTTTCTGAGCATTGAAGCTGTAGATCTCAGCTTGGTTACAGAGCTGTTGGAATGTGGCTATGTACTCACTTAAGTCATTGCCTTGTTTAAGGGCATGGAGCTTGTGAAGCGCAGTACCACTATGAGCCCCTTATCAGTAGAAATAGCAAGTATGCACACTAGCTCAAACCTCCGGCCTATTTTTAACTGATCTTTGGCATAAAAAGCATATATATATGCACAACTGATGATATATAAGCAGGTTGGATCACATGTGCAATGGTAAAGTACTAAAAAACATCCAAAAAGTCAAAAATGCGATTTTCCATATTTTTGTTCCTGTTGAAGGACCCTATAGGTTTCCTGTGGTAGCTAGGTGACAGATATACTCTAAATATGCATAGAAATAGACCCCCTACCATCCTTGAGGTCCGGTCCTACAGGAAATTTTTTCACAGGGGGTAAACCACCAGGAGAGGGTAGGTATACTGCATCACAGGGTCTTGTCCTATGGTCCTGGACTCCTGATACATTGTTCCTACTGATGAATAGATGTTGTGGATACATTTTACAAGTATATCCACTCAGAAATAAATGAATGGGGACATATTTTGTGTTTTCCTATATATAAGCTATATCTATTGATGTAGGGTGCTTCAGGGGGCAAAATAAAGATTGGAATCTCTTTATATATACTACTACACATGTTCTGAATGCCATGGAACACTTCCCTATCAAAGGAGCAAAAATGCGAAAATGTTCTGTACCCTTGGCTATGTTGAAAGGGCCCTGGAGGAGGAATAGGCACACAAATAATAATAAAAAAACGATTTATTATCCTATATTATACATGTATACACCAAACTACTACTTATATATGAAGGGGGAGCTATTGTGGTGTGGTGGTGAAGCTGCAGTGAGGTGGGGAGGGTGTGGGAACAATTGAAATTGTGGGGTATACCATATTGGGTGATGTTTTGGGTGTTGTAGTGTAATTTCCACACTGTGTGGCTGAAAAATGCGAAAGTGCGGAGTGTGGGAATAATGTGGGGAAGCCCTGATATGAGGAAGTGACCAAAATAGGATGTATTTTGTGAATTTCCGCTTTTGGAAGCCAAAATTGCGGTCATACCATAGGAATATATCCCCTACCAAATCTGGAATGTATCTTGACATTTGAAAAATAGCTGAGTTTCAAAATGCGAAAAACGCGGCTCTGATATCTGGTGAGAATGGATATATCCCAGCTGGGTGGATAACTAGACTTAAAGATGTATCACACTTTTAGGGCTATACTGTAGAGCTATGACACTAGGTTCGTCACGTGCAGCGTGTGATTATGTCATACTCAGTGTCACTGGTTCAAATGTCCATGTGACCTGTGACCACACCCAAATAGATTTGCCTGCAGATGCTTCACCACTTGCAACCATATGACATGCCACTGCTTTGTGATTGTGACAACTTGCTTCAGGATTCACCTCACATAGTGCTAATGATGGTAACAAGTGGACTTGGAGACTCTGTGGCCTTAAAGCCTGCCAGGTGAGTCTATGATCCATTTTCAAGTGCCTGTCATTCTGACATGCTGCTTCATTTCTCATTTACTCGCATTGTCGAATCTTGATGCATGGAGCTAAATCCTATTTCAAAGGCATTCTTCATGTGTAAGGCTGGGGAGAAGTTCAATCTCTCATTTGCGAGTCTCACAAGTCGGGAGGCATTGCAATATTTACGCAATGTTCAGAAGAATGATCCAGCTGGATGGGTGAGGATTACTACTGCTCAGTACAAGACTGATGGTGTTGAACGGGCAACAAATTCCGAGTCAGAGGACAAGGCTAGTACTAATGCTATCGGAGTCAAATCCCCATTCAATGATGCCAGCAAGCATGATCTTGATGCCAGTGACATGCCAATGGATGCACTTCTTGACCATATGGCTTCCAGGGGTGAACAGGTCCATTCTGACTGCCATATCAATGCAGATGGTGGACTTTCGTGTGCAAACCACTCTGAAGTCTATGATGTGGGTGACATTGCTGCTGAAGATATGGAAGGTGGCTTGAACAGTGTTCTGAAGGTTGATTATGGGCATGGAAAGTGTAGATGCATCACAAATTTGATGTATAATGATTTTTGGTCCCATTAGTGCACAACCTATGTTTTTCCTATGTTTTTTTTCTGAATGTCACAAATTAGCTTCGTCCCACCAAAATTCATGTGATGGTCACACCAAATAGATTCGATTCATCAAGGGCTGTGACCTGTGATGAACCTAGTGTCATAGCTCTACAGTAGTCCATTTAGATATATCCTTCTACCTGCATCCTGTGACATCATATAACAAAAAATCTCTTGTTCATAATATTCCAACTAGGCAGGCTGCTAATGCTACTCAAGCCACCAAATTCATTAATGACATCATCTACACTGCTCTCTCCACTCAAATAGTCAGGGGTACTCTAAAGGCAGCCAATCTTAAAGCTGTAAACAGGCAGAAAAGCCTTTCCTGTCTTCAGCCTATATAAGAAGGAGATTGGCCTTTACTTTAAAGCCTCAATATTGGACTGTTGAGGACTGGAATAGGGCTACCTGGTCAGATGAAACAAAAATCGATAGGATGGCATCACTCCCGCCTCCCCCAGTGACATCATGCAATTATGGCATGGTGCCACCATCAATGCAACCATCTACGCCCTATGGCAACCTCCTACCACCTCCTGCTACACACCAACACAGCCCCCTTCCATTAATATCCTGCTGTTGCCTGTTACCCCACACGTCCAACCTCATGCTCATGCTAACCTGGTGCTGCCCCCACGACTTACCACAGTCTCCTGTGTTCCTACTTTGACCTTCTGCACCTTCCTGTCACCCTTGAGTGATCACTTGCTCCATCAATCTACTGCACTTCCACAGCCCCACATTCCAAGTGTAACGCCATGCCTGATACATCAACACAGACCCTTCCTCGCCCTTCCATGAATCTGGTGTTGCATGCCCAACCATGACCTTTCTCGTACTGCCAGTAACCTTGCACTGCCACCACGACCTACCTGTGATATCTCGTTCTTTCCCCAGTTGGTATCCTGGTTCTGCGCTCTTGATCTCGTTCCCTTCACACTACTCGTACCTGTGTGCATTTGATCTATTTTATTGCATATTGCATGTCATATGATCAGATGTGATTATAATATTGTTAACGTGAGCATTGACTGGAAATGAGTGTTGAGTGCTTGCTCAGTTCGCAAGTACCACTCAAACGACACATGCATTTTTCAAGGAATGGGCGTTATTGAAGCAGATGCATGTATTTTGTGTATATCAATTTACAAAAGCTATAGACGACACGTAAAAGCATATGGAAGACGGATGGTGCACAGCGGGAGGAACTATTGTGGGTGGCGATGTATGCCCTCTCGCTTGGAGGAAGGCTGGACTTCACGTAGCGCTGCATAAAAATCGTCCGAAGTAATGCAGAGAGGGGCGAGCTGAACGGGTGTGAGGGGAGAGGCATGTGTACTGAGGAAATGCAAAATGGGAGAAGTAGAGAGCCGGGACGCTAGAGAGAGAAAAGGGATTAGTACTATACTTGGCGCGGTATCGGCTGGGGGCGTTCGTGACGGATCCACTGCCACGGGAGTATCTTGGCCGATGTGTTCTGGTGCTTCCAGAAGGACGAGCGTGTCGTTTGTGAGTTGTTTGAAGATATGTTTGACAGCGATGAGGCTCCGACGCCAGCTGCGCCTGTTAACGCAGATAGATCTGCCCCTACGTAGCCAGGCGTGGCTTTGGCAAAGGCAGCGGAGTTGAAATCGCCGTCTAGCTGGACTTGTGCATATAGTACTCGTAGAATTCTGCCAAAGCTTGAAATGGATGATGACACCGACGGGCTTACTTTTTCGGGCCTCCTCATCCAGGGCATCCATGCTTATCTCGTGGTCGAGTCGGCCTGCGCTTCGGAAAACAGCATCTAACGAGTCTGGTCGGTTTGTGGCCCTAGTGACAACCACAGGCTTATCTTCAATCTTCTCCCAAGTACGGGTCAGGTTAGAACATGTGGTAGAAAAAATGATGTAAAAATACCATCCATGCACGTCAGGAACTGCACGACTATGCATCTCATTCTGGGCACTCACTCGTTTTGGAGTGATAGTGTCGATCTAGTTGGTGAAAAGTAGACGCGGAACAACACGCTGGGGATAATGACTGAAATTAAAAAACACCATGCGGAATACAATATGTACCTTAGCTTCGTCAAATGTATCTTGTAGTGTGTTTTCGGACTCTCCAGACAAGCCAGACACTATGAATGGAGCAGGTATACCAGTGATAACGGGAACACCAAGCTCCTGCATACAATCAGTCAACTTACAAACGGACCAATGGGCGCACTCACCCCGGCTATTGTATTTGCTAGAAGGGTCTTGCCGCACCCCGGAGGATCATAAACACCACCTGGAGGCTGCACATCAGTGTGCAGATATATTTCCAGATGACAGAGGCATGTCGGCGACAAGCTCCAGCATCTTTTCCATGCACGCATCTGCAACACCTAGATGAGAGCATGGGACAAACGAGTAGCATGGGGAGTGTCATCCTTCGCTACGGAATTGGTAGATAGATTGGGTCGTTGACCAATGTCTTCCACTGTTAACGGGCTAGCGCAATTTTCGCTTTGAGGAAGGGGGACAAGCATCGGGGCGGGTTACTTCATTCGTAGCGGGTGCTGTGGAAAATCGAGGAAGAATCGAGGTCCCTGGTTCGACTGGGTTTTCCAACACGGATAGTGGTTTGCATCTTCTGGAAGAGGGGTCTTGACAAGCGTGTTTAGCAGAAGCGCAGAAGGAGCATTTAAATTGAAATGGTGTATTGTTCACAAGTACGACTCATACGTGATATCAACAGGGTTAAATGAATGTGATGAAATATGTACGTAACGAATTCTTAAGTAAGGTCCGAATGTTCTTGTGGGTATGTTAATGAGGACCCGGGTATATGATCTTCTTGAAGGACTGTAGTTAGTTGGTCGTAGCATTGGTGTACTCAGTGGTGGCGAGCCCGACTCGGGAGTTCGTCGTATCATACACCGAGTAAAACCGCTCGCTGTGAAAGAACAATTCAGCAATTTATTTTTCCGACAAAAAAAGTAGCTCAGCGCACAGGAAACAGTAGCCATTTGTGAAATCCAAACCAGAACCAGAGGAGCTCCCAGTGGAACTGATAACCAGGTATATACTGTCGGTGGTACCACCAATGGCGCTGTTCAGCGATCGAGGCCAGATTTGTGCATTTGGGGTAAGCTCATAGGTAACGCCACCAATAGTGAAATACAAGGATGAGAGCTGGTCGTACTGCTCAGATGTGATCGTTAACAATTCAGTGCTCTCATCCAACGTTGCTCCCGTAGCAGACTGGTATTTGTCGAAGGCGTCTGAACAGTGGGTTAGAGGGGCTTTGATGTCTTACAGGACACCTACCAGAGGCAATGAGAATGAAGGTGGTTCCAGTATCGACGATACCAGCTGTCTCATCCAAAATCACCGTGTCCCCATAGCTGATGGATTGATCGATGCCCCAATATGTATTCGCTGGAGATGTTGATGTGATTGGCACATAATTGACGTCTCCAGTAATTTTGGAGGCGTTATAACCACCAAACGTGAGCTCGCCGCTGCTATCGTTAGAGGAAGCAGGTGCGAAGAACACTCCGAGTACTTCTGAACTAATTTTTCGCTGCGCATAGAGGTTGTCCGTCACAGTTGGAACTTCATATGCATTACTGACGGTGCCCTGCGTCAAATCAACCGGTCCAAGGCCAAGAATCCCGTCCGGACCATCTAGCCCTGAGGTTAGATATGAAAATGCAGTTGCGACGCCAATAGATTGGTTGTCGATGACCAGATCAGAGTTGAACGTTACGGTGTCTGTATATTCCTCTCCAAGAACATAAGCCTGACCAGACCCGTATGCAACATACTGGAAACGGTTTGACAACATGTGTGCCACGTAGAAACAGATACTCACGAATATACCGCCTGTATCATGGCTCGTGGAAGTCTTCTGGTAAGCCTTATTGGCCCCGATCCAGGTGTTTGAGCTTCCGGTGTCTACCAGGAGTGTGTCTGTATGAAATTCACAATGCGTCAGACAAAGAAATCGCAGGAGCACGAGCAGCTTACAGTACGTTGCTGGACTCCCCACACCAATGTCAGCAGTGTATATCGTCACGGCATTGGTTGCATTGACGGAAGAGCTGCCGCGAGCTTGTAAGGTTTGGATTCGAGCTCGATCTGCAGCCGCGACGTTCTTGATCCCGTACGAGTTTATTCTAACAGCGAGCTTGAGAGTAGCTGTGCTTGACGCTACCCGAGCATGAGGCAAAGCGCTCGCTGACAGCGAGAGGAAGGCAAGCGCCGGCAGGGCAAGAATACATGAAAGCGATCTGGAGGGAACCATCTTCCTGAGCCATCCTTCCTAGCTGGGCCTTTTTATATGGCGGTCGGTATTCATACATCAGAACGTTATTCGGGCGTCAGCATCGGAGGCAAGTCGAAGTGACTACGTTAGCTTGAAATGTGACCAGGCCCGGGGCTCATTGCGTGGAGATACGTTCGAGTCCTATAAAATCTACCCATACAGGAAATGAGTGTCGGTTAGTAAGTACTTGGTAGCTGCAATGGAAGTCTGGCAACGACCTTTGAATGGCCTGCAGGATTTTACTACAGAACCTGTGTGGCAGAACTTCGCCTTCTTCCAATGAGAACTTAGAAGCGCGTGACTCATTTGACCACATTGTTTACATAACGTTCTGATTTGAAGTTCACATTACAGGCTACAATGTAGATACCACAAGGACTTCTCGTCATCTACCACGTACGACGACAGCCCCCTTTTCACCGCGTAACGTACACTCAAACCCTGGTGTTACACACCCGGCCATCACCTTTCTTGTGTTACTGCTAACCTGGCACTGCCGCCGTGACCCACAGCAGTCTCCCACTGCTCACTTCGACCTCTCGTTCCTTCTAAGTTCTTGTCATTCTCGGCACCTCACATAATCTCAAGATATCACTATCGACATCACTATCGTACGTACTCATCCTTTTCTTTTACACACGCAATTACTCTTCGTTACATGCCTCATACACGTTCTCCTTTGATTCTTCGTCTCAATCAGCGCATTAATACCTCCCCCCGTCGAATATCGTTCTTTAGTCTTTTGACTCGATACAAAGTCCCGTTCCCATTCCTAGTCCGAGCCTCTCGATTCGCCATATAATCGTCGTTCTTGCCTCCTGGTTTCTGCGCATTTTACCTCGCTCCCTTTACACTATCCACACCTATATACATTTCATCTATTTTATTGCATATTGCATATCATATGGTCGGATGTGAACATAACGATACTATTCACTCGAGCATTGTCTGGAATTGAGTATTGAGTGTTTGCTCTGCGCAAGCACCACCCAAACGGCATGCATTCTTCACCATAGAATAGGCGGTTAAGCAGATACAGCCATCTACAAAAGCAATAAACGATACAAGAGAAGTATATGGAAGAGGGACGGTGTACGGCGGGAGAAAATATTGTGAGCGGCGATGCGCCTGAACTTCACGTAACGCGGCATAAAATCATCCAAAGCAATGTAGAGAGGGGCGAGCTGAGCGGATGTGAGGGGAGTGACGTCCACCGAGGGTGCTGTCTGTGAGTTGTTTGAAGATCCGTTTGACGGCGATGACGCCCGCTGCACCTGTTAACACTAATAGATCTGCCCTACGTAGCCAGGCGTGGCTTTTGCAAAGCAACGAAGTTGAACTTCGTCGCCGTCCAGCAGTGGTTTTGCGCACAGTACTCGCAGAATTCTGTGTCAAAGCTTGAAATGGACAAAGGGTAGATGGCACTAACGGGCTGACTTGTTTCGGGCCTCTACGTACGGGACGCCCATGCTTATCTTGTGGTCGAATCGGCCTGCGCGACGGAGAACAGTATTTAATAAGTATGGTCGGTTTGTGTCCCCGATGACGATCACTGGCTTATCTTCGGTCTTCTCCCAAGTACGCGTGAGGTTAGAACATGTGGCAGAAAAAATACCATCCATGCACGTCGGGAACTGCGCGACTGTGCGTCGTTTCATCTCCCTTTGGGCACTCTCTCGTTGTGGAGTGATAGAGTCGATCTCGTTGGTGAATAGTTATAGTAGACATTGAGTAACACGCTGAGGGTAACGATTGGGATTAAATATCATGGGGAATATGAGACGTACCTTAGTCTCATCAAATGTATCCCGTAATGTATTTTCAGATACTCCAAACATGCCAGACACTACAAACGAAGCAGAGGTGGTGATATTGAAGGGAACGCCAAGCTCCTGCACACAATCAGTCAACCTCAAACGAACCGGTGGGTGTACACACCCTAGCTATCGCATTCGCTACTGGTAGAAGGGTCTTACCGCAGTGCGCACCCCGAGGGCCATGCAGTAAATTACCACGTGGAGGCTGCAGTGCTGCACACCATTCCGGATGATAGAGGCATGGGGACAAGCTCAGGCATCTTTCCACACATGCTTCTACACCACCTAGATCAGACAATTGAGACCATCGAGTAGCAGGGGGGTGTAATCCTCTGCTATGGAAGACCACGCTCCCCCTGCTGCTCGATTGTCTAATCTAGGTTACTGTCTTCTGCCGTTGATCGGGCTGAGCGCAATTTTCGAAATTTGGGGAAGGGGGACGAGTGTCGGGCGAGGTTGCTTCATTCGTAATGGGTGCCGAAGTGGACTCTGTTATTGCGTACGCTGGACTCTATAGCGTGGAGATGATGATGCGCCCACTCTTCCCGAGACTCTAACTCTATCCCTGCTAACTCTGCTCTAAACGCTGCCAAACCTCTTCGCCACCTGACTTCCTCCCTAGGGGTCCCCTACTCCAGTGCTATGGAAGATGCAGGAAGAATCGAGGTCCCTGGTTCAACTGGATTTTCTACGGGTACTCAGTTGGTTTGCATCTTCTGGAGGGGTTTCGACAGGCGTATTTGGCGGAAACAGAACAACTACATCTAATTTGAGATAAGTATAGTGTCTTTGTTCACGAGTACGACTCGTACGTGATATCAACAGGGTTAAATGAATGTCATGAAATATACAAGCAACGAATATTCTTGGGGGTATGTTAATATGGCCCCGGGTATGCGATCTTCTCGAAGGACTGTGGCTAATTTGTCGTAGCATCGGTGTACTCAGTGGTGGCGAACCCGACTCGGGAGTTCTCCGTGTCATACACTGAGTAAAACCGCTCGCTGTGGAAGAATAATTCAGTAATTTATTTTTCCGGCAAAAAATGTAGCTCAGCGTACAGGAAACAGTAGCCGTTGGCAAAATCCAAGCCAGAACCAGAGGGGCTCCCATTGTCAGCAACGATCAGGTATATGCCGTCGGTGGTACCGTTAATGGCGGTGTTCAGTGATCGGGGCCAGATTTGAGCATTTGGGGTAAGCTCATAAGTGACCCCACCAATGGTGAAATACAAGGATGAGAGCTGGTCGTACTGATCAGATGAGATTTGTAACAAGCAAGTGCTCTCATTCGGGGTTGCTCCCGTAGCAGACTGATATGTGCTGAAGGCATCTGAACAATGGATTAGAAGGATTTTGATGTCGTACAGGACACCTACCAGAGGCAATGAGAATGAGGGTAGTCCCGGTATCGACGCTACCGGCTGTCTGACTCAAAATCTCGGTGTCCCCATAAGTGATGGATTGGTCAATGCCCCAATAACTGCTCGCTGGAGATGTCGATGTGATCGACACATAATTGACGTCTCCAGTAATTTTGGAGGCATCATAACCGCCGAATGTGAGCTCGCCGCTGGTATCGTCAGAGGAAGCGGGTGCGAAGAATACTCCCAGTACTTCCGAATTAATGGACCCCTGCGCATAGAGGTTGTCCATCACAGTTGGAACTGTATCAGCATTACTGACGGTGCCACGTGTTAAATTAACTGGTCCAAGGCCAAGGAGTCCATCCACATCACCCAGCCCTGGATCAGTGGATGCGACGCCAATGGACTGGTTGTAGATGACCAGATCAGAGTTGAGCGTTACATAGTCTAGGTATTCCTCCCCAGAAGCGTATTTCGGATTGTTCTCATCACCATATCAAACTTTCTGGAAACGATTCGACAAAATGTATGTGCCCCGTAGAAGTAAATACTCACGAATGTGCCGTCTGTGTCATAGCTCGTGGAAGTCTTCTGGTAAGCCTTATTAGTCCCAATCCAGGTGTTTGAGCTTCCGGTGTCTAGCAGGAATGTATCTGTATGAAATTGACAATGCGTCAGATAAAGAAATCGCAGGAGCACAAGCGGTTTACAGTACGTTGCTGGATTCCCCACGCCAATGTTAGCGGTGTATGTCGTCCCAGTATTGGTTATATTGACGGAAGAGCTGCCGTCAGCTTGTAAGGCTTGGATTCGAGCTCGATCTGCAGCCGCGATGTTCTTGATCCCGTACGAGTTTACTCTAACGGCGAGCTTCAGAGCAGCTGTGCTTGATGCCGTCCGAGCATGAGGCAAAGCGCTCGCTGATAGCGAGAGGAAGGCAAGCGCCGGCAGGGTAAGAATACATGAAAGCGATCTGGAGGGAACCATCTTCCTGAGGCATCCTTCCTAGCTGGGCCGTTTTATATGGTGGTCAGTATTAAAACATCAGAACATTATTCGGCAACGTCGGAGGCGAACAGTAACAAGGCTTCGAAGTGACGAGTGTCGAGCACCCTGTTATGACTCCAGGCTAGTTCGGTTCCCCTAATTGCCTTCTGGCAAAGAGTACTAGTCCTTGAATTGATATGTGATATCGTCAAGTATACCTTGAAGCGAATATGTTGGGGTGTCCTAAGATCTTGAACCAGGGTGTTTGGACTTTTCCAGAAGTAGTTGAGGGAACCGAGGTAGCTCGGAATCATGACAGGGTGTTAGACTCGGACTAGACCTTGATCCTTGTCATAGCATCCCTCATCATATATGCCAGTCATGTCACAGTTTGTCTGCACATAGACTGTACGATGAAGGGAATCAAGATATGAAAGGACTAGGGGGGCGGGTGAAAGCCAGATGAGGAGTGTAAAGATACCTCCCTGTACCGCGGGTTTAGACCGTCTCTATCTGTTATGAAGTGGATCAAGAATGACCTCGAAATTCATGTTAATACTTACCCGATGAAGTGAATCACGCATGTGTCACAGGAGTGCCAAATATCATCGTCTCATTATCATGTCGATACCATCAACAGCTCAAGTCTAATCGACATCCTTCCCCGCTCGCACAGGAAGGCCAGCAAACTTGGCTCGCAGCGCTTCATACTTCCTCCGTTGCACAGTAGACACACTGGGACCAACCTTATCCTGAGCCCTAACGAAATCCTCCAATACAACAACCACTCGTGGCTGATTCTCTACCAAACCTCCACCACTGTCATCCATCTGGTCAAGCGCACCGAGGACGCGTCTCAGTGCCACAACGCCTGCCTCCCGAACGACAGCTGCCAGGTCCGCACCACTGTACCCATCACATTTCTCCCGCACGATGCATTCCGCACCCTGCAGGATCGTCTCGGCACCTGGTTCTGTAGGCGCGAATGGGACTTTGCGCACTAGCGTCCGTAAGACTTCGACGCGTTCGTCGGTGCTTGGTAGGTCAACGTAGAGGAGCTTGTCGAGACGCCCTGGGCGAACCATAGCTGGGTCGATCATATCGGGACGGTTCGTTGCGGCGATGACGTAGACAGCTTTGCGGGAGTCAAGTCCGTCTAGCTCCGTGAGTAGCGTATTCACAACGCGTGCGGAAGATTCTGACTGTTAAGATGGGAATGTGAGATAGAGATTGGGGCGAAAAATGAAAGGTGCGTACCATGCTTTCATCTCTCCGAGGGACGAGAGCGTCTAGCTCATCGAAGAAGATCACGCAGGGAGATGAGGCACGGGCACGAGAGAACACCTGTCTCACAGCTCTCTCGCTCTCGCCGACATACTGCGCTCCCATTAGCAATTTTTTCACTCGAGATAGAACGTGACTGACTTTGTTTAAAAGCTCAGGGCCCTTGACGCTGATGAAATTTGCCCTGGACTCATTTGCAACAGCTTTCGCCAGTAAGGTCTTTCCGCATCCCGGCGGACCCCACAGCAGCACACCGCACGCTGCCTCGATGCCTACAGCACTGAACAGCTCAGGGCGTCTGATAGGCTGCACGATTGCCATGTGCAGCTCTTCACGTGTGCCATGCAGCGCGCCGATATCGGCCCACGTCACATCTGGCACGGTTGCAAATCCCTCTCGCTTGGAGGAAGGCTGAACTTCACGTAGCGCGGCGTAAAAATCATCCGAAGTAATGCAGAGAGGGGCAAGCTGAGCGGGTGTGAGGGGAGAGGGATGTGCACTGAGGAAGTGCGCGATGGAAGAAGTAGAGAGTTGGGATGCTAGAGAGAAAAAAGGCATTATGCTTGGTGTCGTATCGGCTGGGGGCGTTGGTGGCGAATCCACGGCCATGATATCCTGGCCGATATTTTCTGATGCCTCTGGAAGGACGAGTGTGCCATCTGTGAGTTGTTTGAAGATGCGCTTGACGGCGATGACGCCCGCTGCGCCTGTTAACGCTGATAGATCTGCGCCTACGTAGCCAGGCGTAGCTTTGGCAAAGGCAGCAAAGTCAAAGTCGCCGTCAAGCCGAAGTTTTGCGCATAGTACTCGCAGAATTCTGCCGAGGTTTGAAATGGACAAAGAATAGTATGACACTACGAGCTTACTTGCTTCGGGCCTCCTCATCCGGGACGCCCATGCTTATCTCGTGGTCGAATCGGCCTGCACGACGGAGAGCAGCATCTAACGAGTCTGGTCGGTTTGTGGCACCAATGACGATCACTGGCTTATTTTCAGTCTTCTCCCAAGACATATCTGCACGTGTCAGGTTAGAGGATGTTGTAGAGAAAAATGATATGAAAATACCATCCATGCAGGTTAGGAACTGTGCGACTATGCGTCGTTCCATCTCCCTCTGGGCACTTTCTCGTTTTGGAGTGATAGCATCGATTTCGTCGATAAACAGTAAACATGGAGCAACACGCTAGGGGTGACGATTAGCATGTAAAAAAAATCATGCGGAATATGAGATGTACCTTAGCCTCGTCAAATGTATCCCGTAGTGTTTTTTCGGACTCTCCAGACATGCCGGACACAATAGAAGGAGCAGATATGCTGATAAAGGGAACACCCAGCTCCTGCACGCGATCAGTCAACTTCCAAACCAACCAATAAGCGCACTCACCCCGGCAATTGCATTCGCTAGAAGGGTTTTGCCACACCCCGGAGGGCCATGCAGCAAAACACCACGCGGAGGCTGCACACCAGTGTGCAGATAAATTTCCGGATGACAGAGAGGCATGGCAACGAGCTCCAGCATCTTTTCCACGCATGCTTCTACACCACCGAGATCAGACAATCGTGTGGTAGGGGGGGTATGATCTTTCGCTATTGCATTCGTAGATAGCTTGGGTCGTTTACTATTGTCTTCTGCCGTTGAACGGGCTGAGCGTAATTTTCTCTTTGAGGAAGGGGGACGAGTGTCGGGCGAGGTTACATCATTCGTAGCGGGTGCTGTGGAAGATGGAGGAACAATCGAGGTCCCTGGTTCAACTGGATTTTCTAACACGGGTAGTTGATTTGCATCTTCTGGAGGAGGGGTCTCGACAGGCGTGTTTAGCGGAAGAAGAGTAGGAGCATTTAAATTGAGCTTCGCCTTTCTGTGGGTGGACCATAAACTTTGCATGGACTTGTTCAAAGCATTTGAACCCTGTCTGATCCATTGCGGTTACAATCTGTTCAATGACTTCAAATCATGAAACGTACATCCATTACAACTTTTTGAGTTGAGAGAAACTATCAGTGCACAGCCACCGAAACATTGTAACTTGCATTATGTAAGTATCTTTAAGCACGACTACAGAGTACTAGGAGGATGCTAAGACGTGATCCTGTTAACGGGGGGGGAGCTAACATACTAAAAATGCGAGAAAATATATTCAAGCTCAAGTCGCAGAACAAATCCAAGCCCAGCATCAAGCAACGATGACCTGCGGGTCCAGTAGCTCTCCGTCCTCGACCTGTTGTAGCGCCGCTTCTCTGTGAGCTATAGCCCTCTTCCTACTTCATTCCATGGCCTCTTCACTCCGCTTTCCCCTACGCATCTTCCGAGGAAGTTCGACGTCCAGCAATCACCTCAACCAATGCATCTTCCGCAGCGATGACCTGAGCCTGAGACTCATCAACTTTTGGCGGTGTATCGACCACATCCGAGTCCAGCAGCTTTCCTTCCTTGCGTTGTAGTAGAGCCGCTTGTTTTGCTTCTCTTGCTTCTCTATGAGCTATCGCCTTCTTCCTCTTTCGTTCCAAGGCTTCCTCGCTCCGCATCCCTCTACGCGTCTTCTTCTTCGTTGTCCCCGACTTGTATGGATCACCGTCATAAGGAACTTCGACGAGCTTTTTAGCTCTGGGCATCGGAAGTGTTCTAGGCTTCTGGTAGTATGTGTGCAGTTAACTTTACCTACATTATGCAACATTTTGGTACTCGGTGACCTCCGTTATTAACTCATAGATGCCGCAAAAAGGTCACGTCTCATCCTGATAACACCAGTGCATTAAGAGGGAATCGAACCCCCGGCGGGTCGATGGCAACGACCCAGGTTACCACTACCCCATTAATGCCCATCATTTTCTGTAGACTTTTGCCATCTTTCAGTGTGGTCAGACTAGATAGTACAATAATACACTACAAGAGATCTGGCACTCGAACGCACATCAACAGCCCGCTATCCTCGTGCTTTTCTTCCTGCCTTTCTTGCCCACATTCTCCTCCCCAAGTAAAGCCATCAGCTTCCGCTTCTCCGCCTCCTGCCCAGGATCCTCATACGTCACGCGCAGACTATCCTCACTCGGACGCACGCTCCCGTCCAGCAGGCTCATCGCGTCATAATACATGGGCTGCGGAAGTGGTACAAGTCGTGTCGAAGGTTCCCTAGTGATGGTCTCGCGTGATTCTTGCCGAGATTGCACCTACAAATAATGAATGAAAAACAAAAGAATTCTATAGACTGCCAACGAACCTTGGGGCGCGGCAGTGGGCGCGGCCGTTTGCCCTTCCGTTGTTCCGGGCGCATAACATCATCTTCTGATACCTGCCTCTTCCCAAGCAGCGTTGTCAGGCTTTCTTGTAGCTCGCGGGCAACGTCTCTTGGATGAGGCACTCGCACTGGTGAGGGTTCGCACGTCAGCCGCGCATCTGAGCTTGGGGGGAGCTTCATTGGCGAGGGTGAAGTGGAGGAGGGTATGCGTCCGTTAGTATCCAGGGAGGGGACCGGAGGATTGAAGTCTTCAGATGGTAATCGAGGTCTTCGGCGTGCAGGGGGCAGAGTGACATATTCAAGTGGGGGTGAGCTACTCTGCGGTGGCAGAGGAGGCGGAGAAGATGAGAACCGCGCCCCATCGTCGGGCTCACATTGTGGCAGAGCATCGTCAAGCGAGCCATTTGATTCGCCGAAGAACGTGGCCGGAGGGGCATGCTCGATGTCAGGGAGAGTAGGCGTTCGGAGATCTTGCAAGAGATTTGGCTTCTTTACGAAAAACGGAGGGACGGGCTTGCCTGTGACAATAAAACAATCAAATTGACGTCAAATGTTGGTCGATACTCTGGCCTACTTTTAACATTGGTAGTGTCCACCATCTGCATATCCTTCGCCTTACCCTTTGCCACTCGGTTGCCAACGTCGCCAATGAGATATTCGCTGATGTCAGGTACTTTACCCTCCGTCGCCATATCCTCCAACCATGCCATGCCCACGACGGGGATGTTCCACTCTTTTGCCTTGTCATACTTGGCACCACAACCACTCGGACAAAGTAGGTGCGTCGAACGTCGGGAGAATACCTGAGCAAGTGTTATGCCCAATGCCCGCAGCAGACGCTTCGTCCAGCATAACTCAGACTGATCAAGTCCAGAAAGGCTGAGAATAATTTGTTCGGTGTCTGTGATCATGTTAGCGCGTATAAAATGAGTGAAGGCAGCCATAACACGTACCAGACATTGGACAGGGGAGGCTAAGAGGCCTGAATGATATATTTTCTTGCGGCCCACATATTCGCTCTTGGAAGACCGAGTGTTCGAGCCAACATTCTGTGCGATATTTGACGCGCAATGTCTCATCAGGTTCGTTCTGGTAGAGTTTGCTCCCACTAAATAATCCGCTGCATAAGATGCCCCGTGCATACAAGAAATTCAAAGCTCACCTAATGAGTCGTACCACAATGAAATCGACATCATCAGTATCTTCGTCCATGACCACGCCTCCCCCACGGTCGATAGCATTGCGTACATTCACGCACTTCGCTTCCCCAAGTAGACGGAAGCGATAACCCGCAAAGAGTGTCGCCGTCGAAGAATCCTCCACATCAGGTCGGCGAGGTGCTTCGCTCCCCTCTGCGTCCTCAGGCCCCAGAGCTGCAATGGTGGTTGTCCGCCTGAATGGCTGGCGCATCATCGGCTCCTTCGCGGGCGGCGCAAATGACTTGGCGCGTTTGAATGACGAGATCACGGATTTCCCCTGAGGTTCTATCTCCTTATCTGCAGCTCTCGTTTGCACATCGGGCATGAGACGTGCTGGTAATCGTGTTGGCGACATCTGCGGGCCTGCCATTGACTGTGACTTTGAAGGACTACGCACGAGCTTGTTCGCAACCGCATCGAGCTCGAAACCCCGGGGACGTAAGAGACTCCCCCAGAGCTGAAGCGTAACTGCACGGACGGGAGTGCGTGCAAGGGATGCAGGTTCCTCCTCCTCCAAAAGATCATGTTCATAGCTGGGTTTCGGTGGAACGGGGGTCCTAGGTAAATGTCCGTCGACAGGAATCGCATTCGAAGGGTGTGTGCCTGGGGCAGAGTCGTAGACTGGCATAAAGGTGGTGAGCTCTATTGTGCGTAAATGAGCTGCCAAGTTTACGGAGTAGATGTTTACTTGCCTTCATTCATAGTCTTCCTCTCTGGCCTCGGTCGCGTGACGACGTAACGTTTTTCTTCGAAGCGTCCTCCAAATTCCAAGCAATCCCAGAACCACTCCTCCCAGACGACGTGGATCTTAGGCCTCGCCTCGTTTGTTGAATTTATCAGCGTAGCGCATCTTCTCGGTCTCGTTGTCGCCCGCACAGAGTAGATGTGTCACCTTGACAGGGCGTTCAATGGCTTTGACATATGTCCCACCGTGTCTAGTGAGGGCGCGGTTTATGTTTGCGCGTTGCTCGAGGTCGTCGATACCTGATAGTGAGAGTGTGACACCGGAGAAGATGGGAGGCGGTGTGCAGAAACAGTCTGCGAACGTTAGGAGTGCGTTGTCGGCGATTATGTTGTGCTCACCTCTGCTAGGTCTACATCGTCTCCACGCAACCAAACCTGGTGTGCATCTGTGATCCACTCGGGACGCATGATAGGTATTTTGCGTTCTAACGCGCACTGCGCCCGTATGAATAGGATTAAACAAAGACAAGAGGCGTCTGAGAAGAATCTCACCGCGTACTTGGCTCCACCGTGGCTGTTTGCTAGTAAGTGAGTCACTCTGTCCGTAAAATCACTCGTAGAAGTTGCGCCGAGTTCAAATGCTTGTTTAAACAAGGTAGGCTTCCCACACACGGTTAACTTCACCGATGTCTGTAACAATCGAAGCCAGAGCCAACACACCTTGTCCATTGTACCCGTCGCGCAAAGCATAACACCCCTGAACGGTCTAGGACACAAGTCAACCATACTCGCGTTCGGAGGGACAAGTTCAGAGTCTGAGCTGTGGTCGTATGGCACGTCCATCGGTGGGCATGATGGGATCGTGGCTGAGCGGGTCTAAGTTTGACATTGGGAACCTGGATAACCGGTCTGTGTGTATGTAGTCAATGACCAAGTCTGTGCGCACCCTGTGTGATTTGTTCGACCGACGCATCTCTCCGAATAGTTTCTTCGTAAGTAATGTATTCAAAACATGAACTCAGCGTACATGGATGATCACGTGAGTAGTTTAGGGTAGGTCAGCTCGCGTCGCCTACCATACAGGCCCATCGACGTCGTGTTCTTTAAAGTTTACCATGTGCCCTCTTATTTCTGTCTTGAGCTAGGAGCAGCGTCATACATTGAGTTCATCAGTCAGTCAATTAGCTTCACAAATTGGTGCAGGGTCGATGCATGTACGATACGTTGTAGCATCGCTTTCGAGTCGCACAACCCTTATCATTTTTTGCATAGCGTGATGTCATGTAGTTATTATGGCCCGATGACTGAATTTGATGCATCAAGCTTGCATGGCTAGGATAGGGTTCCTCGACATCACGAATCACTTTTGACCTTTGTCGGTGTTTAATCATTCCGTGCGAGTGATACTAGCTCCCCAACCAAAATCTACTTTAGTTCGGTACCACGTTACTAACAATCTTACTTCATTGCGAGTCAATCAAGGGCGATAACGCACAGTCATGCTGGCGTTCGTCATTCAGGCACCAGGCAGTAGTATAATTATGAAGACAGTCATGGTTATATGTCCATCAAGTTCCCCGCTCAAACTAATACACCCTCCCTCGAAAATGACGCTAGTCTCAAATGATCCCAGTTGGTGGCCGATAATCAATTCGTTTCGTCTATCCAACTATTTTACATGTTCGTGGAGAGTTAGTCTTGTTGATGGTGTCTCATTCTAACATGGACAACGGTTTCGCAGTTGCCTCATCTACCGCGCTGATATATGATTGGGGCGAGTGAAATATTATTGCAGAACCATTGATATCCTTATGATATTTCCAGTACTAACATTCGGTCAAGAGGTTGGTTGATGCCATTACTTCGGGAGTAGCCATCTCGCTAAGAATGGTTCGATAGGTGGAACTGATCTGGGTGAGTAGACACCCGTATCAGAAGACAACACGACGGTACAATTATGTTGGCACAGGGACGACGCTGGTCTGTGATGGCTGTTCTATATCTCGGTGTAAGTGGCTTATGTTAACAGCGCAGCTGGCAAATTGTGCTGACTCTGATCTGTTCTAGGTACGCTACGTTGGAATACCATATTATATGTATGTTTGCAGGGTTGGTATGATGATGCTGTGCTAATCAGCTGTCTCACGCAATTAGCATCAATATTATGATGTGTGCGTCTCCTTTATGCCATGTATTCGTGTCTTCTGATCGGTAGCACACAGCATCTTCGGTGACGGATGCAGTGAGTATCCTACCCTGGTACTTACAATCCCTCTCCTATTAACGGTCCTCCTGTGTAGGAGTGAGTGCGATGCTTGACTAGCTTCTTGTTTCGATACAATGACCACAATAGGTGTGAGTTTCTTTGGAAACTTTGATCCCCCGAGGCCGAGGATGATTGTTAATTGGGTGTTCCAGGTATTATTTTGTATTCCACACTGAACTGGATCAATGTGATCGTAGCCGCAATGCTGGGCGGTAAGTGACCCTGCTGCATTACCTCAGTACCATTGACTGAAACATCGTATAAGTCATCATGCTCACTCGGTTACATGCCATGTATCAGAGATCCAGAAAGATGCTCATCTTTCTCACTATAATCTTTCTGGTTGTCAACATTACCTGCGGAGTGATTGCCGCAGTGATACTCAAGTATATGTCAGGGGGTAAGCTTTAGTTACATATCAAAGAATCAGGCTCGTTTGACGAATATCAGAGGAGTTCATCCTCTCCGGCACACATGCATGCATTTATATCTATAAAGCAGGCGACCTACTCCTGATCCTCATGACTTGGATACTCACCGCTATATGGGAGGTCCTCACACTGTGTCTTTCAATCTGGATTGCTGCAAAACACTTCCGTGAATTGCGACGACATTCACCGCGGGGGATTATTGGGGACTGTTTCACGGTGTTGCTAGAATCTCATGCGGTTTACTTTGCAAGGTGAATTCGTAATTTGAATGAGGTTGTCTTTTTCCGCTGAAGGGCTGCACCTATTTAGCTTTGCCGCTGTTTGTTGCTCAGCCCTCAGTCACGGTATTCAGCGCTCTCCAAAGGTCTCGGTGCGCCGATCTGTCACCAACATCTATATGTGACCACTGTTCATCATTTTTATAGGACCCAGATTCTGTGGGAGTTCAGATTTCTACCGCTATTTTTGAAATTTTCTCGTACATACAGATGTTTGTACTGGGACCACGCCTCATCCTTAGCGTGCGAGTATATCACGCAGAACTCGTGGCCAACTCTGATACAGCAACTGGCATGACTCCAATTGCATTTCAGGAGCATGACAGTAGCGTGTAGCACTGCTTTTGGGTAATCTGCAGGTATCAGGAAAATTTATTTGAATTTTCATCGTTGCAGTGGGGAGCACAGTGCGAGGAGTAGTCAACGGGAGCACAGCGCAGGGTTAGGACGAGGCAGGTGTGATAGCGCAGAGTAGACACGAGGCAAGAATCAGGGGTCTTAGAGCACACATTCGCTAGCGCAGGCAGAGGCGAGCAACGGGAGTTAGCAGCCGGGTAGCACCGTAGCTTAGTCAGCCACTCAGTGTCTTTCGGGCTTTGTAGTGCTCTTCACCACTTTGCCTTGCTCGCGACACGCAAGTCCACAGTCGCGGATACACAGTTCTACCATCATCGCATTCCTTCTTCTTTTGAGTCTCTGAGCGCTAGGTTGGCGTGTCCATCATGGTATTTCAAATAGTTTGTTTCGGTTTTGAAGGGAATTTACTCTGAACATACCAAGTTCTTTTTGTATTACTACCTAAGTAGCAGCCTACTCACCCTTACACCTAGTGACACCCTGAGATAATCTCGAACGTCTCGTTGTTGAAATTCAAGTTCGAGTTTGATTAGGGAAAGAGCGTACAATTGTCGTATCCCCCCAGTCTGTTGTTCGTTATCTCCGACCGTGCACATGTACAATCATCATTTATTCAATTTCGTTTCAGCTCCTTGCCAACTTGCAGCACACCTTGTTTGCGATACGGCAGTATGAGAAATGTCTTTGTACAATCGAGGGAGGCGTGCTGGTATATAATTATGTGCTGTGGGCGAGCTTGGATACGCCATCGTGATTGTGACATACTTATCAGTCATCAGAACAATGGCACAACCCCATGAAGAACCGGCTAGGTCAGTGCATTTTTGTTCTATGGATACTATGACTGCAAACTGGCTCTTGTATATTCGTGATGTGTTCGTCAACGAGATGCACATCCAGAAAATTCAGACACGGCCATAGCAGATATTTAAAGTCTAGCCAACATCTCGAAGCAGCTAGCAATTTCAACGAGTCCCTTTTATAAACCCTAATTTCTACCACACCACCAGCTTCTCCATGCGTAACTTGATCGCCGCCTGGTACAAGAGTACTGAGGATCTGCTCGACTACTGCGAACCTCTGCTTGTATATGGAGATGCTAAAGATAGCGCACAGCTAGCATTGTGCGTTCTCTTCCATTCACCATCTCCACTTTCGCTGCAACAACTGATTCGAAATACCATTAGTCTCAGGGGCATGAACAGCGCAGTTCATTTTCTTGAAGGACGTGTTGTTCACGACGACCAGAACAGTGTAGCCTTAGCAGAAGCATGCAACCATCAAGTAGGAAAGTTGCACTACACACTATTAGACGTGAGTCGACCGATTGTGTGGAGCGTAGGTGATAGCTTACTGTTTGCTTAGAAAGAACAAGAAGCCAAAGGTTTGAATGACCAAAGCTGGAAAAAAATACTAGCGGTCATGGAATGTAAGTGGATTTTTGATGTGATGATGGGCTACGACTGAATTACTCTGGTTTTCCAGTCCAAGAGCAAAGGAAGCTGAAGAATAGCTTGAAGGATAATACTGTAGGGCCGAAAACCGGGAAGGTCATATACCAGGAAGGCGTTGGTTTCAACCTTGATTACATTAGCACCCGTCTACTTCACCTTGCTAAAGCAAGTCCCCCAGAGATGTGACAAGCTGCGCACCGTGATACCGTAGATGGAATGACTAGGACTATCTGTAGCATATAGATGTACTTGCGATAGTATTCACATTTAGTATAGTTTGTGGATAATGGAAAGTTTAATTGCCAAGCTAGTGTCCTCGAGTATGCGTGAGCTCGCTGAGGATGAGCTGCGCCTGTCAGCCTGAACGCGATTTTCACAATACTATATTCCTTTCAGCCGAGTTAAGTCGGACTCGTGCTGAATGGCAGGTAAGTGTACACTTGAAACGTACTCTAAGAGGGGAGCTCACCGTTAACTGTTTGTTTGAGCGGAAGTATTGCAATTTGACGACAGTGGGCTCTGAAGAGATCTGAAGCCTAGAAGTTAGAACATTCGAGTGCACAGGTCGACATACGAATGAATCCCATTTCATATCAATCATTCAACAACGAATAAACCCAGATGTTATCAGTGCTTGACGTTTGTCGATTGGCTTGGAAAAAGACTGAAGGACACTGTACAGACCAAGTACTCGATTCAGAAGCCCAAGGGTTTCCCTTGGGTGCAACAGCTCGAAAGTCGTTCGAGAGCAAGCTGAAATGATCATTGGGTTCAATCAAAACACAAGATTACATATAACCAACCTACCACTGAGACGGGCTACTGAGCAAATTTGTCAAGAACGTCATTTGCTCTTGAGTAGGTCCCGCTAGCTTCAATGCACAACCTACTCACATACGGAGAAGACCGCAATAACAACCTCGCTGTCGTCCTCCCCTTCGTCAGAGTCTTTGTTCCATGATGGTGCGCATCTTTATTGCACTCCACTGTGTCATTGAGCTCGCACCGTTCTGGGTCAAGGCAGTAGTGGAACTTAAATTCAGGAAGCTGCAACCTGTACTCGATCTACTTGCGGGCCAGCGACACGGAATGATGAAGGTCCCTGGGATTGGCCTTGATTTTACTTTCGAGGTAGAGCAGATATCTTCTGTTGACCAATATCTGTGGTATTGTATATAGCGCTGTCTAGGCGGACACTGAATGTCGATTTGATGCGACTTGTTGACGAGTATGATGTACGGAAGCCAGTGGCCTAATGTTCAAAACTGGCGGTCCTGGGGCAATTGCTGGATTGGCAGTGCTATCATTGGCACGATTACTAGTCCAGCAATTGCTTTTCTATAAACCGCGACATTGACGGGTACGGATACGGTGTCAACTTTCTGACCCTCGGTGTTATCCGTCCTGCATCCTAGGTATTACTGGAGCAGCTTCAAAGTGAATGCTTTCGCAGTATTGAGTGACTGCTCTTCTGATATACCTAATCCATCATGGTTGTAAAGCGGCCAGAGAAAAGGCGAAAAGACCTTCGGTGACTGAAAACCTGAGCACTGCCAGTGGGGTCAGACACACAGCACTCAATAATTTATGTAAATGCGCACAGAAATGGCAAATTTACAGCTAGGTAGCAATATCGATTCACTCACTGTTGCACTGTGGCAGACTGGCAGTCGCCAGGCCAAGGGCACGCCTGACAGGACCACGGGGGCGACATTCATATTGGGATGTGCATCCTTTCGGACTATACGCCAATACAGCCACTGAACTGCGTGAGGTCCAATCATACATTCGGTAGAACTGAGTCACTGAGTAGCTAGATCCGGCCAGAGTAGTGTCATCTGTCCGTACTGCAGTACGGCTTCCAGTGGTAGGTCATGTGATGTTGTTTAGGGCTGGTCCTTTGTGATTCCTTCCTCTGTTGTGTGGCGTAAGCCAGCCTGAGCCCTAAGTCTAATCCATCCTCATTCCGAATTCGTATAGTCTAGCCTGGCTTCCAGCCTTACTACTACCACGGACAAGACAAAGCTTTGGATATCGGGAATAGTTGTAATATCAAAACCCTTCTCTCTGCAGGACCACCTACTGCGAAGGTTTGATATCGGAAATAGCTGTAATATCAATTGTCGAATCCCTTCTCTCTACAGGACCACCTACTATGTCAGCTAGATGTGGCGCATAAAGTGCGTACTATGTATCACTCTGAGTCAGAAACGAGGGATCTCGTGGCACCTTGCTATGGGATCCATATGCCTGTTGCGGCCCAGCCCTTTCCTCACAAGCGAGGAAACTGCCACACCTTCTGTCCCAATAGAGGCTTGAATGTTGATGGCTTTTCAGAGTCCACATACGCTGGCCAGCAATGATCTGATGATCCGATAATGTCCTAGACGCATACATGGTACCAATAGCAACATGGTAGCTGGCTCCCATACTTCCTTCGATCGTCATGATGACCTGTGTCCCCTCTGTGGATCCTCATACCGACGTCTTCCTTGAATAAATGACTTGCGGCAGCAAGTGCCGTGATGCTAGTATCAATTACATATTTGGATGCGTTTTTGTTTACGGTGGCCGAGATCCTGGTTAGTGGGCTTAAACTATCCACAAGCTGAGCTCTCCGGTGAATAGCGTTCAGGCCTTGTGCCACACAGCCGCCGACCACATTCGCATGCGTGCATCCTGTGCTTACAATATATAAGGCGAGTTCCGCCTTTTGGCCTCTCATCATATTCCTCAGACCAAATTACAACAGCAGCTGGAAATAATGACCCTCTCCTGGAACAGCCCCAAGCGTCCCAAACGTGATGAAGTTACCAAGTGGCACGATAGCACCAACGTTATTCTCGACTACTGCCAGGGCTACCTGGAGTATGGCAGCACCACTGATGATGTTCAGTGCTCTTCGTAAGTCGCATCTAGTTGATAACTAATGGTTTTCTTGACTATCGCGCCATTTAGTCTGAGAGACATGAACGACGCACTTTTGACCAACACTCGAATTAACTATGACGAGCGACTGGCCGAGGCACAGACATGCAATTATCAAGCTCAGTACCTTAGCACAAAGTTGCAAATAGTACGTCGTAGCTATACCTAGTGGTTAGTATGACTTAATTACCTTTGTGGTATTATAGCTATTTAACCGAGAGAACGGCTCAGATTACAACGCGTGGGCTCGAAGATATACTGTCTTGCATGGTATGGATGCCTCTCGTGGAATTTTAGGAGACTGATCGCGCTTCCTCTGTCTAGAGAAAGGGTATGGAGCAAGAACAGTTGCAGCTGATGAAGCGGCTTCAACCGATCTTCATCTTGTCACTATCGATCCCCGGACCTTTGTAGTATCACGGACGCCCTCTTTTCGGTGACAGGATGCTGCACTCCGCTTGGATCCTTGGCTGCTTGAGCGATAAATATCCCGGTGTCTCGTTACACCAGTGCTCTGTATCGGCGGATGTGTCGGACCATATGTTGAATACGTTATTTGTTATAATATAACATGTATGAAGAACGCCTGTCTCATTCGTATACGTAAGCTGTCAGTGCACCCATTTAGCGCCCAGAAGTATTAGAGAGCCGAGCCCAACCCGACGTCGTTTTTATCTCCAACCTTCATCCATACTAATCGTAACACGTTTCACAACGGCGAAACAACAAGCCCCCCGACGTGGTTATAGCATCCCGCCCTGTTTATGCGCTGCCATAGAAACACTACATACATACTAGTATTGTTCAACAGAACAAGGCCAACAGTGCGGCGCAAACGGTAGGTGCTTCGACTGCCTAGGCATGCATCCATCTCTATGGTGCCTAGCTAGAAGGACGGTCCGTACAAGAGTTACCAAACCCACTTTTGTGGGCATGATTCCCTGCTACGCGTGCCCCTTAGCACCTGATTGTTTCGCTTCTGGAACTATTTCTGCTGAGAAAGATATAAGGCGCGCGCTCAACCGGTCAATCTCCAGCCAACTCAACAACCCTTTCTTCCCCAAGCTCATCACCTGTCATGTCAACAATCACGATTTTTCAGAAATTTGTGTACCATGGAGCTTCAGTGGAGTATACTTCTGATTGTCCGATGGGCACTCGGGAAATGGTCCAGACTTGGTATCAACAAACGAGTGAGGTACTACGACAATGTACCGCACTGATGCGTGACGGCAACGAGAGCGATGTAGCACAACTTAGCCGGTAAGAGTTATATGGTCTTCTCTAGCTAATGCACAGCTATCTCACTCGCATGTTCGCAGCATACAAGCAATGAGAACTGTCATGTATCAGCTTCTTGATAAGAGAACGAGAGAAAGTCTTTCAAGGGCGGTATCTCTTGGCGATATCTGCCTTAACTTGTCGTTCGACTTGTACAATCAACTGTTGGAAGTGAGTCAGTGCTTTACTCTTCGATTGTCATACTCATCTTTACCGTCTAGAGAGAGTCGTGTGGTCACACTGGAAGACCTAGACGGAGCTCAACTTACTCCCCTATAAATGGGTCTTACGCGCACATATAGCCAAAGAGGCATGAAGCCTTGTGAGATGCCTGGCCGCTTGCCCTAGGTAAGGAGCCTCTGGTCATGGCCTCCGATGTCTTGCTGAGTTATATCATTCAAGCGTGTTTAGGGCTCAAGAGCTACATTCTAGTAGCGGCGAGCTGCGCCAGCCATGCCTTAAGAGGGTGGCTAGACCCGATATTACTACATTACGCACTACAGTTGCGTCAAGTTGTCCTTGTAAACTGTTCGAGCAGTACATACTACATGAGTTTTTGCCGATTTCCGGCATCTGTTCATACATAGTGTATTGTGTAGTGTGGTAGAAGTATTTAGAAGTAGACCAGAGCGTTACCCCTCGCCTATCTTGTATACAGGGATGCCAGCTGGCTAGCGATAGACGTCAAACAGATCACTGTTATATATGAGATGGTAGCTTGATCAAATATCTTATCAAGGTTGGACCTAATATAAGTGCAAATTACTTGGAGACGACTGTCACAACAGGAAACAAGCCATATAGACCTAATGATTAACTAGAACGGTACCAGTCTTTTGGACATCGGCTAGGATTACGAAACACTGGGCAGTGACTTAGATCATGACCAGGCATGATGCATGGCCATCCACATTGTATATACAGCTGTCGTCCCATCGAATAGGCTGTGTACACGAATTCGATGTGAAATTTGCGATGATAAGAACCGAGAATCATGTTCCCCACATTGAAGCTGTTCGAGCTGCTGGCACACCGAAGATCTGCGCCTGTGATCAATGGGAAGATCGACCCTGTATTTCTAGACGATAACTTCTTGAATGGCCCTAGAATCTAAGACTTTGTCGACTTCATCCCCAGGTCTCGTTCCGTCAATAGTTCCAAAAATCTGATTTCGTGCTTTACAGTGACTAATTGCAAAAACTCATCGGAAGTTAGTTCAAAAGTTCATGCTGTATAATTAAAATACATCTATTTCACCTCACTTTGCAGATTCGCTGGAGTTTCGAATATGGAGCGACTCGTTGCAACCAATCGGATCAAGCGAACGTTGAATTTTCATACAGAGATAAGATGATTAAAATCTGCAGATGCGGCAAGGATTCCGGTTCCGGTGCTCCAGTGTCAGGGGGGAGTGCTCTGGGATCGACCGAAATTAAGACAGAGGCATCCTCTGAGAGGTGACAGACCCCCTGAATTTACCTAGGCCGATTCGGAATAGAACCTTGACGGGGCAAGTGGAATCGGGAATATCTGGTGCCTGCTAGCTGAAGCAGGAACTTGAAGGTAGGAGGAACGAAACGAGCTTGGTGACCACATGAAGTAACAAGTATTGCGAGTACCAACTGCCAGTATGACATGATCGATTTCTAAGCAGACAGCCTAGTACGTGTTTGTGGATGACAACGTTAACGTTAGCATCAGTAAGAGCATAGCATCAGGACATAACCATTGGCTTGATCAGCATCCGGCGGACACGAAGCTCTTGTAGGCTGAATCACCTATTTTAGAGATGCTAGTACATGGAGAGGTCGGACCTGCTCACGGCTAGCAAAGTACTATGTAGTCAGCGGGAATATATTTTGATTTGTTTGTCCCTTGCCGAATCTCCAGGGAGACAACTGCCATATTTGGGAACCCTTGCGCCGGGCGGTCATGATGGCATCTGATCAGTGCCTGATGGTTAGCTTCCTTGGCAGGGTTACGCTGATCGTTCAAAACGTTGGAGCAGCAATGGACGGCATTTTTTTCTGACAGACTGACAGAGTGTGCACCAGTAGGAGCCTTGCAATGATGTGGGGCTATCCGTTCTGTATAAACTCCGCTCTCGGAATCGTTATTAGTACTCGAGCTTGTCTCAGATACCACTTAGGCACAGCTGGTCCTTATATCACTCCTTAGGATGCCTGACTCCTCAAACGCAGTCGTCAGTCTTGTGTCTAGCCTCTGGAAGAGGGCAACAGCTACAGGCCAGGTAAGCGTTTCTTCTAGAACGTACCTCCTATACACAACTGAAGGAACTTTCAGGGCGGTTTATTGTCAGGAGTCGATCCCTCAACATTCAACACCTCAGATCCCCTGCGGCTATGGATAATACAAATGGGTGAGTATATCCTGTTCCAAGTTTATGACATTATTTTAAGCTAGCCGCAGGTATAATTATCTTGATGGGGCAGCTGCTGTCACTTGGGCTGGGCAAGATCAAACAGCCGAAAGTCATTGCTGAAGTCCTTGGCGGAATTCTCCTCGGTCAGGTCATTTCTCATATCGTACTAGCAGCTGCTCATTCAATCATAGGTCCTACTGCCATGGGACGAATACCCGGTTTCACCCAGCACATCTTCCCCTCTCAATCCCTCCCATATCTCTCGCTCGTTGCCAACATTGGCCTCTGCCTCTTTCTCTTCATAGTCGGTCTTGAAATCGATGGCACCATCATTAAGCGTAATGTTCGCTCATCTTTGTTCATTGCACTCTCTGCCATGGCCTTGTCCTTTGGTCTCGGTACTGCCATCTCTATACCACTCTACCACAACTTCATTCCTCCATCCGTCAAGTATACATACTTCATGCTTTTCACCGGCGTGTCATTCTCTATCACTGCTTTTCCCGTTCTTTGTCGTATCCTCACTGCACTGAAGCTCCTAGACACGACGGTCGGTATCGTTGTCCTGTCAGCTGGCGTGTGCAATGATGTAGTTGGCTGGAGTCTGTTGGCACTAGCGGTGGCCCTCGTCAATGCGACCTCCGGGCTTACAGCTCTGTGGATCCTGCTGACATGCGTGGCATTCACAGCATTTCTCATGTGGCCAGTCAGAATCGCGCTACTGCGGTTCGCTAGGTTCACCGGAAGTACGGAGAACGGACCCACTATGTTGTTCATGACAGTGACCTTCTTGGTATTCTGGGCATGTTCGTTCTTCACGGACATTGTGGGCGTCAATGCTATCTTTGGTAAGTGATGTTATGTGATTCCGACGTTTCAGTTCTTATCTAGGACATAGGGGCGTTCCTGGCAGGAATCATTGTTCCCCGCGAAGGTGGCCTTGCCATCGCACTAACGGAGAAGCTCGAAGATATGGTGTCGATCATATTTTTACCTCTGGTATGAGTATTGAATTTGTGGCGTTCGATAAGACTAATTAGTTCGCAGTACTTCACACTATCTGGCTTAAATACTAACCTCGGATTGCTTGACAATGGTCTGTCCTTCTAACTATAATTCACATCGATCATTTACGAATCCTTGCGGCAGGTATCACTTGGGGATTCACTATCGCAATCATATGTCTGGACTTCGCGGGCAAATTCACCGCATGTTCGATCACTGCACGGATTACCGGAATGAGTTGGCGAGAGTCAGGCACTGTCGGATCATTGATGAGTTGCAAAGGGTTGGTTATCTAATTTCTTCTATCTTATCTAGTCACTGACATTTTTCTAGTCTTGTCGAATTGATCGTGCTCAACATTGGGCTCGCTGCCGGCATTCTTACCCAAAGAGTGTTCTCGATGTTTGTCTTCGAAGCGTTGATCCTAACGTTCATGACTACACCCCTCGTCTCTATACTCTATCCTCCCGAACGCCGGGTTCGTGTGGCAGTTGGAGGAGTTTCACGTGCGTCAACTGGAGATCCGGACGAAGACAAGAGCGATCGTAAGTCTCCCATGACCGAGGATCAACCATGGCGCTCCCGCTTCACCGTTGTCCTCGACAAATTTGATCACATGTCCGGAATGTTGGTGGCCACTCAGCTGGTGTGCCCGCCCTCTCTTGAATCACCTTTGTCCGGCATTCTCCGATCAACTGCGTCGACGAGGGCATCTGATAAAATGAAAATGCCCGAGGTCAGTGTGGACACTCTCCGTTTGATTGAGCTGTCGGACCGTACCTCAGACGTCATGAAGTCCTCAGCGGTTGACACCCTCATCCACACTGACCCGCTCCTGAGTGTGTTCCGCACCTTTGGGGAACTCAATGACATACCTGTTTCACTCTCGCTTTCAATTGTACCTTATGACGACATGCCGGGTACTGTGGTTGATCATGCCAGACGATTCGGATCTCAGCTCCTCCTCTTGCCGTGGCTATCGCCATCGTCCAACTTCGGCAATGAAGACCTGTCTGGCCCACATAACCCGAGAATCGAACTGAATCCATTCGAATCGTTTTTTGGCGGATCAAAACACACTGGCAAGTCCGCAGCCGTGATGCATTCGCAGTTCGTGCGCAGAATATTCGCAGAGAGCAAGACAGATGTTGCTCTGTTCATCGATCCTGCTGGTACCGGCACTGGGAGTGCACGGCACATATTTTGCCCATTTTTTGGCGGTCCAGATGATCGGCTTGCACTCGAGTTCGTGGTGCAGCTTTGTGCTAATCCCAGAATGAGTGCGACGGTTGTGAGGATGTCAAAAAGTGGCACCGAGAGTACTGCGGTTGAAAGGCCGTCGCTCGTACATCTAGAGGAGAAAGCAAGTTTAGATATGCCGGGTCTAGGATACCAAATGCCTGTCCCTTTGGTACGTTATGTTGTTTCTCTTTCACGCCTATTTTCTTATGCATATTTTTAGAATACTGTTTATCCAGACACACTTTATGGCCATGCCAACACCGAAATGCGTTTCCAATCCGAGACAGCCAATAACGTCCTGTGGGCACAATACGCTAACTCTCGACTCTCTGGTGACACGCCCGCCTCACTGAGCGCCGCCCTCTCCCGGATCAAATTCTCCGAGCATTCATCGCCGTTACCACTACATTCTGCTATCCAGCTTGCGTCTGTGCACAAGCCTGTTTTGGTGGTTGTTGGGCGCTCACGGCGCCTTGCGGGGGAGGATCACACATCGGAGCTGCAGCAGATCCTTGAGGAGCGGAGTAGCGTGGGGCAAGATGTTATTAGGAAAACTATTGGTGATCCTGCAACCGCGTTTGTTGTCTCGGGGTGTGCGACTGCTGTTGTGGTGCTACAAGCTTCGAATGTGTACTGAGCGACGTCTAACTTGTATCTGAGATGATTGATTATTATCGTGCTGTATATAGAACTGTACTGTATGTATGTCTCCTATTTGCTGTCTTTGATTTAATCACGATCTTGGTAGTAGTAGCCCAGCACCGCCGTATCAAAGTACATGTATGATATTACAGTTGCGTTGGTTCGCGGTTGACTTTGCGCTCGTCGGAGTGTGAGATGCACTCAATCCAAGATGGTCTTTCGCCCCTTGATGGTATATACTAGAAGTCTAGGGGTAATTATGGGACCGGGTCGGCCCGTCTGTCAAATTTCAGGAATTTCGGTAACTGGGCTTTATCATCAGTATCACGATCTGGGTATTATACCATACACAGCTTAAAGTTATTTCCCAGATTTAGTATCATCAATGCACTATTACCATGACATCATGATTTTAAGTTACGGAACAGCGACTCAGTCTGCCCACTCGCCACGTCACTAGCTACTATCTGACATGCAACTGGATCCAGCGGCTGAATCCACGCGTGCAGTTGCCTGACTGGTTACTGAGTACTGGTACTAAATCCTGCTCAGTCACTTGACGATGTCTATTTCATCTGTGGAGTCGGTCACATCTCCCGTTCCAAGCCAATGGTATTGGCATGGTACTGTCCTTGGCTCTTTAATGCATATATGCATCCGGATCCTAACCATTCATTATGCTCTAGGTTGCGAATATTAGCACTGACCGAAGATGGTACTACACAAACGAGTGATACCTTCAGAATCAGAACTCCGTGGATCATTGAATAAGGACGGAGCGGTGTTGGCGAATCGTCTCGACTCTCCGAGGACCCCCCGCGATTCTAGTTCAGTTTTTTGCTCTGCTTTTATACTCCCGATACCATGCCCAAACAGTCCGCGGCGGCTGTCCTCCAACATTTTCAGTTTCTTAATTGTGCTAGTGGATACTCATGGCTTCGTCACTGAAATAGTAAGCTTTGTCGAACTTCCAGCAAGTGTGAGACAAACACGGGGCGCAGTACAGCTGCGCCCCATACATACTCATTGTCATACTCAGGAATCTGGTCGAGTACTGGTGAGTGAGGCCAGTCAGCTATTGGCAATTTGGCAGCCAATGGGAACGAGTTTGCCTCTCGGACACGCGTGCGGCGTGATTGAACAATCAGCCAATGACTCGGTTAGTATCTTTCGAATTTTGTAATGCACGCGATGTTGTCCACCACGCCATGCCGTGTTGCGTTCCGTCTTCTCTTTCCGTCCACTGCGTCATGCTGTGTTGTTGCTCGCTATTATATAGAATTTTTTTAACTTTGACTTATTCGTTCATGACAGTACTCCTTGAAGCTTCTAATTGTTCACACTTGCTAAGCCTCACAATAGCGGATTTAGCCAGCAAGGAGTTTGACAGATTCGAGCGCAAGCTGGCCGACTGACAGCGGTGTCAGGCGATATTAGCCTCCTTCCAGTTTCATCATAGACATAGTGTCATTATAGTGGAGCTGAAGAGGGTTGACAAAGATATTATACCAACTGGCTTGACTCAATATTAAAGAGATTGATTAATGCATGCCACTCTCACTTTGCCTCGCAGAAGCGCAGGTTGCAAGGTTTAACCAGCAAAAGGGTTGATAAAAATAAAAATACTAGCGTGACGACGGACTTAAATGAGACAAGGCTCGCAGGAAAGAATTCATGAACGTACCTATAGGCGTGACGAAGAGCAAATTTAAATGCCCTTCTGCGCTAGGTAACGACAGAGATTGCTCAGCAACATGTACGTGATGCCAAGAGCGCGCGGAGCGACCGTGGGTTGGCCTGCGGCACGTGCCAAAACTTCGACTGAACCAATTAGACTTGTGTAAAGGAAAAATTAAACTCGATTAATCTTTGCCAACTTCTGCTCTGCCATTTTGCCAATTGTCACAAGACCGTCCGATTCCATTCCGCCTCCTACACTGTGTAACATCTCACAAATGGCCGAATGTCGTAGTTATGGTGGTTGCCACTACGATACTTTTGCTAGCAGCTGGATAGGCCCGGGCCAGGATGGGTGAGATCTGTGCGAGGACCGGGTTCGCCCAACACACTTGGTCATACCAACGATCAGCGAATCGTTTCATTGTCAAATATAGCTGCAGTGCCTACCTATCATTTGCAAACTATGTCCCAAAATCAAATCCGTATTGCCAACACTCTCGAACAAGTACTGCGTTTGAAAATATGGCCACGCGGCAGAGTTTCCGGCCCCGCCGACAGAAGTCATTCCAAGTGATTTGTATCCTCCCCTTTGACAACTTCACAGGAAATTATAAGGGAGGTTTGCCACACTCAGTCAGCCAGCGTCATGCCGAGGTCTCCGGGTCCGCACTCACGGTTGGTATTACAAGTCCAGAGAAATATGAATGCGAGGGTATCTCACCTCGAGTGACTTAAAGTGAGACTCCCTCGCATCCATATTTCTCCTATATGCATAAGTTCCCGGAAGCTTTGGTTTTTGGAATCTGGACAAAGGAAGCCATGGGCCAGGTGAGCGTTTTCTCTACGACGCCCCGTCCGTGTACAATTAAATAGCACTGTAGGGTGGCTTATTGTCAGGAGTAGATCCCATAGCGTTTGCAACTTCCGATTCACTGAGGCTATGGATAATTCAAATGGGTAAGCATCCTCTATTCCAAGTGCGTTGGCAGCATCAATTTAAATCGATTACAGGTATGATAATTATGATGGGGGAATTAATGTCACTTGGTTTAGGCAAGCTCAGGCAGCCGAAAGTCGTTGCTGAAGTCGTCGCTGGAATTCTCCTCGGTCAGGTCATTTCTCACGTCGTACTAATAGCTGCTCATTCAATCATAGGCCCTACCGCCATGGGACGAATCCCCGGTTTCACTAAGCACATCTTCCCCACCCAATCCCTCTCATATCTCTCCCTAGTAGCCAACATTGGCATCTGCCTCTTTCTCTTCCTAGTCGGTCTTGAAATTGACCCAAATATCATCACCCGTAATGCTCGCTCATCTTTGTTTATTGCACTCTCCACTATAACCGTGTCCTTTGGTCTCGGTACTGCCATCTCTGTTCCACTATACCACAACTTCATTGGTTCCCCTGTCGAGTTTACGTACTTCATGCTTTTCACTGGCGTGTCATTTTCTATCACCTCTTTCCCCGTTCTTTGTCGCATCCTCACCGCACTGAAGCTCCTAGACACGACGGTCGGCGTCGTTGTCCTGTCAGCTGGCGTGTGCAATGATGTAGTTTGTTGGAGTCTGTTGGCACTGTCCGTGGCTTTTATCAATGGAACCTCCGTGCTTACAACTCTATGGATCATGCTGACATGCGTGACATTCACAGCATTTCTCGTGTGGCCGATTAGAATCGCGCTGCTGTGGTTGGCTAGGTTCACGGGGAGTCTGGAGGACGGCCCTACGATATTCTTCATGATTGTTACCGTGATCGTGCTTTGGGCATGTGCGTTTTTCACGGATATTGTGGGGATCAGTCCAATTTTTGGTGAGCGATTTGGGTTGCTGTTCCGAGGTCATTCTTATTTCATATTTAGGTGCGTTCCTAGCGGGTGTCATTGTTCCCCGCGAAGGAGCCCTTGCTATCTCGCTGACGAAAAAGCTTGGAGATATAGTGACAGTCGTGTTTTTGCCTCTGGTATGGGTGCTGGATTTGCTGCGATCAATATGGCTCACTACTTAACAGTACTTCACGCTTTCAGGATTGCATACCGATCTTGGATTGCTTAACAATGGTTTGTCCTGGCAATAGTGTCATACACTGATCACCTAGTGACACTTCCGATAGGCATCACTTGGAGATTCACCATCGCAATCATATGTCTGGACTTTGCTGGAAAATTCAGTGCCTGTACGATCACTACTCGGCTTTCTGGAATGAGTTGGCGAGAGTCGAGCACCGTTGGATCGTTGATGTGTTGCAAAGGGTCAGCAGTCTGATTTCCTCTAGAATATTTGGTCTTGACAATCTTTTTTAGTCCTGTGGAATTAATCATTCTCAGCATTGGGCTTTCTACCGGCATTCTCACCCAAAGGGTGTTCTCTATGTTTGTCCTCGAAGCTCTAGTCCTGACTTCCGTAACCACACCCTTGGTCTCCATCCTTTATCCTCCTGAACGCCGGGTTCGTGCGCTAACTAGCGATATTTCACGTTGGTCAACTGGAGACAGGGACGAAGATATAGATCACTGCCAGTCTCCCACGACTGAACCATGGCGCTCCCGCTTCACGGTTGTCCTCGACAAATTCGATCACATGTCGGGAATGCTGGTGGCCACCAAACTGGCACTGCCGTCACCCTTGATCCCAACTTTTCAAGGAATTGAGATATGTGTGAACGCTCTTCGTTTGATCGAGATGTCAGACAGTAATTTGGACATAATGAAGTCTTCAGCAATGGACACCCTCATCCACAGAGACCCAGTTCTGGGCGTCTTCCGCACCTTTGGAGAGCTCAATGATATACGCGTTTCACTTTCGCTTTCTATTGCCCCGTATGAGGACATGTCAAAAACTATCTCCGACCATGCGACACGACATGGATCTGAGCTCATCCTCTTACAATGGCTCCCGCCATCGTCCATTTCCAGAGATACGAATGAAGACTCGTGTAGCCCACACAGCACGAGGATCGAACCAAATCCGTCAACCACGATTCACTCGCAATTCGTGCGCAGAACATTAGCAGAGAGCAATACGGATATTGCCCTGTTCATCGATCCGGGCACTTCTCTCTCTGGTACCGGTCTTGGGAGTGCGCATCACATATTTTTCCCCTTCTTTGGTGGTCCGGATGATCGACTGGCGCTTGAGTTTGTGATGCAGCTTTGTACTAAACCCGGAATTAGTGCGACAGTAGTACGGATGTCGAAAAGTAGTGCTGAGCGTGTTGCAGTTCAATGGCCGTCGATCGTACGCCCAGAGGAGGAAGACAGTGATGAAACAGGATACCATGGAATGCCTATTCAATCAGTACGTTGACTGCATGCGCGTCTCGTAATTTTTTCTGATGCAATTCTTGTAGACTGTCGTTATGCCAAACATATCGTATGGACAAACACGCTTCGAATCTGAGACAGCCGATACTATCCTCTGGGAGCAATACGTCGACTCGCATTCTTCGTATGACATTCATCCATCAATCCGCGTTGCCCTGTCCCGTATCACATTCTCTGAGCATTCGTCGTCCACGCCGTTATGTTCCGCCATCCAGCAGGCATCTACGCACAAACCTGTATTAGTTGTTGTTGGGCGCTCACACCGCCTTGGATCGGACGATCTCACGCAAGAGCTGGAAAACATACTGAAGGAGCGGGGTAGTGTGGAGCAGGATGATAGTAGGAGCACTATAGGGAATGCTGCAACTGCCTTTGTTGCCTCTGGTTGTGCGAGTGCGGTGGTTGTGCTGCAGGCTGCTAATGTTGGCACTGACTGAAATGGCGGGGACGTTTAACTGGCTGGTGCGTATGTTTGAGATGTTTAATACTATATATCAATACTTGTATATCGTGACCCCACCTAGACGCGTGTGTAATGTTGATGAAGGCTCTTGACATTTTCCATCATCAGCGCTAGGAATATCGTTTATGATGTTCCAAGGCTGCATGAAACTTCTACTACTCCATTTAAATCAAAGAATCACACAATGATATCCTCTCGCGTGCGATTTTTCACCTCGAGCCCAAGGCCCGGCCTTGGTTTATCCTGATGGGATAGTCCCTTGACCAGACTAATTGAAAAAATAGGGTTGTTCCTTTGTATTAAAATGGGAAGGCACAACAACCTTGACAAAATACGCGTGAGATGCTCGCTATCTCTAGGGGTATGTTTGCGGATGAGAACACTGAGGCCCAATCAAATTTGAAACAAATGGCTGAGGTACTGTAGGCGCGGGTCGAATCATCGTCCCAGCTGCAGCTTCTCGCCCTCCCTGCGCATCTCGGTCCGTGCTGCGAGGCTGGTGAGTGGCGACGTCGAGAAAATCCTTGCAGAAGTTCCATCTTCTGTCTGTCTTCCGTACATCACTTTCGTTCGCTGACAGTTAATGGAATAAGTACTTCTACTTCTACTCTTTGATTTGCAAAACATATGGTAGGAGCACAAATAACACTTAACGAACTGTGCTTCACACTCTCCGTACCTACGAGGACATGCCAAACGACATTGATCTGAGCTCGTCCTGATGTTTTAATATTGAGCGCCAAATTGAAGGGACTTGGTTTCTTGTGAGACCTTGCGCATAATCCCGGCTTTGCACAAGCATGGGTAGGCAGGAAGTATCAATGCAACATGATATTGGGTTACCCAGACCTGTTTCTCCCTTCCAAATACACTTTGGATCTCCAAGCAAATTTCTCAAAATGCCTTCAGAGTACACGCACATACGTTTCCCGGGCGTGCTATACATCACCGCTAGTCGGCACGTCAACACACTCCTGGAAGACGATTGTACTAGTTATGCTCGCTCCTTCGTCAAAATCCGCCACAAGCTCAGCAAAATATTGTTCTCGAACGCTAAGGATGAGTCGTGGTCCCAGCACAGACATCTGCATGGCCTCGGATATTCGAAGGATACCATGATAAGCTTGCGTAGATTTTGAGTCCTATAGTTATAATGAGTCGGGAGATGGACATCAGTTAAAGATCGGCGCACAAAGATTTTCCAGTTTGGAGACAGCAAGCCTAGGGTGAGGCAAGAAACAACATAGCTAGTTCATGCAAAATATCAGCTGACGAAAATAATTGCATTCAAATTATGCGCTCACCTTGCGAAGTAAAACACATGGCTTTTTATCAACACTGTGAACCAGACCCCGATGGCCGATCCCGTCCATTGTCGTTGCAATTCATGAAAGGCAATCCGGATCGCAAGACATAATATGAGGATTTCCCATATAATGCCAAGTATCCAACTATCGGGTATTAAAGTTATTTTACCTTTCCAAATGCAATGATGGGTGTCAAAGAGGATGGACTCCTCTGTAATCCGTCCCATGAGCATGCTACATGGTCATTCATCCGTAATTAAAACTTACCCCCCAAGATATGGCTATTTTCTATAGCGCCCATCACTGCGAAGGCGATTGTGATAGCCACGAAGATTATAACGAGAAAGATGATCATCTTCCTGGATTGATACATGGCATGTAGCCGAGTGATGATGATGACTTGCGTTGTATTTCAATCGAGTCAGTACCACTGAGCCGAGGTGCTGCCAGCAGCTGCGTAGCTCACCATCCAGCATGGCATTCACAACGAGGCCTGTACAACTATGTGCGATGATGATAACAGTGCCTAAAAACTCAGTTATTGATGATTCTCGATGCTTCAATCAAACTCACAGCTGTTGCGGTCAATATATATCGACTCGAAGAGCTGAACAACATCACTCACCCCTGCGTAGGAATACAGTTAGTTGGATGTGGATGGCAGAACTCGGTATAGAATACGCACCATATCTGTCAGTGAGACTGATGGGTAATTTGCTGCATCCCGGCGGTCAGAGAGCGAACAATGTAAGTGATAAGACATACGCAGAATGCCCATGCTGATTGTGAGAGGTAGTTGATTAGTATCGCGCCAACGTGTACATGGCCTTGCAAACATACACAGAAGACGAGATTCCAATGAGGCGCACCTAAATTGTTTGAAGTCAGCACAACTTTCTGACTGCGGGTATCAAAAATAGACGTACACTGATATACAAGACAGTCATGAATGACCAGCGTTGCCTCTACACCGAATCAATGTATTATCCGTTTTGTTTCTGATTCTACTCACCCAGACCAGTTCAAACTACACAACCATTATTAGTGAGATGGTTCCTACGATAATGACATCGACCTACTTACCTCTTGTCCAAATGTCAGTGGTGGAGACAATGATTGGGATGTCATGGATTTCCTCGATAAGGACCATCTTGCTCACCCCAGTCGTATACCACTGCAGTCAAGGATGCAACTACGGTCGATGATAAGAATGAAACATTACAAACATCGATATGCTCTCCACAAACCTGCTAAATAGCTGGAAAGATGATTTCCATTGATCAGCAACCACGGACTTGGATCGTTTGATACCAGTGTCATATCTAAGGTTTTTTTTGTGTGGCAGTGAACGGCGAACTCGGTGGAGGCACAACGAGAACCTCTGCTAGATATACCACAATCCAGCGCTTTTACCACTAAAATTTATACGCAGATGTGAAACGAATGGGTATCCATCTTGATCGATTGTGAGTATTTCTGTAAGTATGACATAAAGTAGAACGGGGAGTCACCTCATGGTACTTGGTTGAATCAAACTTTGTAGGTTGTGGTTCTGCACAGCAATACACGCGCGGACCATCCTAAAACGGATTTCAACCGCTTGTTTTCAGCGCCAAATTTCTCAAAAAGGCTATCGGAACGTGATGGGCCAGGTAACAACGATGAGGTCATGATGCTACCCTGAGAGCGCCTTGGATGAATAGGTTCCTTCACTGCCCTGTATAACGTCGAAGTTCTCTCGACCCAGTTCACTTGCACATACTTGCATTGCTTTGACGTTGGCTCGCTGATGCAATAGCGAATCCGTGTCAAGAGGGAAGCCCAGAAAGCTGTAAGTGTCTGCTTCGAAGTGAGCTCTTGCGGACGAGAAGGAGTGAGCGATACAGCCAAGAGCCCAAGGCACTCCAGGTCAGTAATGCACTGCCACCGTAGCTGGGCAGCCTTCGATCATCACCTTGGCCACTAGGCGTTACTAGATAGCCCTTCACCATGATATATCGATGGCTTGATCGTCTCGTACCTGTGAACCACTGAATTGCAGTGTTTAGTCCTTCCAGGCCTAGTATTAGCAAGATTTGTATAAATGATCCCTTCAGGGCGAGTTAATAACCTCGTGTGAGTGACAAAAGGTCTTTCAATTCTAGTATCTGGAAACAGAAAGACCATTCATCACTCACACACATTTGACAGTTCAATTATGTCGCCGGATTTCTACCGATGCTCCAAGTAGAAAGACATTGAAGGTTTTTCAGCGCTTCAGATCTATCTGTCGCAATGTTCCACGTACGCGATAATCACTGACATTTCCTTTCCCTAGCTTCGGTCAGGTACTGGTGATTCTCAGTTTGGGCGACGATTTGAACCCGCCATCACCAGTAGCTCCAGTTGCTGCAGTATCACGATGGAACTGGAGCAACAGGTGGTGACCCGAACATGAGCCGTCGAAATTCACCGATTCGGAATGAGTTACTGAGCCCTTTGTGTAGAAAAGTAATAGACTCCTCATGTTCGAGACCGAATCCTAACGCGCGCCGAGGCCCAATTTGAAAGTGAGTTCGCAAACATGACGACAGTGTGTGAAAATTAAATATGGTGTGAAGCTGGTTACACCGCCACGGTCCATGGGCCCCACCCAGCCCTTTCGGTGTTCGCGCTTCTTGGTCACTACTCAACCGCAGCTTTCATGACAGAGCGCGCCGATACCCTCCATGCATCAAGAGCAGACGTCTGGTACCTCAAGGAAATCGCGTTTGGAAGCGCGGAAACAAAGCGAAGATTAAAGATCATAACGCAGAATTTCAATGGGTGCGTGTCTTGTAATTATATTGGTGCTGCGGCATGTGCTTTAGGCTCCGCATACTTATTTGTGCCATATAAATTTTATTGTTGCTCAACAGACCGTGTTCGTTCATTGCTATTTGTGAGTATTGTTGTTGCTCTGACGGAGGATCGACGCTGAGGTACCGCGTTGTGCTGTGTAGGCAATATTCTGATACTCCGAGGACAGATTGAAGTCCTGCCATATGAGCGGGGAACGGTGTCATACGAATTCCTTGCGCAGCTCGTAGGAGAGTATCTCCTCATGAGCTGTCCGGATATTGATGTCTCTGCTGCACTCTCGATCATGCCTAGCACCACCAGTACGCACCACTTCTTTCTAACTAGTAATTAGTGAAGCTAATATGCCGTTAGAGGGCCTCGATCTCAACCCTGTCTTCACAGGCGCCACGTCATTTCGACCTGCAGGGGAAGGTGGGGAGCTGAAGTTGTTCGAGCAGGCAGGGATAGAACTCGTGCATGGGTGGCTTGTTGACCCTGACAGCGAGGAGTTCAGGGTGTTGCAGCATGTACGTGATTACGATACTACAGTAACACTTATTGCGGATGCGGATCACATCACGAGGGGACGGTTGTTGAGTGGGGATGTGTGGGGTGAAGGAGAGGCAGGGAGTAGTAGCCAAGCGGGGAGCGGGCCGAGTGGCTATGCGGGCCCGAGTAGTGCTAGTGATAATTATTCGGAGAAAGATAGAGAGAAGATCGAACATGGTATGATTAAATTTGTTATGTGAGATTTATTGCTTATGAGTTTTTTTTAGCGCTGGTGGCACAGGCGTTCTTGGATAGTACCAAGTCTCAATTGACGTATCATGGGCTGTTTCAGCTTGCGTCTACGTTACAGCCTGGGTCACTTGTTGCGCTGTTCCGAAATTCGCACCTTTCTGTGCTGCATAAACGGGAGGGAGAGGACTCGTCACTTTACAGTTTGGTCACGGATCATGTGTTCCTGCAAGAACCATCGGTGATATGGGAGCGTCTAGAAGATGTCGACGGGGTTGGGTCGACGTTTGTGGACTCGGCATTTGTTCGTTCGACACCTGTGGGGGGCGATTTTGCTGGACACACGGCGGAAAGCGCATTGCATGCTCTAGAGATGGAAGGAAACCCCGAGTAAGTTTATGAGATTTTTTCCAAGATGAATTACTGAGATGCAAGTTATACAGTGTGATATTAGCACGGCAACTACAAGCGGAAGAAGACGCGCGATCACATGAGATATATAAGCGGAGACAGCAGCAGCAGGAGATTCGACAGAAGGAAGAGGAGCGGAAACGGAAGAACGAGGATAGTGCTAGTAGGAAAAGCAAGAAGATGAAAGACAAGTGTGTTATAATGTAGAATGCTATACCGAATAATTTGGGCTATCATTATATGTATTGCCATGTCATATGCGTGTGAGTGAAACACGGTTGCAACCAATAGATTGGATTATAATCAGTGATGCAGATATCAAAATCATGATGTGGAATGGGAAACAATGCCACAAGAACAACAATCACAAACAAGGAACGGTCTCAGTCATCGTTCGCCTGTGCAGTGCAACCACAAGCCCCATCCACTCATCCTTACATTCCTTCCTTTCTATCCCTCGAGCTCATCGCCGAACACAGCGAGCACGAACAAAGTATTCATCACTTGTTCCGATTAATCACTTTCAACAGCATTCACAACACTCGTCGTCATCGACTCGCATCATGCGCGAATCAAACCATGCTTTTCCCGCACAGAATAGGGCTTGCGTTTGCATCACCTCCCAATGTTACGATAGACGAGGTTAGTTCATTTAAATTCTATATGATTTTTTGGTTATAAGTTTATTTCAGGTCTCGATACATCTTCGCCACTCCCGCTATTCACCTCCTTACACCATCTCACATATCTAACTTCAACTTCAGCCCGAATACGCGAGATCATGACAATGGACGGCGCAATCGAACGTCTTATGCGCATTCTTTATGACTACTGCTTATGTCCTCCTCCGCCAGAGAACCCTGGTTACATTTACGGTCTTTCTCCTCCAAACTCGCGCCCCCAAAAGCTTGTCCCAACAATCAACCCTGCAAGTTACGATAAGCACGCCGCCTATCGATTTAGCTTGGCTCTTCAGAGTATAGTTAACATCGGTATAAGAGGCAGCGAGCCAATCCGGAGTCGCATCGTCCAGGCTGGCGCCCTCGAAGTAGTCGGTTGTATCCTCGAGTCATGGTTAGCTCATAAAGGGTTTGCCATCGGGCCTAGTTCGAGCGCATCCGGTTTACCTCGTGAGTCTCGCGAGCATCGCCTCGCCCGTCGGGCCGCACTCCAGGAACAAAGACAACGAGAAGAGGCTACCCAGCTCCATCGTGCACTCCAACGTCAAATCGCCGTTGATGCGGCTAACCGCACAGAATTCATGACATCCCGTATTGATCCAATCCAAGATGTCTGTCTTTGTGTTGCGTGTCATCTCCTTACTGATCCCTCTTCAGGATACAATAATGGCCGATATCGGTACCGAACCTTCCTATTCGAATATTTCTGTGCATCTGGACCAGACGCCCGCCCCTGTCCAAGTGCAAATAGCTGCGCGCGAACGACCTTATTACACCCGCCACTCCTCATCCTCATCTCATGAGGCAGATACTTCTGCCGAAACATCTATTAATCCCACACCTCAAGGTACGGAAACACCGACTGTAACTGTCCTAGTCAATGCTCGTGAGCGCAGCGGTACCATAATTGCTCGCCGTGCTTGGGACGATCCTGTAATCCCACCTGCCACAATGCGTGCAAGGGCTCATCGCGTCCGCCCTACTACTGCGTCACCTGACGAATCGACCGACAATTCAAGACCTGAGACAGAAACTGAGGATGATGGTGACCCAGATGTCGATATGTCGCAGGACACTGATGATAGTGCGGCTCCCCCTGTCTCGGCACCCCGTGTACGCCAGCCTTCACGATCGATGACTCTCACTCAGCGTCCGCGCCGCACTGTGGGTATAGTCTCAGACGCAGTCCCAGGACCTGCACCTCTCCAAGTAAATGCGGACGCGCATATTATCATTCACCATGGGCAGGGTGGAGATGGGATGGCAGTGGGTGTGGAGGACGGTATCGTATCATTGGAGCCGAATGATGATTTTGCTATGGGTGCACCTCCTGGTGCACCAGGAGCCATGGATGAGACAATCCCCGCGCGAGGTCTCCGTGGAGTCGATGTCCCTTTGGCTGATCGGAGAGTTCGCACTGCCCCAGATGCAACGCCCCGTGCCACGGCTGTTCCCCTTCCCGCGGCCCCTGTTCTGCCGAATGCCCCGCATAGCGAGGAACCTGCCCGCGAGGGTGCAGCCGCAAATCGAGGAGAGCACCCTACCCCGACCGCCACCATGCACACAGTGCGCACCTCGAGCCATCACCACCACCGCGATCCCGACCAAGGTCCGTTCAGGGACGAAGACGTGCTTTTTAGTCTCCAGCTCCTCGCTTATCTTAGCAAGTATCCGCATGTGCGGCAGGCATTTTATAAGCAACGCCCATCATTCCACCCTGCGGCTGGTAATCATAGTCCTCATCCTCAACAGCAACCTGTCGCTGGACCCAGTGGAACACGGAATATCCCCGCTCCTGTCCCTCCACCTACACCACCAGCGAAAGAACAATATGGGTTCTTTCGCGCGCTTGCATCTGCGACTGCACGGGGCAAGGAGAAAGAGAAGGCGCCACTTACTACCCCGGTACTACCCCACCGTATGACGAATGTATTTTCTCTCGTAGAGCGGTTTACTTTCCGCCCCAGCATGACGGAGAACGAGCTGCCCAACCCGCCACCAAAGCTTCCTCCGGAAATATCCTACTGGGCGGGTGTGATCATGCGAAATGCGTGTCGGAAGGACGATAGTCGGGGCGGAATACGGCAATGTGCGAACAGTGAGTTATCTTTCTCCTACCAGCGAATTGATGTTGAGTGAGTATAGTGCTGTGCGGGCGCTGGGAGACCTATCCACGAGAGTTTGCGAAATGCAGACGATGCCGAAAAGCAAAATATTGTGGCAAGGAGTGTCAGAGCACTGCATGGAGCGAAGGGCACCGGTTCTGGTGTAGTGTGAAGGAAGGAGATGAAGCTGAGGAGCCTACGGAGCATCAACACGGTACGGATCATGGTCATGGGGATGGAGAGACCCCTGCGTCTGTTGCTGCTGCTGAAGCCGCCCAGGCGCGCGCGGAGAGAAGAGCCGAGAGGGAACGACAATTACGGGAGCGGGAACGGATGGGAGGTACGATTGCTGCTAATCATATCGTTCAGCAACATATGTTGCACCCGCCTGTGAATCCTCCACCTGTTGCAGCCCAATTGACTGTGCGACCTCGCGGTGCTGTTCTTCCTCCCACCAATCATCCTCAGCCTGTTATTCCTCAGCCACGACGAGGGAGTCCATCGGGATCTGGATTTGGAACGATACAAAATCGAAGGAGGGCTGAGACAGTCTCTGGAGTTGTGGATACGGGTGTGATTAGGGAGACAAGGATGATGCTTGTGCATAATAGATGGCAGCCCGCTAGGAGACGTGGTGAGGAAGTCCGGGAGGATGAGGGGCGTGGGCAGGAGACGTGGGATTTGACGCCTCCGGGTGGTGATGATATGGTTCTGGGGTGAAGGGCACGATGCACGGCTCACAGACGCTTACACGTGTAGATTTACGTGTCTCACCGCCTACACAAGCGCGTTACTCCCTTGTGCACCCACCACGCGCGACCCTGCCCGCAACGCTCATTACCCCCTAAATAATTGTCTGTCTTCCTTTTGTCCATCATTAGTGCATACATATATACATAGTACATACATACCTGCATCACGAGCGCTACGCACGTACGACTCTCCAGCGATTGTCACGATCAATGTTTAACCAGGTACTACTACTTTCGTCTGAATCTACTATTATATTTTTTTGTCTGCTTGGCATTACATCATAGAGTTACATCTCATCAGTAGTAGAGGTGGAGAGTTTTTTTTTTCGCGAGCCAGATGTGTTAAATTTTCGTGAGGGAGACTGGAGAAAATTTTGTTTCTGATGTTTTCGGCGATGTTCCAAGACGCGTCGCGTCCATGAGACCACGTGGCTGGTGAGAAGATGTTTGCCTGGACCAAATAAAACGGCCTAAAACTCGGGAAAGTTCTGTGTGCACAACTTTTTCTTCAGCTTTGCCCACCCGCTTCGTCTTCAGCTTTCTATTTAAACCATGGTGAGCGAGGGCGAGGAGATGCGATACGAGTCTATGCAGGTGCTAATAGTCGGTGTGTCCAGGCTGCCCAGGCAACGTTCAAGAGCATCAAAGCTGTGATTCCTCTGCTCGACCGTGTGTTGGTCCAACGATTCAAGCCTGAAACAGTGCGCATCGAAAAGTTATGACGTGTTTTATACATTCTAAAATTGCTTGTGCGGTGTTGTGGTGGAGTAGAAAACAGCCTCTGGGATTTTCCTACCCTCGTCTTCGACCACTACGCCCTTACCCGAAGCTACTGTAATTGCCGTGGGCCCTGGAGCGCCTAACAAGGAAGGGAATGTTGTTCCTACTCAGGTCAAGGCTGGGGACCGGGTGTTGCTTCCTGGTTGGGGAGGGAACTCGATTAAAGTAGGAGATGAGGTCGGTTTTTATCCTAGTGGATTGGTGGCATTTTTGCTGATTGTTTGCAGGAATACTACTTGTTCAAGGATGCAGAGATCCTTGCGAAGATCCAGGAGTGATTGGGGTGGCACTGCCGTGCAAGTTACGCAGCATTATATACGCTAATCCTTTTGAATTGACGCACTATCGCAATATATCTGGATGTATCCCCGCTCAATCTTAGTTCCGAGGTTATTGTGAAATGCGGTAGAGGTGAGTTTCTCGGCAAATGTTGTGATAGGTGGGTTTTGGGGACTTTACATAGGGACGCTAGGCACACCCCTTAACGCGTGTCGACTCATGGTTGTTTTTTATGTATGAAAGGTTCGGGCACGGTATCGGGCTTCGAAACACATGCAGCACGGAAGCGCCTAGTTACATCGCCGGCCGATTGCTGGTGGCATAGCTTTTTTTGGACACTAAACCAGCTGCTAGACTAGATTAGCCCTGGACTGGGACCGGATGATTAATATTGCGTAATGGTTTTTAGTAGTAAAATGCGTTCGTGCCGGATGCCTGCACTCCAAATCAAGGTTTGTCCTAGCCTTTGCGATAAACACGCTTAGTAGTACCGTTGCTTTGCGGTGATGCCAACGTCCTATAAAACTCAGATGTATCTCCTGGATCACCACGCTAGGCTCTTGCATTCCCGTCCCTCCCCTGCACCGTTCGGAATCACGAAAAGTAATGTCCAAGGAACTTAACCTGGCCACACCTTCTGGCAAGGAACTTGGCCGTTCACTGAGTAACATCGAGACGGTAAAGGACCATGACGCCCAGCGTAGTCGTTTGCGCTCCATTTTTATAGTCATCACTTGTACCGCTGCAATGGTTGTTAATGTGAGCATCCATCATACCTTTGTTCGCAGATCCTTGGTGACATCTCTTTTAAATTGTAGATATCTAATACCACCTCTGTTTCGATTTCACTTCCAACAATCGAGAAGGACCTAGCTATTGAGGAAGAACAGCTTCAGTGGCTCGTATCCGCCTATTCTCTCAGTTCTGTATGTTCTATTTTTGCCTATTTTAATATGACGGCTCACCTCGTGTCAGGGTTGCCTTCTCCTGTTTTTTGGAAGATTGGCGGATCTTTATGGACGAAAAAAGGCATTCATGGTTGGTACTCTCTGTCAGATTGCCTTTTCTCTCGGTTGTGGCTTTGCAAAAGGTTGGCGTGCCTTCCGTCCGTTCCCGTGTTCCGTCCACTCACGATGTAATCCCAGATGGTCTTACTCTCGCTGTCCTCCGTGGCTTCCAAGGTGTTGGAGGCGCCGCTACAATACCGTCCTCAGTAAGTTCTCCCGAGATATTTTTGATCCAAAAATGCTCACTCACTTTCTCAGCTTGGTATCCTAGCCCATGCGTTCCCTCCGTCAAGAGCACGTTCAATAGCATTCGCTACCTTTGCAGCGGGTGCTCCTGTGGGTGGCGCATTTGGCACGATCATCGGCGGTGTCCTGACTCAACTCACCTCGTGCGTCATGATTACCGATACACGCTGTACTATTTCTCATGCTGTCACACAGATCACATTGGCGCGCTGTATTTTATATGGCTGCGGCAACTTCAGCCGTAATTGGAGTTTCGGGTCTAATTTCATTCGATGCTGACGTTCCCTCATCGGAACTTGTCAAACGTGTCGACTGGATCGGCGCTTCGCTCGTCACAATTGGCTTGGTTTTGATTGTATTCGTACTTGGTCAAGGAGAAATCGCCTCCGACGGCTGGAAAACCCCTTGTAAGAATGTCACCGGACCATGCCGATCATTGGCTAAAACTTTCAACAGATATTATCGTGCTCCTTATTCTCGGAGTTATCATGGTTGGACTATTCTTGGCTTGGGAGTGGAGGCTAGAACAAATCATTGACGACGATCCATCAAGAGCGACATCTATGTGGACGCCACCACCACTCATGAGGCTCTCGCTCTGGAGTCGGGCCAAGGGCCGGATGGCCGTTGTCCTTGTCATCGCGTTCTTAAATTGGAGTGCTTTCATTGGCTGGAGCTTCTGGGTTCAGGTATGTTCCGGTTCCACCACCCAAGGGAACGATATCGCTGACTCCGTTTTCTAGTTGTATTATCAGAACTACCTGCTATTGACACCGGTGAACACTATGATCCGATTCATTCCCATGTTCGTTGTCGGTTGTTTATGCAACTTTTTCGTGGCGATGGTCGTTGCCAAATTGCCCTTGGTCATCTTTGTAGGCAAGTGCCTATGTGCAGAATATTAACATGTGAAACTAACTTGTGGTCCAGTCAGCGGAACTCTCTTGACAGCAACGGCCGCCATCTTATTTGCCCTAATTGACCCGTCTGCAACATACTGGGCCTTCGGCTTCCCATCCACGGTTCTTATCGTGTTCGGCGCCGACTTCGTATACTCCTCCGGTACAATTTTCATTGCCAAAACCTCGCTCCCACATGAACACAGCGTGGCTGGAGCGCTATTCCAAACTATGACACAGGCAAGTCCCCGTGAAACAACCAACGCTGTCCTATACTAAACTGCTATATTTTTGGTTAGATCGGCACCGCATTCGGTCTAACTATAACCACAATTGTGTTCAACACTGTGGTTGATAGGGAATCTGCCAAACTCGGCGTCACTGTAAACTCCAGCGGCACCAATGCGCCCATGTCTGCACAACTCGTGGGGTATAAAGATGCGCAATGGACCTCTGCCGCGTTTGCCCTTATGGGTGAGTACTGTGAATTTGTCTTGTGTTGAGAGCGGATCATTGATGGTTACTGTGATTATAGCCGCGCTGCTGGCAGCGCTTTTCCTCCGCACTGTTGGTATCGTCGGACACAACAAGGTCATTAGGCATGTTGATTCCGATCAGACCATGGCTGCGCATGCTGTGTCTAACGACGCTGTGATACCGGCTATGTCCAACTAAGCAAGACATCGACATTCTAACGGACGGTACTTATGCCATCACGAACTCGTATATGCCACCCTTTGCATTTATTCCATTGCACCTCGCACGTTTCGGGATTCACAGGAACCCGCCAATCCAAATTCAACATCCTTAACATTAATCGTATCGACAATAGTTACCGTACCCACGCATGCCGTCGTTTTGACTCTGGCATTGCATGTTTTCGTTTCTGTCATACGTGTTCGAGAATCCACAGGAACTCACAAGTCTAAATTCAACATTTATTATTGGTCTCCCTATATATGTAGTCAGTAGTTTTCGCACCCACCCACGCCATCATTTCGACTCCTAGGCATTGCATGTTTTCGTTTGTCGTTTCTTCTACGTGTAAAGCGTTACCCTTTGGATTTTACTCGGCATGTTATACTGGTAGTGGTACTGTAACAATGTCGTGATCATCGGATAATTTATAGATGCAAGGTTGAACGTTGAAACGATGGAAGTTTGAGGAGGAATGGTTGTTCCTCCTCTTGGCTATGCTATGGGAGACTAGTTAATGATCATGCACAGCCTAGTGTTGTGGGTAGAAGTCTGCCATTCTGCCGGCCGGCTTGGCAGAATCCGGCAGAATGTCAAACTACAGGGGATCGCAGCGAAAGGGATTCTAATACCCCTCTTCACCTTATATGGCCCTCGATCAACTCAGAGCAACTGCACTTCCTTACCTGTAGAGTAGGAAGCCTCGCAGTCAGCGCTGACAGACATCCTTTGAAGGCACTAGCAGTCACCCTCTTATCTATTGTTCCCCATGCTGCCGACGCCGAACACCTCTAGAATCTCAGATATGGGTAGCACTCAGTCTCCGAAGCGCTGCAATCTCACGGTAGACACATTTGAAGCACTGGCAAAGATTTGAGCAAATCTTCGTTACCAGTCACCAGAAGGCCGATTCGTCGACGTCATGCGCACACGCACACCAGTGCCCAGCCAGGCATCAATTTTGCGTGGGCACCACCACTCGCGCCTCAGACTCGGAACATCGATGACTGTCCGATCTTGCAAGTCCTGAATCCATATCACTTGATGAGATCGATGCAGTATTTGCACTATTGGAATTTGGAACACGAGAAAGAAGCCATGGAGCGAGCGCTGGATGATGGAAACGAAGCGTTGGAGGGCCAAGTTTATGATTTTGCAGAATTAAAGCATGTTGACCGAGGTCTTCGGTAGTACCGAAATCTGTTGACGATGAGATCATGGTAGTTCATCATAGCGCCTTGATAATTTTGCCAAGTGGCAGTGGCAGTTCTGCCACTTCTGCCCGTTGTACCGGCACGATTGTCCGCAAATAATTCTGCCCCCAGCACTATGCACAGCGCACGGCATTTCTCGTGGGCTTTCTTTTGTATCGGTCCAACCGTCCATATAGTTGATCTACGGTACGCCGGCCCTGAATGGTTAAAGGCTTATAAGTGCTTAAGCATCGACTCCGAGGTATCGACACAATGCTTCTGAAGTTCTTTCCACAAGTAATCGCACGATATAAGTGATCATCAACGGATTTCCACCACAGGAAGACCGTTAATTTACGGGTGATCAGTTCTTGAATGTTTTTCTGGCCCTAGCGAACAAGTGTTTCGACAAAGGTCCGCGGAAAGCATAGCCTAGGGGTGGAATGGACTTGGCAAAATGGTAGAAGTTAGAACCAGAAAATATATCCACAGAGACGCCTGTACTTTCGAGCCTCGATCAAGTACGTATGTCAACCTCTTCAATATCGAGTCAAGTCAATTGATATGACACCGTTGTCAGGGCATGTGTAACGATTCGCTTAGGTCTGAGGGGTGTTAAGGGGTGTACTAAGGTGAAGAATCAAACTGTGTTGACGAGATTTGACTAGAATTCTCTTTTTTTTTTACAGCTGTTTGCAAAAAGGTTGACAGTAGCGACATTTTGAGAAAGAACAAAACAAATAAATAATAGCCACATACATAGGGTCAAATAACACGCGCATATACTTACTTGCAGACGCTTGACGCAATGTATGCCTCCCGTTTCGCGTCAGAGCTTGAGGATCCGCCAGAACGTGCATTCCGAATCTCCGACGCAAGCAAGAATGTCTTCGAGTGCAAGGTGTTGATGCTTGTGAAGATTAATTGCGGCTAGTCGTGACTGATTTTCCGATACATGATGGTCAATTTGTGATGTATGTATGTGGCTATTAATCTATTATTTATTTGTTTTGTTCTTTTCTCAAAATGTCGCTACTGTCAACCTTTTTGCAAACAGCTGTAAATAAAAATAAAAATACTGACTTTTGCCGTATGTGGATGGTTATCATACTGTAGGGACGTCGACTTCACTCTCTTCGCGTGAGTTCTGCCAACGTTAGCCAGGCACAACGCCCGGTTGGGCGGGTCTCCCGGATTCTGCCAACAACACTACCAGCACATAAGAAAACTTCACTTTGGTTATATATCCGGTTGCGGCCCATGCATGATGAATATCAAACTATCCTGCCCCGAGCCTTACACTCTCAAGTTTCCAGGAAACGCGAGAAGTAATGTCTCAGGAGCTTACTCATTCACCAATCCATCAAGATCTCAACCTCGAGAAGGCTAAGCACTATGATTCAGACTCGGATGTACAGCGCAGTCTTTTGCGCTCTGTCTTTATCATCGTGACCTGCACCGCTGCAATGGTGGTCAATGTATGCCTTCATCGTAATCATATTCCGCGACATTTTTTTCATGATGGCTTGCTATTCGTTATTAATCACAGACCGCTAACGCCAGTTCTGTCTCTATCTCGCTCCCAAGTATTCAAAGGGACCTAAATGTCAAGGAAGACCAGCTGCAGTGGCTCGTATCTGCCTATTCGCTCAGTTCGGTGCGTCATTGTCTCTCTTCATCTTTCTGCGTCTCGGCTTACTTCCCACTTAGGGCTGCCTTCTCTTGTTCTTTGGCAGATTGGCGGATATCTATGGTCAGAAACAGGCGTTTATGGTCGGTACTCTCTGTCAAGTCGCGTTTTCTCTTGGTGCTGGCTTTGCACAGAGTGAGTGCTACTTATCTGTTAGTCAGTTCTATCCATTTACATTGTCATCACAGGTGGTAGTACCCTCGTCGTTTTGCGCGCCTTCCAAGGCCTTGGTGCTGCTGCTACAATACCGTCTTCAGTGAGTATTTTGTATATTTTACATACTTTGAACTAGAATTCTCATGCAGTTTCTCAGCTCGGTATCCTGGCGCATGCATTCCCTCCGTCTAAAATGCGTTCAATAGCTTTCGCAACATTTGCAGCCGGTGCCCCTGTCGGTGGCGCATTCGGCATGATCGTCGGCGGTGTCCTCACACAAATATCCTCGTACGTCATAAGTTGTTTCTGCAATGCTGAATTTTTGATGCCCTCATAAAGGACACATTGGCGCTCCTCATTCTATTTGGTTGCAGTGATGTCTGCTCTAACGGGTATTTCCAGTATGATTTCATTCGACGCAGATGTGACTTCGACGGAGGCTGTCGACTGGATCGGCGCTTCCCTCGTCACCATTGGTCTGGTCCTGCTTGTATTTGTACTTGGTCAAGGAGAAGTTGCTTCTCAAGGCTGGAAAACTCCATGTAAGACTTTTTCTGTGTCACGTATTGCTAAATTTCATAATCATTGCTAGACATCATTATCCTTCTAATTGTCGGGATTATCATGGTTTTGCTGTTCTTGCTTTGGGAGCGATACTTGGAGCAAGTTATAGATGATCCATCAAGCACAACGTCCGCATGGACACCACCGCCATTGATGAGGCTCTCGCTTTGGACGCGAGCAAAGGGCCGGATGGCTGTTATTCTCGCCATTGCATTCCTGAATTCCTGTGCGTTCGTTAGCTGGAGATTTTGGGTTCAGGTACTCCATGATTTACTGCCAGGAGGAACGAGGACGCTGACTACGCTCTGTTCAAGTTGTATTATCAGAACTACCTTTTGCTCACACCTATGCAAACTATGCTCCGGTTCATTCCAATGTTCATCGTCGGCTGTTTGTGCAACGTTTTGGTTGCAATGTTTGTTGGCAAATTGCCTTTGGTCGTCTTTGCAGGTATGGCTCTGCGAGGAGTATTGTAACATGTAACGCTGACTTGTCTTGCCATCCAGTCAGCGGAACGTTACTGACAGCATCTGCCGCTATCCTGTTTGCGCTGATTGACCCGACCGTGACGTATTGGGCATTTGCCTTCCCATCCACGGTTCTTGTCGTGTTCGGCGCTGATTTTATGTACTCCGCTGGTACAATTTTCATCGCCAAGATCGCGCTCCCACATGAGCGCAGCGTGGCTGGAGCTCTGTTTCAAACTATGACACAGGCAAGTGGCGTTTAATCAACTGATACTGTCCTGTTCTAATGTCAATTGATTTGTGATAGCTCGGCACTGCGATCGGACTTGCTTTATCTACGCTTGTGTTCAACATCGTAGTTAAAAACGAGTCTGCTGATGTTGGCGTTACTGTCAACTCTGCTGGCACCAACGCGCCCCATTTCGCACAGCTTAAGGGTTATAGATCTGCGCAATGGAGCTGCGCTTCATTTGCACTTGTGGGTGAGTGCTGCGAATTCGGCCTGCGTTGAGAGTGCTTTGTTGACGATTTGTTTTGTCACGGTGATTAGCTGCGCTGCTGGCAACGCTTTTCCTCCACGGTGCTGGGATTGTTGGAGACAAGAAGACTATCAGGCATATTGATAGTGATGAGACAATAGCCGTGCGGTTTGAATCCAAGAAGGGCTAGATACACTCATTTTTCAACATATCTAACAATTGACACATGGTCCCACCCCCTCCACTCTCTACTCTATCGTACCCTCGTTCCAGAAGCTCTATACTGCCTACACTCCTTTTTAGCATTACATTTTTGTGTTCTTGCCCATATAGCGTCACCCTGTTTCTCTTGATCTTGAATGTTCCATACTACATACACCCCTTTCTAGCCTTATATATTTTTCTGTCCTTATCTATAGAACGTTATCCCTGTTTCTCTCAATCTTGCATGGCATATATAATTTCAAGTGTCGTGGTTTCTTGCGATGATGTAGCTGAGTGAAGACTGTCGTCTGCTTAGTCACACTGTCATACCAAAAGGCCTGAGTGATACTGAAAGCTATCGCAGACAGACTCTAGTAAGCCAGTATGCTTACAGATGATCAACTCATCCAACGTACAGTAGTTGCATTCCTAATTCTTTCCCCCCATCATACATTCCACGACAAGGCATCAACATACAGGTATCTCCGTTCCATCGCACGTGGAATGGAATGCAGTGTTCTTTGACACTCGCGCCTTCTTTTGATGTCATGCGGATAAATATGTCGACTAAACTTCTGAGCCATGAGCTCGATAGATCACCTACGTACCCTGGACTGATACATTTTTTTTAGATATAAGGTGTACTACAATAGTTTTGGGATGTCGGAACCGAGTCTCAGGCTGGACTCAGGACAGCAATCAGGCACGCCATGAGCCTATCTATAGCCTGGCGGTGTACCATGACTTCAGGTTCAAGCTTCCGACTGGCATCGTCGACGTTGAATGGTGTTCCAACTCGAATGTGTGGCGCGTTGTTTTATCCAGTGGATTGCCTATGACTCGGAAACATGATTCCTGGCATTGTGAGCCTCTTTGGTTTCGTAGAGTTCATATATATAGGGTTTGGGACAATGGTGACTGGTGGTACGTCATATGATCAGGGACATGCTTATGCATCGCTGATGGACCATGGATCATATTTCCCATTTCCCGACTCCCAAGCCTGTGACTCAGGCTCGCGCGGCTGGGATCATGTTCATTTCGACCGGAGCGCGCACGCCACAGAAGTTCACGCCCATGGTCATGAGCACGCTCGACCAACTTCAGCGAATAATAAACTTCAGGGCGGCATCTCAAGTTAAAAGGTACATAGAACGAAATTCGACATCACCCAACAGAGGTTGACCGGTCACCTGTGCAATGAATACTACGGCTGCTTAATTTGGATGACCTTATTGTCAAGCGGAATCATCACACGATATAATAATATCTCATATGCATTCGCTATTGCTCGCCAACCTATTGTCTACGTCAATGGAATCTCCAATGGCAGTGGGCGCGTGGCAAGTCTAAGTCGAACAGTGATATTTTGGTGACAACTAGGACGGAACATACGGGATTTTACAAAGTTCTCTCAATGGTGAAACTGATGCAGTAGAAAGGTATATAAGTGCCTCGAAAATGCGATGTCCATCAGCTCAACCAATATTCAATTGTCGTTCGCCAGCAGTTTATCTAACTGCCATATCTCATACAACACCTTCGGCCACTCGTGAAAGTCACCCTAGTCTTTTCCAAGCAATGGACTCATTCTCAAACATCCTCGCTATGCTGTCCGCTTCAAAGGCTGACGATGAGAGGAGTCCTGCATCGTCGACACCGGTTGAAGAGGATTCGACGTCAGGAACCACCGGGAATGCTTACTGTGTCATTGCATGAACGCGATGCACACCATCTCAGTCATATACGAACGTAAGTGGAGACAGTTGTTTAATTCGCGGAACGATTGCTTACCGTCATTTGTTGCGGTTCCAAACATTGCTCCTTGTAAATAGGACGGTGCCCTCTATAGCGTTTAAGCTACGGCAGGTTTAATGAGCGACACCACTTCACTTTACTTGTCATGACAATACATTTCGTTCAGCATGCTTCGTTCTTCATTAACCATTTTTCGGTCTTCGTTCACCATTTTTGTTGTATTATTTCGTCGGGTTCTGGGTATCTTGGATATAGGTACAGGAGATACTGCTGTGACTGTTGGGTATTCTGGGTAACGCACATATATAATTATCTGTGGCGCCTGGAGAGAATAAACAATGTTATTACCTATTATGACCCACTACTGGTGATACCTTTGCGCATGTGTCAGGTTGACAAAATCGCTCGAGGAAAATCAAAAGACACAAACAACCATTTACAAGCATTCCATCCATGTTGGCTATTGTCTCTGTATTCGTTGCTCATGGTGAAATTGAATTCGACGTGCTAGACTTGAAGTGTTCAAGGGCATTGTGCAGGGTGAACGTCATGAGCGTGATGCTGCAGTCCGCAGACGTGTGCCATCAATTCGTCACGGTGGTGTAATTCAGCAAGCCAAGTTGGGTGCATGCCGCGCAAGGCCTGATCGATCGATCACTGTGAGCAATTATGAGAACAATCGAAGGGAGCTGAACAATGCAGTCGTTCCAACCCGTTACACTCGTCAATCCACACCACACACCATTGTGGTGCATGCACGTTAAGTGTGTCATAAACTCCACCTCTCCTGCGTAGGACGACCTTCAATGGATTAATCTTGATTTGAGCACACAGCGAACACGTGTGCATTGTCAATTTCGATGCTCGCGAGTTTGTCGTCTTGATCTCCGTCATCACGAACAATTCACCCCGGATATTCTATGTACTTCTGTACGTGGTGCAAGGCGGCATTGCACCAGAAGACCAGAGGAATAGTAATGTGGCGCGTGTACGCCATGGGGTGTTGGTTGATGTCGTTGATCGAAGCTAAGGGAAAGAAGAGTAAGAAAGAAGAGAGATCTTACTCGTGAGGGACTCCGTAAGAATCTAGGAGCATCGGGATAGATTCCTTTCCTAGCACCAGAAAGTGTTGGTCAGCTGGCAAACCAAGAAGAAACTTTAATTTGACAATCACAAAGCCATGAAGGAACCGTTTCGAGCCGTATTCGATTGGCAACAGGCACTACGAACGTATATTTCGAAGAGAGCGATTAGATGATAGAAGAATGGTTTTTTGCGAGAACCGCGGTGGTTTGTTCAAGTTTGGCCACTTGTTGGCATCTGTTGGATACGCAAGGCGTTGTTAAACACGTTTACAGTGTAGCCTCCGACTTGCTTATTCCTGGCATGTTTTGTAATCGAATTAAACGTTTCTCTTGGACTGCGCAGGTTTCAAACCTGCAGATGACAGGGTTTTCTCTCTCTCGGAACACACTTTGACATTCGCTCATGGATGGTTTCGTCGGCCTTTTATCTTACAGCAGTTTGCGAAACTAATGGCACTGGCGTGTTGTGGGAAAATCACGATTGAGATTTGGGACTTAGTTTTTTTTTACCATTCTGTGTTACATAATGCCGCATCACACGGAGATCTTCATTTTGTTCTTTGGTGATTTTACGGAGCTTTTTGAGGGAAACGCCCGCACGATGGAGCTCACGGTGGATGGTGGTGTAGTGGAGTGCAATGAAGCGGTTGCATAACATGAGTCGAGTGATCTCGTCGAGAAACCAATCTGGCCGGTGGTGGACCAGTTCCACGAGGTACTGAACATCCTCAAGATTCAGCTTCCTCGGACGACCTGTGAATTCACCCCGTGGTTTGACTACATCGCCGGTGTGCTGATAGAGCTTTCGGATGCGGAAGAATGTGCATCTCGAGAAGCCGACGCAATCAAGGATTTCACGAAGACTAAGGATATCTTGCTCATACAGGCGAATGGCAGCGAGTTTGACGTCGGATGAGATCTTTCGGTTGACCATACTAGGTGTATTGTTGTCCGACGTGGTGCAATTGTTTGAATTTTTCTCTAAGTCTCAAAACGGTGAAAATTTTCAAAGTCCCAAATCCTCAATTATGATTTTCCCACAACATGCCAGTGCCATTATATACGCACACAGCTGTAACTCGTGTTAGCCAAATGGTTACCGCAACAGAATTAAAATCTGTGCCTCTTGGACTGTGCAGGATCGAAACCTGCCGAATGACAGGTTTTTTTCTATCAGAATACACCTTCACATTGACTCTTGGGTGGTTTCCACCTTAACTAGGCCCACTCATTGCGCCGAAACCTCCTTTTTATGTGATCATTAGTCTGTCCATGAAAAGGAATTCACTTTACACCCCGTGAGCGTCGTATCAGAAACATGAAATTTATTTCCGAGGTGCGTATGTGCCAAGTTACAACCTAGACGAGGCGATGAATATCTGCATTCTGGTCCCTCAGTGGACATTCTTTCAGATGTGGTTTGCACACCCATGCAGGGAAAGAAGAATGACGTAGACGTTGCTGCGATGTGGCAGCTTGACAGAGCTGTCTACTTCTTCCGTTGTTACCGATCACCAAGAGACCGAGACTTTCTGCATGATCTCAGCTTGCCGCTGTGTACAAATGTACGTATCCGTTGGCAACAACTTATGCCAGTAGTGATATAGCAAGAAATTGGTTTGCCACAGACTGTTCTCTTTAAATATAAGTACTTTGGAACACCGAATAATACCTCGACGAAACTTCGAACGGATGTCTCCTTCCTGCAGAGCACCCAGCAAACATTTCCCGTCCTAGACAGTACTCATGCGGATAAATGTGTCGACTGAACTTCTGAGCCATGAGCTCGATAGATCGAGTTGCAACAATTCGTGTGAGAGATTCACTACGTTCCCTTAACTGATACATTTTTTATAGATATAAGGTGTATTATGATAGCTTTGGGATGTCCGAACCAAGTCTGGACTCAGGACGGCAATCAGGCACGCCATGAGCCTATCTATAGCCTGGCGGTGACCCACGACTTGTGCTTCCGACTGGTATCGTCAACGTCAAATGGTGTTCCAACTCGAACATATAGCGCGTTGTTTTATTCAGTGGATTGCCTATGAAACATGTGCATGATTCCTGGCATTGCGAGCTTCTGTGGTTTCGTAGAGTTCATATATATATAGGGTTCGGGACAATGGCGCAGCCTGGTGGTACGTCATATGATCAGAGACATGCTTATACATCGCTGATGGACCATGGATCATATTTCCCATTTCCCGACTCCCAAGCCTGTGACTCAGACTCGCGCGGCTGGGATCATGTTCATTTCGACCGGAGCGCACACGCCACAGAAGTTCACGCCCCTGGTCGAGAGCATAGTCGACCAACTTCAGCGAACAATAAACTTCAGGACGGCATCTCAACTTACAAGGTACGTGGAATAAAAATTCGTCATCACCCAACGGAGGTTGACCGGTCACCTCTGCAATGAATACTATGGTTGCCTGATTTGGATGACCTTATTGTCAAGCCCCTCCCCCTACCCATCGGAATTGTCACACGATATAGTAATATCTCATATACATTCACTATTGCTCGCCAACCTATTGTCTACGTCAATGGAATCTCCAATGGCGGCGGGCGCGTGGCAAGTCTAAGTCGAACAGTGATATTTTGGTGACAATTAGGACGGAACATACGGGATTTTACAAAGTTCCCTTAATGGTGAAATCATTGCAGTAAAAAGGTATATAAGCGCCTCGAAAATGCGATGTCTACCAACTCAACCAACATTCAGTTGTCGTTCGCCAGCAGTTCATCCAACTGCCATCTCTCATACAACACCTTCGACCACTCGTAAAAGTCGCACCCTAGTCTTTTCCAAGCAATGGACTCATTCTCAAACATCCTCGCTATGCTGTCCGCTTCAAAGGCCGACGATGAGAGGAGTCCTGCATCATCAACACCAGTTGAAGAGGAGTCGTCATCAAGCTCCGGAGGTTGTTACTGTGTCATTGCGTGAACGCGATGCACACTATCTCAGTCATATGCAAAAGTAAGTGGGGACAGTTGTTTAATCCGCGGAACGATTACTTATCGTCATTTGTTGCAGCTCCAGACACTGCTCCTTGTAAATAGGACAGTGCAATACCCTCTATAGCGTTTAAGCTACTGCAGGCTTAATGAACGACACCACTTCACTTTACTTGTCATGACAGTTTCGTTCAGCATGCTTCGTTCTTCGTCAACCATTTTTCGATCTTCGTTCACCATTCTTGTTGTATTATTTCGTCGGGTTCTGTGTATCTTGGATATAAGTACAGGAGATACTGTTGAGACTGTCGGATATGCTGGGTAACGCGCATATATAATTATCTGTGGCTCCTAGAGAGAATGAACAATGTTTACCTATTATGACCTCCTGCTTGTTATACCTTGTGCATGTGTCAGGTTGACACAATCGCTCAAGGAAAATCAAAAGACACAAATAACCATTTACAAGCATTCCATCCATGTTGGTTGTTGTCTCCGTATTCGTTGCTCGTGGTGAAATTGAATGTGACGTACTAGACTTGAAGTATTCAAGGGCTTCGTGCAGGGTGAACGTCATAAGCGTAATGCTGCAGTCCGCAGACGTGTGTCATCAATTCGTCACGGTGGTGTAATTCAGCAAACCAAGTTGGGTGCATGCTGCGCAAGGCCTGATCGATCGATCACCGTGAGCAATTATGAGAACAATGGAAAGGAGCTGAACAATGCAGTCGTTCCAACCCGTTACACTCGTCAATCCACATTATGCACCATTGTGGTGCATACACGGTTAAATTTGTCATAAATTCCACCTCTCCTGCGTAGGACGACCTTCGAAGGATTAATCTTGATCCGAGCACACAGCGAACGCGTGCAGTGTCAATTTGAATGCTCACGTCTTGATCACCATCTTCACAAGCAATTCGCCCCGGAGATACTGTATACCTCTGTACGTGGCGCGATGCGATATTGCCGGAAAACAACATCAGGAGCTACGAGGAGCAATGTGGCGCGTGAATACCATGAGGTGTTGATTTGTGTCGTTGATCGAGGCTCAGGGTAAGACTCCAATTGGCAACAGGCACCACGAACCTATATTTCGAAGAGAGGCGATTAGATGATAGATGAATGGTTTTTTGTGAGAACCGCGATGGTTTGTTCAAGTTTGTTCATTTGTTGGCATCTGTTGAATATGCAAGGCGTTGTTAAACACGTTTACAGTGTAGTTTCCGACTTGCTTATTCCTGGCATGTTTTGTAATCGAATTAAACGTTTCTCTTGGACTGCACAGGTTTCAAACCTGCCAACGACAGCCTTTCCTCTCTCTCGGAATACACTTTGACATTCGCTCATGGATAGTTTCGTCGGACTTTTTCTTAACTCGTGTTAGCCAAGTGGTTACCACCACAGAATCAAAATCTGTGTCTCTTGGACTGTGCAGGTTCGAAACCTGCCGAATGACAAGTTTTTTTCCATCAGAACACACCTTCACATTAAATCCTGGGTCTCCTCGGAGGTCCATCCTCACTAGGCCCAGTCATTGCGCCGAAACCTCCTTTAAATCCGATAGTCTGTCCATGAAATGGAATTCACTTCGTGCCTCGCGAGTGTCGTATCGGAAACATGAGATATATCCCCGAGATGCGTACGTGCCAAGTTCCAACCTAGATAAGGCGAATATCCGCCTTCTGGTCCCTCAGTGGACATTCTTTCGGACGCAGTTTGCACGCCCACGCAGGCGGGGAAGAATGAAGTAGACGTTGCCGCGAGATGGCGGCTTAATGAAGGCATGCAATTTGTGACAGTGTGCGAGGCACAACTTGATTGACCAAGATCCTCATCAAAGAAAAGTGTCTATTGTTTTCGTGTCTAGATTGCGATGCTTACACTGATGCACACCTAGTTTCAGTACCCTGTGCATAGTCAGATATTCACTGTCTAGCCGACATCCACTTATTTTCAGATGTGCCTTACTGGTTGCTTGAATATATTTCTTGAAGAACGAGATTGCATGGCAGACAGTATCGCCAACGATAAGATATCGACAACCGCTGTACAGAATGAATCAAGGTCGGTCTAAGCTAATGGACCAGGAACTCTAACAAGAGCTGTATACTTCTTCCGTTGTTACCGAGCACCAAGAGACCGAGACTTTCTGCATAATTTCAACTTGCCGCTGTGTACAAATGTACGCATCCGTTGGCAACGACTTATGCCAGTAGCAATATAGCAAGAAATTGGTTTGCCACAGACTGTTCTCTTTAAATATAAATACTTTGGGGCACCGAATAATACCCCTACAGAGCACCCAGCAAACATTTCCCGTCCTAGACAGTACTGCTAGTTGACACATGTACACGCTCCTGGAAGGCAATGGAAGACATGCCCGTCGCTGCGTCAGAATCGGTCACGAGCTTGCTGTGATATTCTCGAACGCTAAGGATGAGGCGTGGTCCCAACACAAACAACTGCACATTCGCAAGGGTTTGAAGAATGCCAGTAAAAATGACAGTTCCCATGGAATTTGAGTCCTACAACGATGATGAGCAGTGACCACATGCAAATGTCAGGGACATATCAACACACCAAGAGGGATGGAGAGAGATACGCAAGCTGGAGGCAAGAAACAGCGGTAAAGCTAGCGCATGCAGGACTTCAGGAAAACAATGATAACCACAGTCACATTGCGAGCTCACCTTCCAAAGTAAAGGGCATGAGACTTTACCAATACTGTGAAATAGTCCTCAATGGCCGATCCTGTCGATTGTCCGACTCGGAGTAGTCGCAGTTCACGGAAGTGTTTTACAGCAGTCCAATTTGAAAGAAACAGTGCAAGGACCTCCCATACGGTATTGAGTATCCAGATCGTTGAAATCAGAAGCTGTACATCTCTTGTATAGTAATAGGTGCACGCGTGAGTGCTGGAGAGTATTAACTCCTCTGTGATCCATCCTATGAGCTTCATTCTTCGAGCTGATAAGTAAAGCTTACCCCCTACAATATACTTCATTGCTATCGCGGCAAGCACTCCGCCAGCAATATTGACAGCCAGGAAGATTATAATGAGAAAGACGAGCACCTTCCTCGATCCCTGATACATGGCATATAACCGAGTAATCATGATAGCTTGTGCAATGTTCTAGTCAGGGCGAGATCACTGGAGTATTGTAGTCGAGTAACTCACCACCCAGCATGGCAGCTGTAACTACGTTTGTCCAATCTATTACCTTAATCACAATATTACCTAGATGTTTAACAAACCTAATCAGCGATCACCATCATAGGATAAGACGCTCGAAACAAACTCACACCTGTTGTGGTCGTTATGCCGGGACAAGTGCGATGTTCAAGATTTCACTCACCCCTACGTATATGTGTGCAGTTAATTATATGGGAATGAGAGAGGGGTAAAGAATACTCACAGCATCCGTCTGTGGGACTGTGGGAAGGCTACCTTTATGCTACTAATCAGAAAATACAAACCCACAGTATGTGAGACATACCGAGAATCCATGTACTGATTGTGAGAGATGGCTTGTCAACACAGTGCTACATCATTGGCATCGTATACTTACACAGCATATAATATTCCAGTATAGCGTATCTAGAATATTTTGGAGTCAGCACAACTTACCAACTGCGCCTCTAATATAAGTTACTAGTACGTACGCTGAGGTACAAAACTGTCATCAGAGACAAGCGTTGCCTCTGCGCCGAATGGATGTTATGATCCTCTTGTTGTTCTGACACGCAACTCCACTCACCCAGACCAGTTCAACCTATTAAGGCCATTCTTAGCGAGACGGCTGCTCCGGCAATGAGATCAACTTACCTCTTGTGCGAAGGTCATTACTGGAAATATCATCGTGATATCGGTTGTTTTCCAATACCACTTGCTGCTCACCCCAATCATATATCACTATAGCAGAAGCGGCAACTGCGGAACCGTGTCAAGGTTAGATCAAAACAACTGTCTGATTGGCTCTCCACGAACCTATCCAATAACTATTTAACTGAGCCGAGCTAATTAGCGGCCACCAACTGGAATCATTTGAGACTACGGTCATATTCAAGGAGTGGGTATCAGATAGTGGTGAACTTGGTAGATGTGTAATGATAACGTTCATGCTAGATATACCATCTCCGGCGCTTGTATCGCTAAAAGAGGCGTGATAGAGATAGATGGTCGTTCCTTCCTCAAAGCCCTCGATTGGTCAAAGTGGGTACCATGGGGCGAGATCAAGTAGAAAGTGGAAGTCCTTGATTGAACCAGAGTAGATTTTCGGTTGCGAACCTGCAAATCAGTCTCACGCACAGGGAGTGTTTGAAGAGTGGGAATTTTCGAAAAGTTGTTGGTGATGTCAGGAATTTGTTTCTAAGATCTTGCTGCACTTGCATCTGTTCAGGAGTTCCGTGAGTAAAATTGTGTAGTCATCGATCTAACATAGGTCCAAGCATGATGCGACCATCGTCATCGGCTACCGTTGCTTTCCGAGTCAGGCTGACATATACATTTGTACTCATTGGATGCAACCCAGGGGTATGGCAGTTCTTCTAATAAATCTTCTCAAAGACTCGGCATGGTACTAGAGAAGTGTGCAAATATAACTCACCAGTCTCGTGACTGATAACACCCGTTTGTTACATCTCCAAACCACACCCCTCATCGCCCAACCACGCTGATTCGTATCATTTGCAGTATCTGTCATATTCTAGATCATACACTGAGATTTGATCCGCAACAAATGAACGGATGCTGCGCAAACGTCTTGGGAGGGCGAAAAGAAACATGCAAGCAGACCGACCGTTCAACATTTTCCCAAGCTGTCCCTCAAATCTCTGGTCACATCTTTGCCACCCCATATGGTACCGGCCTTTCACTGAGGTGATTGCAGGCACTGGAGATTATACGGGTCAATGCGTAGAGCAGTTGTACGAAGGGAATCGCAGTATGTTGACACAGCAGGACCACAGCTGCTATGCCGACGTTCGCGATGTATGTTCGATAATTAAAATGGAGGATGCACCGTGAATCATACTCGGGGTCCATCCAAATGACCATCGTGATATATGTCTTTACCATGTTCCTTGTCACCTCATCCTCCCTGTCCCGTTTGAATCTCACCAGGGTGAAGGTACCTCGCCCTTGCCGCGGCGCTGTAAATATATCGATAGCTGCCTAGTAGAACTTCAAAGACGTATGCGGAACGGCGGAGAGCTGGGAAAGTTGTGGTGGCAGTATAGGAGCGGTGAAACCAACGAGGATCGAACACACCTAAAGGCGAGCAAGCGACTACAACAGTTTTCTACCGATCCATCTCACTTTCAGGTGCGCAATATGCTGATCTGCCGGACTAGCACGCATGGGCAAGGGACACGGAAGGCGGACGAGTGCTTGCGGGAGCGTTACGGTAGTGATGAGAAGTGCAGAGGTCTATGAGAAGAAGAGACATCCAAGAAGGGGAGAGACTGGAGTGGAGGATGGTAGTATTGTTCTTAGAGTATTACTTCAAACCTGGAACATCAGTACTCGCAGAGATTAAACTATGTAACCAAAAACTTTTGCGGTCTCGTTCTTGTGGTAGATGTTGTGCGCAGTTTCAGTGCATGATCTATCCATATCCCATCTGAGCAACTCGTTGTGGCACTTGAAGCTACGCAAAAATAAATGAGGAGGGGCTCGCCGAAGGTGTGAAGAGGACGGGGCTGCTTCTGGATTCGGAGAGACTCAGAAGAGAGCGGGCGGCATGATTGATTGCACTGTTGTTTAGTGAACATAGGAAGTTGTCACTAGTCTCCCGTAGTTAGGCTAATCTAATGAAGAGTCGTTCTGAATCCTTCTGTATTATTAGGGGAACTTCGTTGTGGATATCACCCATGTTCGCTGTATGAGGATGTAGTTTTGAGCTCGGCACCTATGGCAAATTGAAAGGGTAGCTATACCATAGCGGGAAATAACATTGTAAAACAAATTGTTCATTCTCTCCGGCCGGTGCTACAGATAATTATATGTGCGTTCACCAGAATATCCGATGGTCTCGAATGTATCTCCCGTACCTGTACCTAAGATACCAAAGTAACTCCAAAGAACCCGACGAAATAATAAAACAAAAATGGTGAACGAAGGTCGATACATGCTGAACGAAGTGTGTTGTCATAAGTAAACCGAAGTGGTATTGCCCATTAAACCCTGCTGTAGCTTAAACACTACAGAGGATATGGCACTGTCCTGGTTATCAAGGAACAAGTGTCTGGAACTGTAACCAACGACAGTAAGCCATCGTTCCGCGAATTAATTAAATAACTCCACTTACGTTCGTATATGGATGAGACAGTATGCATCGCGTTCATGCAATGACACAATAACAACCTCCGGAGCTTGATGACGACTCCTCTTCTACTGGTGTTGACGATGTATGACTTTCATCATTGGCCTTCATAGCGAAGATGCTTGAAAATGAGTCCATTGGGGATGTAAAAAGAACGAGGGTATGATTTTTACAAGTGGAAGGTGTTGTATGAGAGACAGTAGTTGCGAGTACTGCTGATGGACGAGAGGCAAAGTTGGTTAAACTGATAGAAATTGCAATTTCTGGAGACTTATATACATTTCTACCGCGACTTGATCAGCGAGAGAACTTTGCAAAATCTCGCATGTTCCTACCTAATTGTCACCAAAATATCACAGTCAGACTGAGACTTACCAGTCACAGAAACCATGTCTGGAGACCGCATTGACACGTAAACAATAAGCAAGCTAGCAATAGCGAATACATGTGGGATTATACATCGTGTGAGCAGCGACCTTCCGATGGGTAGGACGACTCCGGAGGGGCTTGACAATAAGGTCGTCCCGATTAGGAAACCATAGTATTCGCTGCAGAGGTCCGACAGGGAACCCAATTGGCTCCAGAGTTGGGAGATGGCCAATATTTTTCCGAGGTACATTTCATCGGCTCGCGATATCGGCCTGCTCTAGCCGGAGGACATGCATGCACGCGTCCAGCAGCGCGGGCACAAGCCCAACGGAGAAGGGATCTGGAAGGTAAGGACGTCAATATGCCACACAATAAATCGTTCAATCCTCTATCTTAAGCGTATTTCTTCGATGGGGGTGTCCGCCCGAGCAGTACATCATGTATCCGTTCAAATAACTGCGTGATATTACGGGGAACTGACGAGAAGCATCAGGTACTTACACTTGTTGGATTGTGATATGAAGGGTGAGCTCGCTCATTACAATTGCTCGGCTTCCTAGCAGGAAAAGATGGAGTTGATGGAAAAGTTGGCATGTAACGCCATGGTAGGTGATGTGTGGGTATGGGACCCAGGTGAGAATTGAGGGCGAGGCTGAAATACCCGAAAACGTTGAGAGGTTTAGTGATTTTTAGCTTCCTTGATTTATGCCCCAGCCACATGCGGCGTGTGCCTGTGTAACGTACGTATTAGATGGGACGAAATTGCATACAACTTGCGGGCCTGGTGAATCAATTCCCGGTACACGACCGAGTTTTGCTAGAAATTTATTTGTATGTGTTTGACAACACCTTGCACCTACTTACATAAGTAAGTTGTCTCTGATTTTCCTAATGGCACATTCAAGAATCGACATCCCAAAGCTATAACGGACGCCTTATATCCAAAGAAATGTGGTATTAGGGGTAGAATCTCTCGCACAAAATGTTTCAACTCGATCCATCGAGCTCGAGTGGTACATGGCTCAGCTGACAGTGACACGTTTATCCACATGACATCAAAAGAAGGCATGAGTCTCAAAAAAACACTGAATTCCATTCTGCGTGCGATGGTATGGAGACACTTGTACGTTATAGCCTTGTCATCAAGTACATGGTGGGAGAAAAACAGAGTTGATGCATTGATCATCGCAAGAAAGCGACGGCACTTGAAATCATATGCGCCGTGCAAGAGCAAGAGATAGCAAGAGAAACAGGAATAGCACTATGAGTGAGGACAGAAAATTGTAATGCCAGAGGAATGTAAGTAGTATGAAGCATTCGCGGTGACAATTACTCCAATGTTGAATTGCATTTTGATTCGGGAAGGAGGGTACGATTGAGACAGGGTGGAGGGGGTGGGACCATAGCAGCACGGCATCATATGCCATTGCTAGATGTTTTCTTTAAAATGGGCGTATTTAGCCGTCCCCGGACTCGGGCCCCATGGCTATTGTGTGATTACTGTCAACATGCTTGACAATTTTTTTATCTCCAACAATCCCAACACCGTGAAGGGAAAGCGCTGCCAGCAGCGCAGCTATTCACCGTGACAATACAAATTGTCAACAAGACACTCTCAACGCAGGCCGAATTCGCAGTACTCACCCATAAGCGCAAATGAAGCGCAGGTCCACTGGGCAGATCTATAACCCTTAAGCTGTGCGGAACGTGGTGCGTTGGTGCCAGCAGAGTTGACAGTAACGCCAACATCAGCAGACTCGTTCTTAACCACGATGTTGAACACAAGCGTAGATACGGCAAGTCCGACTGCAATGCCGAGCTATCCCAAATAAATTGACATTAGAACAGGACAGTATCAGTTGGTTTAACGCCACTTGCCTGTGTCATAGTTTGAAACAGAGCTCCAGCCACGCTGCGCTCGTGTGGGAGCGCGACTTTGGCGATGAAAATTGTACCAGAGGAGTACACAAAATCAGCTCCGAACACGACAACAACCGTGGCCGGGAAGCCAAACGCCCAATACGTTGCGGTCGGGTCAATCAGCGCAAACAGGATAGCGGCAGATGCTGTCAGTAGCGTTCCGCTGACTGGAAGACAAGTCAGCGCTACATGTTATAACATTCCTCGCACAGAGCCGTACCTGCAAAGATGACCAAAGGCAATTTGCCAACAAACATTGCAACAAAGACGTTGCACAAACAGCCGACAACGAACAATGGAATGAACCGAAGCATAGTATGCACAGGTGAGAGCAAAAGGTAATTCTGATAGTACAACTTGAACGGAGCGTAGTCAGCGTCCTCGTTCCTCCGAGCAGTGGAACATGGACGTACCTGAACCCAGAAACTCCAGCTCATGAAACCAGACCAATTCAAAAATGCAATGACGAGAATAACAGCCATCCGGCCCTTTGCTCGCGTCCAAAGCGAGAGCCTCATCAATGGCGGTGGTGTCCATGCGGACGTTGTGCTTGATGGATCATCTATAACTTGCTCCAAGTATCGCTCCCAAAGCAGGAACAACACAACCATGATAATCCCGACGATTAGAAGGACAATGATGTCTAGCAATGATTATGAAATTTAGCAATACGTGACACAGAAAAAGTCTTACATGGAGTTTTCCAGCCTTGAGAAGCAACTTCTCCTTGGCCAAGTACAAATACAATCAGGACCAAACCAACAGTGACGAGGGAAGCACCGATCCAGTCGACAGCTTCCGTCGAAGTCACATCTGCAGTCGAATGAAATCATACCGGAAATACCCGTTAGAGCAGACATTACTGCAACCAAATAGAATGGGGAGCGCCAATGCGTCCTTTATGAGAACATAAAGGATTCAGCGTCTTGCATAAACAACTTATGACGTACGAGGATATTTGTGTGAGGACACCGCCGATGATCATGCCAAATGCGCCGCCGACAGGAGCACCCGCTGAAAATGTTGCGAAAGCTATTGAACGCATTTTAGACGGAGGGAATGCATGCGCCAGGATACCGAGCTGATAAACTGCATGAGTATTCTAGCTCAAAGTATACGAGATACTCACTGCAGACGGTATTGTAGCGGCGGCACCAAAGCCTTGGAAGGCGCGCAAAGTGATGAGGGCAATACCACCTGTAATGACAGTGTGAATGAATAGAACTGACCGATAGATAGCTGGTACTCACTCTGTGCAAAGCCACTAGCGAGAGAAAATGCAACCTGACAGATAGTACCCATCATGAACGCCTTTTTCCGACCATAGATATCCGCCAATCTGCCAAAGAACAAGAGAAGGCAGCCCTAAGAGAGAAATAAGCAGGGATGCAGAAAGATGAAGAGAAACAATAACGCACCGAACTGAGCGAATAGGCAGATACGAGCCACTGCAGCTGCACCTCCGTGACATTCAGGTCTTTTTCAATAGTTGGGAGCGAGATAGAGACAGAACTGGTACTAGCGGTCTGTAATTAACAATAGAAAACCGTCATAAAAATGACGCAGAATATGGTTACGATGAGGGCATACATTGACCACCATTGCAGCGGTGCAGGTGATGATGATGAAGGTAGAGCGCCAAAGACTGCGCTGTACCGGCTGTACGCCTGAATCATGGTGCTCGTCCTTCTCGGGGTTGAGATCTTGATGGGCTGGTGGACGAGTAAGCTCCCCAGACATCACTTCTCGCGTCTCCCGGAAAGTTGACAGTGCAAGACTCGAGGAAGAAGAATCCAGTGTTCGTCATGGGCCGCAACCGAATAACTAAACTTAAGTCTTCGGATTCCTTGTATGTATTAGTCGGGTCAAGAAAGGTCCTCTTACCGATGGCGTTAGTTCCCGCGGAAGCAATGCCTTATCTATAATATTACTCATGGACCGAAGTTCGAGTCGACATTCAAGAACGGATCATCCATAAATTGGTGGTTACATATATAGTGGCAGGCAACGGGGTCGATATTATGTAATATTCAATTAGCCATACTAGCACGGAGTTTACTCAGTCTCCCGACTCCACTGGTAGGCTTACTAAACAGTTCCTTCATTTTCTGCACGAACTGGACCGTTGAACACCACCTGCATCGAGAATTTTAAATTCATTCAGCGTATATTGTGCGATTATGGAACTTAAGCGCCTAAGCCCGAGCAGAAGCTTCAAGCTTCAGGACCGGTGCATCATAAATCAAAGACTATATGACTCATCGATACAAGAAAAAACCCACGAAAAACTGCGCCGTGCGCGATCATGAAGTAGTCTCCATGCATCGTAGTATAGCCAAGTTAGACCTTCAAAGAAGGAACAACCATTCTTCCTTAAGCCTCCAACGTTTCAACATGCCACGTAAAGCACAAAAGGTAACAGAAGGTAATGCTCTACAGGTAGAAGAAACGACAGAAACGAAAACATGCAGTGCCAAAGAGTCAAAACCACCGCGGGTGGGGTAACCATTAATCAGATAGGGAGACGATTGATAGCAAATGTTGAATTTGGATTCGTGGGTTCCTCTGGATTCTGGAACGCGTCAGGTGCGATCGAATAAATGCAAAGGGGGCGTATACGAGTCCGCGATAGCATGAGTAGCGTCCATCATTCCTGATAGGTATAGGATATCGATGTCTTGCTTGGATGGGGATGGTGAGTATCTCAGCGTCGCTAGACCTAGGCTGGACAGCAATAATCTGGTCAGATTCGACATCTTTAATAACCCTGTTGTGTCCGACGATACCAACACAGCGGAGGAAAAGCGCTGCCAGCAGCCCGGCTATAATTACAGTAACCCCAACGATATGCTCTCAAAGCAAGATAAATTTGCAACACTCGCCCATAAGGGCAAACACAGCGGTGGTCCATTGCGCATCTTGATACCCCATGAGCAGTGCGGACGTCGGTGCCGCTAGAGTTAATATCAACGCCGAGCTTGGCAAATTCCTTACCAACTACAATGTTGGACACGATTGTGGACATAGTTAGACCGAATGCGGTTGATCTAACCAAAAACGTGTCAGCTTAGCATAGGACAGTGTCAGTTGTTTCACGGAACTTGAATGTGTCAAAGGTTGGAATAGCGCTCCGGCTACGCCGTGTTCGTGCGGGAGCGAGGTTTTGGCGATAACATTTGTACTGGAGTACACGAAGTCAGCGACGAACGCGATGAGAACACGTGGAGGGGAAACCGAAGGCCCAGCATGTTACAGAGGGGTCGATTAGGGTAAACAGGATGGCGGCCGTTGCTGTCAAGAGCGTTCCGCTGGCTGGCCCACGAGTCAGTTTCATATGTCAATATTCCACACATAGACACTTACCTATAGATATGACCAAGGGTAATTTGACAATGTCCATCAGCGGTCATGAGCATGAAAAAGCCGCACAAACAACCGACAATAAACATGGGAATCATAGTTTTGACCGGTGTTAACTGGATAATACAACTAAAACGGAGTAAGCAATATCGTCCCCTGGGAAAACGGAACATGAGCATACCTGAACACAGAAGCTCCAGTCAATGAAAGCACTCCGATTTAAGAATGCCATGACAAGGATAACGGCCATCCGTCCCTCTGCCCGAGTCCAGAGCAAGAGCTCACGAGTGGTGGCGGCGTCCACATAGATGCCGCTTCTGATAGATCCTCGTCAATGATTCGTTCCGGCTTCTACTCCCAAACTAGGAATAGCGCAAGCATGATAACTCCAACGATAAGGAGCGCGATAATATCTATTGATGGTTTTAGCACATGATCAGAATGGTTTAGTGACACTTTTACGTGGGGTTTTCCAGCCGTCCGAAGCAATTTCTCCTTGAGCAAGTACGAATACCATCAAGACCAACCCAACTGTGACACGGGAAGCACAAATTCAGTCGTCACGTTTGACGAGTTCCGATAAGGGAGCGTCAGCATTGAATGAAATCGGACCGGAAGTTTCAATCAGAGGTAGCCAAGTAAAATACAGCGCGCCAATGTGATCTGTGTGACAACATGAGAAATACAGTGTGTATCAGTAATCATGACGCATGAGGAAAGTCGAGTCAGGACATCGTCAATGATCATGCTAAATGCTCCTCCGACAGGGGCACCCATTGAAAAGGTAGCGAATGCCACTGAACGTGCTCTCGACGGAGGGAGCGCATGCGCTAGGATACCGAGCTGAGCGAGTACTTTTGTATCGAAATATCTCAGAAGAACTTGCTGCGGATGGCATTGTAGCGGCACCTCCAACACCTTGGAAGCCACGCAAGACGGCGAGAGTAAGACCATCTGTGAGAGTCTGTGAGTGAACGGAATACACGAACGATTAGAAGGCACGCTAACCTTGTGCAAAGCCACTACCGAGGAAAAGGCAATCTGGCAAGAGTATCAATTATATTAATAAACACCTTTTAAAGATCCACCAATCTGCCAAAGAACAAGACAGGGCAGCCAAGATAGACAAAATAGAAGGAGCAACGCACAGAACTAAAGCGGATACGAGTCACTGGAGCTGCTCTTTCTAAACCGGCAGAGATGGGGATCTGGAAGGCAAGTATGTCAATATTGAATATACCACACAATACATCGTTCAGTTGTCTATCTTACACATATATCCTTGATGGGGTATCCGCCTGAGCAGTACATCATGTATCCGTTCAAACAACTGCGTAATATTACGGGGAACTGATGACTAAGAGAAGCGTACTTACACTTGGACCGTGATATGAAGGGTGGGCTCGCTCATCACAATTGCTCGACTTCCTAGCAGAAAAGATGGACTTGATGAAGAAGTTAGCATGTAACGCCATGGTGGGTGAGGTGTGGGTATGGGGCCTGGGTGAGAATTGAGGGTAAGTATCAAGGAAGCCGAAATACCCGACAACATTGAAGAGTGTGGTGGTATTTTAGCTTCCTTGATTATGCCCGTGGACATAGGTACGTACTAGATGGAACGAGATTGCATACAACTTGCGGGCCCAGTGAATCATCAATCAATTCCTAGTAGCGCGACTGAGTGTTTGGTGAAGGGGAATGTGTTTGCACGTGTTTGACAACACCGTGGGTTCAACATATGCAGACTTCTTCGGTAATTTTTCCTTCAGTCGTCAACACCTTCCTCCACAACATTGATATGTATGATAATCTCGAGCGACCTGGCTTTATTTTTTTTCTTCGCGGTACCTGGCCAGATACTCTCTACTGGTAGGGAATTCTGTCGTTCGTCAAAACGCGATTCATCCGTAGTCTTTCGTGAGTCGCGAGTCGGATCTTTGTTTATCCTCAAAGTTCCCCTGCCTCTTTCCTTTGGCTATGATTCTAACACTTCGACCAACGCACCATTGTGTACAGGCGCCGCATTGCTCATTGCAGCTCCTGAAGTGGTTTTTCGGTGCAATATCAAATAATCCCACCTCGTGCCGTGTGCAGACTGTATATATGTACACGCAGATAGTGTGTGGGATGGATATGTTCACCCGCTGTACATTGGTTGAATTAGGAATTGTACTTTCGTGAGCACTAGTAGGATGCTCGTTATGCTATGCACATGGCACTAGTTGTGCTTTATTGAATATATGTTTCTTTGCTCCATGCTACCAGCTCAGCTCGAACCATGAATCATTGTGTGTCCTATAATGCTGTGTAGTTGTACTGTGTCAGTGCTCCATACCTGTGATAGTCACTGACTTGCAGCAGAATCTTCGGATTGCCAGTCTTGAACTGTTTCACGGTAGCACATCCCCCGTGCATCATACCGCTAGGATTCGCTAGAATTTTTCAACATAGAAATCCTCGAAAGGAGTGCCACTGACAGGCGTACTAGTAGATCTAATACAATAACAGGCCAAGGGAGACAAGACTTTATATATTTGACCCTACTGTATCATAGCTTTCGAATAATCCAAGTATGAGGTGAATCTGGCTGCAGATAGCCTCGGATTGCATTGGCTAGACCTTCTAATACATCGATAAATAGAACACGCTCTATATCCATCGGGTTGAACTCATTATTCCTACCAAAAGGAACGACGCGCGCCAAAATGGCTTTTTAAATGTTCGCCCATTCAAATATCTTTTCACGTTCCAAAATCCTCGTCGCGAGAAATTTCAGCGCGATCTCGGATAGTCCTCGAGGATCTATCAAATCGAAACACATGTCCTTGTTTCCGCTAAGCTTCTTCAGGTAGGAGGGTACTCGCGGGACCGGGCGACGCAAGTTGGATGGACTCCCAAAGGTAGGGTCCTGGTACTCTGACCAAGTGCTGGGAAGGTTTGCTAGAGGCCGTGGAAACTCCACGTATTTCCAAACATTGCCAAATGCAAGGATTACGCCGATGGTCGTGAGCGTCGAGTCTCCCATAAAAGCAAAGTAGGCTTGACGGGAGATCTGCATCGCCGCGGATGAAAAGCCGTAGTTTTTGGCCCGCAGACTCTTTGGCTTGATCTCGACCAAACAAATAATCTTTTCACGTACGATAACTGGCGGCATAGAAGGTGGCAGCTTGATACGGCGAAGGATCTGAGCAAAGTCAGGGACAACATGTGCATGGGGCACTTTGGCCTGAGTGCGTCTTGGAGGAGTCCTTGGTTCCGAGAAGAAGGGGGACACTGATTCACTCCTGCTACCCTCACTGCGGCCACGTCCGGAAGAGAGTGAGTCAGGCGGAGACGAGTCGAAGGATCGAATTAAAACATGTTGTGGTGCAACGTTGCAGAAGAGATCATCCCCAATTGAACCGGGGAATGTGTACCTTTCAAGAGCGCGATTCCATACACAGTACCACGGAAATTCTCTATGCTCAGCATTTGCTGCTGAGATCGCCGTCATCAAGATGCCGTCGGCCAGCATAGATGTCTTGGAATCCCTGGACCCTTGTATCGCAACACTGGAGGGCATTTGTTGGGACTGAATCAACGGAGCAATGTACTGAGAGGGAGCCCCTGATGAGACAGTTCGTCCTCTGGGCCCTCCAGAGGGTCCAGAAGCGGCAGGGGGCATGGAACTGGTTGACAGTGCACGAGAGCTGTCAACGCGCAAATTATGCGGAACTTTCTCGCGCATCTGACTTAGTTGAAATGGAGGAATAAGCTGATTGGAGTCGGAATGGGACTGTATGTTGGAAGAGTTCGACTGTGCAGACTGCGAAGAACCCGGGGAGCGGTCATAGAGGAATGCCGTACCGTCAAGGTTGTCATGGGGTCCAAAAGAATACAGGGGAGATTGCGGGAAAGGCTCGCTGGGAGCACGGTAACGAGCTAGATTGTCCGATGGAGCAGGTGCTGGCGAACGGTAAAATGGACGTTGAGGTGTGCGAGGGGAAATGCCTGATGTCGAAGACATGGATGATTGACTATCGGAAGTGTATGGCGAACGGGATCTATGAGAAGAATGTTGTGAAGTTGGGGTGGATGAAATTGAGTGTTGATGGGAATCATAGCGCTCACGATCCATGACTCAGTACTACTGAAAGTGATCATGGAGATGAGTCCAAAGAATCGAGCTGTTTTTATACCACAAGAATACCATGCTTCTCCAGGAGAAGAAATCATGCGCCGTCCACAATGGCCCGTGGACTCGGGATAAAAAAGAAACAATCAACCAAATCCGATCAATTTGTAACCTGGCGCTGGATCCCTGTGGAAATTAATAAAGCATTGTTCCAAATGTCGGAGCGTCGTGGCAAGTCCGTCTATAAACCACAGATCCACGCACACGGGAAGGAAAAGGAGTAGAGGTTCATTGTTTTCCGAGTCTGTAGGCGATCATTGTCAGCCAGTGTCAGTCAATCAATCCACAACGAAATTCAGGTGCACGATTGATGGCCTGATGGACTTGTGTTGTGGATCTTCGGACGGTGGCTGTGCCGTTTTACCAAGGACTTAAAAGCAGATTGCCGTATATTAAACGAACATTAACCGCCCTTCTCGAATTCACTCTGACAGCGACAGCCTCCCAACTGAATACTAAATCTTACATTATAATGTCTGCATCCGAACTTCTACGTCAATCGATGCAAAATTTGAGGGTGAGTCCGCTTTATGTTGCCCAAACTAGTTCCTTCGAGTGAGTGACACAAAATCAGGTCGCTGAAACAAAGTCAACTCTACCGCCCCTCGTACCATTCAAGTTCACGTCTCCCCACGAAAATTCAAGTTGTCCTACCCAGCCCTACAACATTATAAACAAAATTTCGGCTTCTGGCTCAGCGACCAATGGCTCATCGAACTTGGAAAACACACACACCTTCCTGAGGATCGTTTTGACCCTCCACTTGACGAAGATTTCTGGATGAGAGGTGTCGCGTACATTTGTGAAACTGTCGGCCTTGAAGGTCTGACCGTTGAACACTGCTTTCAGCCAAAGACGAACGGCGCACCTCCTCAGTTCCTGGATGTCGATGGAGAGGTGCTTGTCTTATCTGTGTGCGATGATGTCGAGGACGACATCCCTTCGCAGCAACAGGTAGATTATTTGACGAATCTTCTCGGTAGACTGCCGCAGTGGTGGGTCAATATCTATCCGCGTAATGATTGGGAATGAACGTAGAAATATTATATTTTGATCTCGAGCCTCTGCCACTGTTGACTTGGAATACTATCTCAGGCTGTACATGACATAACCACCTGTTCACCACGCGGTTAAGTTGCTGTACTTTGCTCATCTGCCGATCGCAAGATGATTGCAGTATTCGTGTGATACTTTCTTCAATTGCGCAGGTACCTGTCAATTTTCAGAGTTTGCGTGCACGTAGTACTAGTTAGTGTCGCACGTGCTTTGTCACGTGTGCATAGTCGACAGTGCTATTCTAGAACTTCCAGTCTCAAACACTCAAGTCAGTTTTTATTTCCTTGATGTTCAAGGTTCGCACGTCACGTTCCTTGAAGAAGGCACCATGGTTAAAATCTTGAGAACGTATTTGTCAAAAGTCGTGCGGTATCTGTATTGCATGCCTTCAATGATAGTTTGCAACGCCGACTGGTAGTGACCACGTTCCGGACTCAACTTGAAAGTATGAAATCGTCATTACCTGAGAGCGAATGTATGATAGTAAGTGAGAATATTGGCTTGCGCTGTTCCGTTATGACGTTACCCAGTAACTGGTCCAAAATTAGGCCCTGCACGAGACTCAAGACGTCTGACTGTTTACAGGATTGTCACCCACTGATAACTCCCATGGCGGTATAACGCGGACCGTTGGTCTTATCAGCAGCCATTATAAGCTATTGGCTCTAATCATGTTGCTTTCCTTTTCGACTCAGCCTTCTCGTCCCAAATCTCATCACAGAGCGAAAAGCGATTAACTGATGGCAACTATCGCGAACTCTGTAGCTCACCCTACCGTGGTTTCGGTACGCAACTGCGTCCTGTTCACCTGCGGAAGTTGACAATTTAGCACTGCTCCCCTAGGCTGATCCTTTCGTGTAGGTTTTTGGGTTGATGTGTTCATATATTTTAACTTATGTCGATTAACTGCAAGTCCTGCAAGAGAGCAGAAGGTTTGTTCCGCGCTTCACCGTAATTACAGCATTTGTTAACATTTTTCAGAACCTGCACAACCGCTGGCAGTAAGTTGGTATACTGTTCGTTTCGCAATCGATCCCATGACCCCGTTCGCAGTCCCGACATTCCTGCTATTGCCACAGTGAAGCCCGGACAGGTGTGTCACGATAGCCTTGGATGAATATATACATCTGTCTTACGTTCAATTATTTGCACAGGTGTTTAACGTCGAATGTGTTGACTGGACAGGAGCACAAATTGGTAACAACGATAGTACGTATACGGGCTTACGCCATCATAAGGATTGGATTTAATGCGACTATTTTCGTCAGCGAGCGATGATATCAGAGACATAGACCTGACCAGCGTTCATAATTTGTCCGGTCCAATCGCTGTGGAGGGCGCCGAGCCTGGAGACTGTCTGGTAGTTGACATTCTTGATGGTATGTCGTACCTGGTTACTCCCCTGTGTTTCTTTTTTTATTTGTTCGTAGTCAGACCGTTTGACAAGATGCCCTGGGGCTACACCGTAAGGACTCTCACAGAAATGATGATTCAGCAAAGCGCCTAAAGTGCAACAGGGTATTTTCGAACTCGAGAACGGTGGTGGATTGTTTGGTGAGCGAAAACAAATACCATGGTTCACATTTTTCTGATCAAAATTTTACGTAGCTCGCGAATTCCAGAGCAGAGCTGCAAAGGCTATCTGGGATTTTAAAGGTTTGGTTCTTTCTACGATACACGTGCAATGTAATGACATGTCTCCAGGCGTCTATGCCACTTCAAGGCACATTCCTGGCGTGCGCTTCGCTGGCGTGTCGCATCCTGGTTTGATTGGCACAGCACCGTCCGCCGAGCTATTGGCAACCTGGAACAAGCGTGAAGGTGCCCTTATTGAAGCTCATGCCAACGCAGTTCCACCCGTCGCCTATGGCCCATTGGTACCAGGTGCCTATGTCGGCCAAGACCTTCCTAATGATCTACGTGCGAAAATCTACCGCGAAGGCGCGCGGACAATTCCTGGTAGAGAACATGGGGGCAACTGTGACGTAAGCTTCCTCTAAATCAGCCCTTGTCATCTCAATCGTAGTAACTGTCTGCATCACAGATTAAAAACTTGTCAAGGTGAAGGAAGCTCACTACAGGCTTTCGTTGTTCCTCACATATTTTGGATCAAGGGGCTCGCGTTGCTATTTCCCTGTTTTCGTGAAGGGTGCAAACTTGTCTGTTGGCGATCTCCACTTCTCTCAAGGAGATGTAAGTATCTTGATTACGCAGTTGTGCCCGTGCTAACATTCATGCAGGGCGAGGTAGGCTAGAATCTATCAGTGTGTCGATGATCTGAACGAACGCTACTTAGCTGTCCTTTTGTGGTGCCATAGAGATGGTGTGGGATTTCTGCAATCTTGTCCTGCTTTCACTAATGTAGCTTCTAGGCTGGAATAGTTACCTTCAGCACTAGCATCATCAAGGGCGGTGTTGAGAAGTTTGCTATGAGGCAACCCATCTTCCTGGTATGTATTTGTCTCAGGTGGCCATTCACCGGTGCTGACCGTCACAGCCCTCTCCTGTCGATCCGTTATACTCTGCAAAAGTAGGTGCATAGGCACGTCACTTATTTCAGTTGCTAATCCAATTGCTAGTTGATCTTCCAGGGGATCAGCGTAGACTACCGTATGCATGAACACATCGAATGCCATATCATTCATTATTGACGATAATAATTAACAGACGGCGATGGTACCCAGTACAACATGGATGCGTCAGTGTACTTTCCCTTGATACACTGATGCATAGCTCATTGACTCTAATTAGCACGGTGGCCTATAAGCAGGCTGCTCTGAACGCCATCGCTTATCTTATGAAGATCGGTTACAGTAAGTCCTGCGTTGCAAAATGGACCATCTACTGATCAGCGAGTGTAACCGTAGCCCGTGAGCAAGCATGTAAGTGTATGTTCTGTGAGAGGAAAAAGTCGCTCATTTCCATTCAGACCTTTTGCTGTCTGCTGCGCCGGTGGAAAGCCATATTGGCGCAATTGTGGTAAGTCAAGTCCCATGTAAGTTCTTCGATAGTTTTATTCAATTTTATCTTAGGACTCTCCAAATGCCTGCGTGACTCTCGGTCTCCCCTTGGGGATCTTCGAACATGTGAGTTCGTTGTAATACATGTAGCCGATTTTACTAAATAATGTGCAACAGGACATTTTACCCAAGGATGAAGGTTTGAAAAAACTGGAATTCGGACAATGTGCTGTGCGCAGCGATGGCGTACTGTAAAAGATGGCCAAGACTATGAAATCTCTGCATAAACCAGTCCACGATGATGTATTACAATTGATGTTACATGCACAAGCATTTTATACAGTACTATACGGAGGGTTTCTTACCCTCACCCCGAAAGAACAACAATCCGAAAAACCTGTCATACACCTGTTCCCCCTAGACTCGAACAGCGAGTTGCCGCAAACAGGCCGAACTAGTGTTCTGTGACATTGAGTCCGCGAGGAGCAGTCACGTGCCACTCTGCTTTCAACACCTGTGAACCGGGTTTGACGCTACTGCACACCCACTCAAACAGTCCATCATTCTTTCCCGCACGGCCTCCAGTGGTTGACCACCTCGCATAACACCCATCTCCTACCAGCACCTTGCCCGAGTCGATGTCAGCAAGGCCTTCGGGCTCTTGCAATGTGACTGTAACACGAGGGTCTGCAGGAAGCGGCAGAGATGTGCGAATGACGACATTGCTGACGGGCTCGTGGTGCGTATTTTTGATGGTGGTTGTGATAGTATGCGTCGTAATCGCCTTACCGTTTAGCACGGTGAAGTCGGGTAGTGAGTTGACAGCGCGATTGAACTGGGTGGTCACCGCGGGGTCAATACCAAGAGAACATTGGATAGTTTGTGGTCGGTCGACACTCTGCTTCGATGTGCAAGGTAATGGTTTCGGAAACTGAATATAGGAAACAACGTACCGTGATGTCGCTGTCAGAAATGTGTTTTCCATCCAGGTAAGTGTGAATAATGCCCGGAGTTAGTACATAGTCGCTGGTATTCGAAATTTCGCACTAGAATGATGGAGGTGAAGCTGATGCGATGACATAAACGAGACACCACCCACAGTCCAAAAGACGCGGTTATCAACGCTCGGTACTGCGACTCTTGTAAATAACGCTTTCAATGGAATGGTTGCTATGAGAACGTGATGGATCTCCCCCGCTGTACGACCTGGAATAAACACTTTTGAAGTCGCTATGTGAGTAATGGCTTTGTCGAGCTACGAAAAGATTATTGTCGGATTTGCTGGTAATAGGAAACAGTCATGACGCACCTCTCCTAACACTGTGCGTTCTGATGGCTGCGCTGAAGCGGGAAAGATATTCAATGGCTGAGACTGCTGCAAGTTTGGTGTTGGTTTATTGAAGCCAAGGGTGCTCTCTGTGGTGGCACCCCCGCCAAAACTCAACACACTTGAGTTCCGCGCAGTGGATGGATGTGGCGATGATGGCACAATCGTTGAGGAAGTTTGACCTGCTAGTGTACTTGATTGCACTAGAGTAGATCCAAAGAGACCCTGAGTTGTGGCAGTGGGTTGTCCCTGTAAAGCTCCAAAGGAACCCCCAGCCGCGGAGGTAGATTTCCCCCCAAAAGCTCCGAACACGTTGTCCGCTGCAGGTCCCTGCGCGGCCCCGGTTGAACCTTGGCTGGGGTCTGCTTGGTGAGGAACACTCTGAAAGCTTCCAAATACTGTCGAGGACGGAATATTTCCAAAAGGTGAAGCATGTACCGGGGCGTTCCAGAATGGAGTAACTTGGGCCCTGACCGCCGGTTGATGGTAGGCGTCAGACTGAAACAAGGACCCTTGTTGCCTTATCTCCATCTTCTTCGGCTCAGGTAGTCCTACTGAAGGAACACGGGGCTTGGCTGTTGTCACTGCAAGCTCCACATTGTCCCAATTCTCCCCGGTAGACTGAGAGATTTGGCATCGATAAGTGAGAACGACTGATGAAGAAGGGGCACCGTCGATGGTTGTGACATGTATTTCGTATACTGGCTTCCAGGTAGCGCTAACCCCTAGTGAGGACTCAGTGAGATGAAAATGCGACAGATTAACAGTAAGACAACTCACTGTACTTCAGTTCCAGCTCAGCGGTCGTAGCGGTGCGGCCAGAAACTGGTGCAAGAATAACAGTGGCTTTTGTCGTCAGGGACTGGGACTTGAGGAGAAGTCGCTGTGTTTCTTTAGCTATCTCCTTCTGAATATCCTTGATCTGCTGGTCAAGCACCGCAATAACTTCGGATCGACTCTTGCCAATGTCTACAAACTCATCGAATAACTTGACGAGTTGTGCAGGTTCCGCCCCGCCTGCCAGAGTATCTCCCTTGGCAAGGGAATTCATGTACGTCGACAGGAAGGTGAAACTTTCTTGCCTTAGTTGACGCTCGTCCCCTAAGCGCGTATACTCGGCCTGGAGACCACGAAGAACATCACTACTGACAGGATTAAGTTCGCGCTGATAGCCAAATGGCACGTTTGGTTTATAGTCGGATGAGCTGTGGTAGTAATCCATGACCAGCAGATCATCTGAACCAATAGTCACGGATGCCCGAACTCCATAATACGGCGAACACAGGATGGGAAGGTTTGAAATCTCAATGGCCTGCGACACATTCTAATTGTGTAGTAGTAATAAGCATGCGAGACGTAGAAGCTACTGAGGCCAATCACTATACACGTACCGAAGACTGGGTTAAGTCGAGGGGGAAAACACGAGTAACCTCAGCTACGTCAACCTGGGAGTTGAATATCTTCACAGACTTGATGGGAAAGTCAGTTGCAGAGAGAGTTATCACATTCATCCTGAGTGGCCTCGCAGAGTAGAGAAGGTGAGGTACATATACAAGCGTTTATAGAAGTCTCGAGCAAGCTTCGAGGATCGAGTCAGGTAAGTCAGTTGCATCACATGGCGGAACCGCCGAGGCCTGGGCCGCGACTTGTATTCGTAAATTCCAATATTCTCACGCTATCTTCCACTCCCGATACTGCCCTCAAAATGACCCATCCTATGGTCCTAGATAGTGCGCCCCACACGCTTGTAGGACACACCCTATGCCAGTCGGTAGCGCCCCAAGAGGCCCTGGATCCCGGATCAGAGAGAGTGCCAGACAGCCGACTGACGACAAACCTCCAATTGACGTTTGGTTTCCCTAAACAAGGCACTGGTTGACTACGGTCCGACAAAGTGATTCACCACGTAGACCAATGTAGACCACGGCTACTCGCGTGTTGAGTGTTGGATAGCTACCAAGGCGAATCCCGCTCGTGACGATGGCGCCGGAAGCTCTTCTGCTAGTATAGGCAACTGGGCAACTGCAAAGCAGCTAATTGCGGCTGTGCCATGCCTGGATCATTATTGTATATGTTTCACTCGATTGCTCTGGGTCACAATCACTAAATGGAATATCTGCGCTCAGCGTCTCAGACGGGCCGGTATCACACTCTAAAACCATGGACTTTTGAACGGTATGTTTTTATTCTACAAAACACTTTAAAACATAGATTTATCTTTCTCTGTAGATAGGAAACAGCTGAAAGTACGCAAGATTACTGCATCACAGTTCACCGTACGGCCTCGTAAAAAGCAGAACCGTGGGCCACCTAGCCCGCCAGGTGTACCTAGCTAGAATCCAGAAGTACGAAGATATACTATCATGTATTTTACCACCCATCTCACGACTCTTCCCTCTGTGCGGTCTCAAGTTGGAAACGCTGTCCCACTGCGACATCGAGCGTTTGTCTCGTCTCAACCCAGTATGGCCCCTGACAGATGCCAACCTCGATATATGCAACCCGTCCACCATCATTGGCTTGCTCCGACTATTTCCGGACCTCTCCTCGTTAAAAATCTTTATGCCCTCTGGTGATGGATTGTCCTTCGAGCCGTTCACCCACTCCACCATTCAATTTGTTTCCGTTACAATGGCCCTCAACACAAGACCAATTAGTTCACTTGTTTGATGCACTCACGCTCCCCAATTTGCTCGCGCTTCACGTTGAGGGTAGATCCTGGCCTCGTTGAAGATTTCATTTTGCAATACGGTAATTAAATCAACGCCCGCTAGGTGTTCAGCTGTATCTCCGTTTTGGCCATACCAACTACATTAACGAGTCTACTGGAAGTGCCGTCTGCACCGGGAACCACGCACTTGTGCGATACAAATAAAGGATACACTATAAGGAGTATTACTACAATTATTCAAGCCTATCAAGTACTAGTAATGAGCGGTTGTTGCTCTCCGTTATCAATGTCCGCAGCCGAAGGGTGGTATTTGCGTGTCAACCGCGCGGTCAACGCGCCGCCCTCTAATTGTTCTACCTCCTCCACGATGGTATACCCCCCTAACCATGGCAAGACAACAATCCACAGCCAGTAATAGAATCCACACAACTACAAAGGGTCAGTTTGATGTAGGGTCGCGTTGTAAGTGGTGTACACACCGCAAGGATACCAAGTCCCACCACACAGTAACTGAATGGATGTGGTCAGATATGAGCCCAAAGATACAACATTAAACTTACGTTGCGTGCCAAAAAGACACGTCGCCATGACCATTTTCTGGTGGTACCCTTGTCAAATAAATCAGTTCTGCTACAAGACGTTGATTCGGAGGGACGATACCAGGGCATTATGAGGAGAAATACCGCGCTGAGGAGGTAAAGGGAAACATAAATATTCCTCGCACGATACTTCGAAGGTGCAAGGCCAGCAAGTATTCGTCGCCTTCGAAGAAGCCACAATCCTATGGCAGTTGCAGCATTGAACACCTGCGACTTGTTGATCACATAATACACGATGGTGGAGTAAAATTCCTACTAAATTCGGATAAGAAGACAAGTCTATCAAAAAGTTAAATGCATCCCGAGCTGGGAGGGCAACTATCACGAGGACTGTGAGAAAGTACTTCAGACACACTGGTGCCAATGGTGTGCCGAATGGTTTGGTCGATGCAAAAAATCTTGGATAGGGAAGTAGCCCCTGTCGGGCAATTTCACGCAATACGCGTGTCTGACCAACAGTCTGGCAGAATGAGTTTTCACATTATGACAAGCCAAGCAGTTTCCAATGCGTTGCTCACCACGGCGATCTAGAAATGTATTTTGTGAGTAACTCGAGCACGCGAAATACAAAGATCACACACAATGTTTCCAAAGCAACTTAAAGCAACCATGATCGGCAAGGTTTTGGCTGCGAAGCCCCCTCCGAATACACGTTGGAAAAATAAAGCCGCGATGAATTGCCCAGAATTGCTTATTTCGTCCTTTGGCACTGCCGCCACGTAAGCGACATTGACAAAGAAAAAAAGACATGCGAGTAAAAATAGTGATAGTAAGCCGGCTTTGCGTACTGTGCGGACAGGATCACGCGTATGGACTTCTCCGATGACATTAAATGCGTTGTGCCAACCAGAGAATGCAAAATTAGTCTTGACTAGGGCAGTAGCCAAAGAATTTGGATTGGCCGTACTACCGCTGAAAGGGGACCGAAAATTGGCAAACGGATCGCGGATGTGAGTAAAACCACCCAGCACGAGGGCGCCCGTGAAGACCAAGCTAATAGGACAGTCAGTTAGTAGATAACAAATGGTGAATGATATGCTCACAAGACAAGAGAAAGGACCTTTAACCCAGTAAGAAAGTTCACGGCTCTTAAAGACCATTTCGTTGACAGGGCGACAACTGCGTGGTCAAGTTCAAATCATACCTTAGTGCAAGGAACATAAGAAGCTCACAAGCCATGCCAACAGCACAGACTGCTACAGCAATAATGGTTTGCCTTGCGGGAGTGATGGGGATATCAAAAATTGTAAGTACATATTGCGCAAATACAATAGAATTTGTTGCGCTAAAACTGATCAGCGTAGGAGCAATCCCATGAATATCTCATTCAACATGCAAACCGTAGCACGCACGACAGAAGGACTGAAGTTACAGCGAACATGACTGGGACCAAAAACTGTGGACGAGGATATGCCTGCTCCAAGTACACAACTTCTGCCCCGGATCTCTTTGGGAACATACTCGCGTATTCACTGTAGACCATGAGACCTCCGAGTGCAAATAACGGAGCCAATAGCCAGAAGACAAACAACAGGCCAATTGAGCCAACAGAATTGAGTATGACGCCCGGGACAGAATATATTCCTGCGCCGAGCATTTGTCCGAGATTAAGCATAACAGAGGATAGTAATGTAACCTTGTAACCCAAGGGATTGCTCTGCAGACGATATAAGTATTGATCGGATACAAGTAAATTGTTGTTGCCTTCTCTGTTGGCGCTCCAGCTGCCAGTGCTGACACAGTGTTTCCTTCATCTTGGGCGTCCCTGCTTTGGGCGAGGACTTCGGAGTCCAGGACGTTGTCGATATTGGTCATGAGACTACTGACGGTGGGTTGATAGGACTGGTACTCGGAGCTGTATCATATATTCAAACACCCACAAGAGTCGGGGCGCCTGGTAGTCATCGGCTACTATTATGGCGCAATCACCGGCAGTGTCCTCGCGCAGTACGTTGCGAGATAAACCTCAATGCGGTTGATGCAGTACTTGTGGTACTTACGGTAGCTGGGCAGTTTCAGTTCTAAAACCGGGAAAGTCGTAAAGAACTTTTGCCAATCAGTAATAAATATGAGTGTCTTCGGAAGGCTGAGCGCTGAGCGCCGAACGTTGGACATTTGATGTTGAACTGTATAAGCAGCACTTATTTTTAGTGCCACTAGGCTACTCAAAAATTTCCTTAACGAGTTGTTACTTGTTTTGTTCTCTTTGAACTGGCATGCATGTTTGTCACAGCTAGACTCTGTCAGTTCCTTACGTTGCAACATTAACTTTATCTCTTCCTGCTGTTTAGTTTTCAGATAATGCTGTTTGCCTCCGAGCCTCGTTCGCCAGTCTTAATCAAGCTAATCTGGGTTCTGAAGGATGAATCAAAACTCAGAGTTCGTTACGGCACAACTCTGGTTCCCCCTGCAAACCTGGTCTCGAACTCCTCTTGCTGTGCATTGCCAACCAAGCATCAAGCTTCTTTTGGTTGGCCTTCTCTAGCTCAACCTCAAACACGGCCTTGACTCTGGCCTTAAACCCAATTTATATTTCTGCCATCTCTGTTGAAGTTTGAGTTAGCTGCTTCCTTGACAAGTACCGTTTTTACGCCGTCTGCTAAGGACCTATGCTTCTTTGTACTTCTCTGAATGAATTAAATGTCGTGCGTGTCATGTGTCGTAACATAGAGCACCCTGTTATTTCAGCTGGCGTATGATAGGTAACCGTCTGGATTTCCAAATACCGACTCTGGGTCTGACATCGAGCTCACAGCCTCACACTTGAAGCACACCCTATCAGAGCCATCACTAGGAGAACGAAACATTTCCGTCTTGTCTCTCCTTTATTTCTCTTCGTTCTATTCTACTCTCTACCTCGGTCCCCCAGTCTTCGATCCCAACACTAACCCCCCTCCCACAGCCACACTCCAATCCACACATCCAACCACCCGCAGAAGAACTCGCAGAAATGACAGTCCGCACAGAAGAAGTTGTCCGTCTCCCCGAAGCACACCGAAACGACACGCCCATCTTCCCACTTCCCTCCTCTCCTCTCCGCATTCACATTCACTTCCACGCACTCGTCTCAGTGCACCCCCACTCACATAACCTTAGCTCCAGTCTAGGAATGAGCATAATGGTCATAGACGCGCCCGATCGGGCGCCGAAGCGGCCTTGGGAGGGTGTAGAAGGTATGTTACGTCCCAGATCTGGGCCTGGTATCGCCCCGTCTTCATCGGGTGCAGGGCATGTAGCGGCTCAGATCCCTACGGTTGTTGTGGTAGAAGATCAAGACCGATCGATGGCTGAAACAGATACGGAACTTATAAAGGCTAAGAGAGTGCTTACGACTGAATATCTGAAAGGGAATCGTTCCTGAGAAGAATGGCGCAGAGATAGTTGAAGTGTTTGGAGACAAGCAAGAGCCTGGGGGTGAGCCATGTAGACGCGGATATCTGAGAAAGTATCGTACAGATCTTCTCATCTCTCAGACGCTGGATGGCCTAAGCCTCTCTAGTTAGCCAGAAGTCTTTATTTTCTCAGTACCAGTCACTGATAATATTCATACATATGGATATGGGAACTCACATTTTTCTTCACCTCTCCAGTATTGTCGGCGCCTCTTTTCAACTTTTTCCCTACCAGCAAAGACATATTGTGGTTATCATTGTCGTCATCATCGCCTTCTTTTGGAGTAGACGAATGACAGTGCAGATCGGTTTTCCATCTCTTGATTTGCGAGAACTTTCGTTGAAGGTTTGCTGACGCTGCTTAGAACGTGAATTCCGACATAGTGAGCCCAATGTACTGATAAGATATGATCGCGATTCAAAAAAGTAAAACTAATAATTTAACTGAGGTCCTCGAGCGCTTCGAGACGTGCTATTTGCCTGCGCATTACACATGAGAAAGGTCTTTAGAAACGAAAAAACCAACTCACCTATCACGAACAGCCTCTTGCCATCTCTGCAACTTTGCAGTCTCATTCAGCTGAAACCCATAGATTCTTGGTCGATATCTTTCTGCTTTCAATGCGACACTCGCAGTGCTACCTGTCTCTCCAGCACCCTCAGAAATTTCAGGTTCTTCCTTGACTCTCCTACTTTTTCTGCTGGAATCGTTTTCAATACTACGGGAGGTTGGAGTAGGATCAACAGGGCCGGATTTCGGCGGGAGAAGACTTGGGTACACGAGGAACAACAGGTGAGGGAAGGACGTGCCAAAGTAAGCGCCATCAATGGAGCCATGGCGCGACGATTTGGGAGAGTAGACGTCTTCGCATCGACCACAGTACAACTTCACTGATTTTTCATAGGGTGTATCGCTGAGGCCCACAGGAAGTAGTGGCTGAGATTGACAGAGTACTCGCGGGCATCGACCAAAATCTACTCGTTTGAATTTCTCAAGCTGAAAGGACGTGAGGAAGCTTGGCGGTAAGAGCAAGCAGACGTTACCATTTTAGCAAGTCCCCGGGCGGTAACAATCCATCGAGCATGGATTAGACCATACAACAAACGGGCCTGGACATCGAGTGCACCACGTAGCTCGTCTTGTATATCATCGTCTGGGAATCGATGGCTCTCAGTCACAACCTAACAAGGTGGCTTTCAAAATGTACCAAGGTTATCCGTGATTAAATCGAGTGCTTGGGCATAGTTTGAAACTTCGTTGTTGAGGCCGGTGAGATTGAATCTATCTAGGATATAGTCCTCTTCGACTTCGCAGAAATATTCGTTGCCCTTGGATGAAAGGAACCAAGAGATCCACTTCAACTGTGTTTAGAATGTAACATGTCCGTCATAACTGCTTTCTCACCGAACTGGAAACCGATGAAACAGCACAGCTTCAGTTGGGCGTGACGGCTGAGAAATAAAGGACTCACTTGGAGTATTCAGAATCTGAGCCCGTGGAAATGTCGTCCACTGCACGTCCAAGCATTGTATCAGCTATGCAGTCAAAAAAACTCCTTCACTGACGAACTGACTGGCAATATACAAGTAGTAGATGTCAGCGGAACCATGATGCGATTCGAATTTCCAAGAGACAAAACCACCTAGCATCCGCATAAGGAAGCAATTTCTCGCATCACTTTGAACGTGGACGAGGTCTCGACGCTGCCTTCTGCAAATCTCTAACAGCCTGCCAATGGGCTCAACTTGAAACCTCATAGAACCAAAACACCTTCCTTCCAGAAAAATACGGAGCCCATGCCAAAGGATCTCGTGATTAATATGCCCACAGACATGCGAAATCAAGAAGGCCATTTCTCTACATTTGACCTTGATTACACTCCACCAAAGCCAGGGGGAATTACATCTTTCACCGTTGATATCCCTACACCAAGCCGCATCCCAAACGAACCACGCCCTCCTCCAAGATGGAAAACTCCAGAATTTATCTTCTATTATGTGGTCGCTTTATTTGCGATCCCTCTTATGGTATGGGTACCTATCCACTTGAGTTCACGTATGTAAGATTTTGTTGCAGAAGATTGTTACTAATGCTAATGAAACGTCGTCAGCTTCACATCCAAATTACCCATACTATCACCACAGATTGTCACCAGGCTGGATGTTTGGACGCGAAGTTGTGAGTGTCACATCTTGTAGGCATAACGTCCTGGCCGTTTTCTGCCTCTTGATTCATGCGAACGAGGCATCAGGAATAACAAACAATTCCCTGACTTTTATTCTCGCAGGATAACAGTGATACCCAGTATCGGTCATTTCGCAACAACATACTTTCACTCTCATTCCTTGTCCTGATCTTCATCGCTCTCAAATACATATACACACGGTCTGCACTGCGCTCTGCCCCAAGTATGCCCGCAGATAAGCTTTACTTGATTCCGTTTTTCCTCACATTCTCTGCCCTGTACCTTACTGGCCTCCACGGGACGAGCATCTTCAAGATTTTGTTCATCCTGACGGCCAATTACTGGATTGCTAAGACATCCAGAGGGTCGCGCATGGGACCACTGCTGACCTGGATTTTTAACGTTTTAATCTTATTTGCCAATGAGATATATAGCGGATATCGGTACGCCAGTTTCCATCCTTCATTAGAAGTTTTGGTACGTCATTCTAGACGTTGATTATGAACAGTTTCTGACTTTTCACCCAGGATACTTTCCAAGGCATTTATCCGCGTTGGCACATAAGCTTCAATATCACTATGCTGAGATTGATATCATTCAACATGGATTACTATTGGGCCTGTAATTCTTGCGGAGGAGAGGTGAGCAACTAGGTTCCGTATCTGTCTCTATACTTATGTACCTCAAAGAACTTGAATTCTGCTTCTACAGAAAAGCAGAGAGCCAATACGCCACTCCCTTTAGAAGACTATACGTATCGGAGCTACATCACTTACGTCCTCTACCCTCCGCTCTACATCGCTGGCCCTATTCTGACATTCAATAATTTCATGTGGCAGGTGCATGATAATTCTCTTCTGTCCCATTGGCTTTCGTTTACATTATTTATGTAGCTGCGCTGCCCTATAAATATTCCCATGCGGGTCCAAAGTTGTTACTTGGTTCGTTTCCTTGTTAGTCTCCTGATCATGGAGTCCATACTACACTATATGTATGTTGTGGCCATCAAAGATACTAAGGCTTGGCAAGGCTATACACCACTGGAGCTGAGTATGATTGGGTTTTGGAGTCTCGTCATTGTTTGGTTTAAAGTAAGTTTTTTTTGGATGTGTTTGATTTTCGGCTAATCGTTTGAATAGCTGCTTTTGCCATGGCGGTTTTTCCGTCTCTGGTCTTTGGCAAGCGGTATCGATCCACCTGAAAACATGATACGGTGCATGGTCAATAATTACTCTACTCTTGGATTTTGGCGAAGTTGGCATCGGTCTTACAATCTCTGGATTGTCCGGTTCGGCTGTTATATTAATGTGCATGCTTCTTACTCACTGGCACACAGATACATCTACATTCCACTCGGGGGTACAAAGAACGTTGCACTGACAACCGCGCTTGTTTTCTCATTTGTCGCACTCTGGCATGATCTCTCTTTTCGCTTGCTTGCGTGGGGATGGCTCATCAGTTTTTTCATCTTACCTGAACTGCTTGCGAGGTATCTTCTCCCTCAAACAAAGGTTAGTCGAACACCATCCTCGTGGCATTTTCACCTTCTACAGTTCATTTAATTCGCACGATCAGTACGGGCAATTTTCATGGTATCGTCATGTCTGCGCAATCGGAGGCGTACTCAACATGATAATGATGGTTTCTGCGAACCTTGTTGGATTTGTGATCGGTATGGACGGGATAATGTATATGGCCAGCCAGATAGCGGGAACGTGGCAAGGTAGGGCGGCTTCTGTTCTTTGTCACCGTGTCATATTGAGCTATCTAATACTCCATTAGGATTCCGTTTTTTGCTCGCGGCAATCTGCATTATCTTCGTGGGAGTGCAGCTTATGTTTGAGTACCGGTGCGTTCTTTCGCTGGTGCGTTTTGCGTTGTGATCGCTCAGACTCGGTTCTCAGAGAAGAAGAGATGCGAAGAGGTATTTACCGAAGATGTTGACGATTTGCTGGAGGTCATCGATTGTCATTAGCAATCCTACTTAGTGTTCGATGCGTTCTATGCCCTGCGACTATAGGAAACGACGTCGCCAACAAAATGCTTTGTGCCTCCGTCACCCCAATTGGGCTCGTTCGCTATGATCAAGTGGAAACCTGTCGTCGTCAAAGACGATCAGAAGCATTAAGAACATGTGAACAGAGACCACGGTCCGTACTGCAAATGACGACAATGAGGTTGTAGATATAAGCTTCGGCCTGTTGCTTCAAGTGACAAGCTGGGTTTCAGAAGGTTTCGAATGCACCAATACGAAAATTTGTGCCTATCGACGCCCCATGATCTTTTGGTTACAGCTAACCAATGGTAAACCTGTGCCTGAAGCCTGAAGTGTCATCAGTCCTCTGTTCTTCCTGGTCTGGGTGACTCAGTTCTACTAGCATGACACTTCAAATCAAACATAATCAAACAGCTCGAACCTGAATGGGTAATTGGAATGATTCTGTGAATAACTACGAGCACATCGACACTTGTGACGATAATAGTTTTAATGTTAACTGTGATGATATCTAGACGTCCTGAGTGACAAATATAACGGGATTATAGAAAGAAGCGATGATCAAAGGAGTGTCTGGTCTAGAGAGTAACAACAATTAAACCAAAGGAATGAGCAATATATGTGAGTACACTAAACATATAACATAATAAAGAGAGGGAGAGCACTCGCTATGCTCGCACGCGGAGACTACTCAGCCGTGCAGCGTTCATTTCTGCTTCCATGTCCAATGATCGCTGCTTGGCTCGCTCGCGGAGAAGACCCCACTTGACCCACCAGTCGTCGGCTTCATCTTCAGCATCGTATCCCCAAAGTTCTTTGAGCTGCTCCCATTGTTCGGAAGCTTCGCCGCCGCCGAAGACGCTTTCCCCTTGAGCAGTCTTGGCACGCATGTCCTGGTCGCGCTGTTCCTGCTGAGGACCAGCTGGCAGCATTTGGAAATACAAATTGCATTGTTCGGTATGCGCGACACTGGCACAGCGATCTTCCCGAAGATCTTGAAAAGCATGTAAAAATGTCGATATTTGATCTTTATCTCGCAGATGAGAGAAAAGCTTTGCAAACACAGCGGCATCTTCTACAGCCATTGCGCCCCCCTGCAATGATCCTGCCTGAAGGAAGTCTTAGCGCAATGCGTTCATCCCATGATCAAAGTTATAGCATACTGGAAGTGGGTGTGCAGCCTCGCCTATAATTACCATACGACCGTGTTTATCAACCCAATCTTCTATTGGTGGAACCATCTTGACCTGTACACGGGAGGGTGTGGCAGCCAATTTGGTCATCTTTAGGAGTCTGAGACTTTCAATCAGCTAGAATTAACAAACATCACTAGATTGGTTGTACCTCGGTTCGCATTCTCCAAGCTGCCGACGCATCTCCTTTAAATCAAGACCTCCTCCCCAGCAATCATCATCGGACAGCCCCTTTTGCCTGGGAGGCACCCATAGATGTAGCGCAAACTCGTCTTTACCGCCCTGTTCAGCAGCTGTTAGATTCAACACGACACTTCACGAATATTAGCATACTATACGGAATGCCACAGCCGAACGATTATTGCCCAGCCAAACAAACATAGTCTCCTAAACACAACACATCACGTTAAAGCCAATCATGATCATGCAAGTCTGCGACTTACGACGGGTTTTTTGAAGAAGGGTGCCAATTGAGGATCGGCTCTCATAAGTTCTGCTGGGACAGTAGTACTAAGGCAGTTAGGCAACGAGTTTTATTAACAAAGTCCAGAGTAATGCTTACTTGTAGAACAAAGATTGATATGGCACTGCGTCGAAAACATCCTTACCGACGATTGCTTGTTGCACTACACTCGAGCGGCCATCGGCGCCAACAATCACATCGGCTAGCAGTGTTTCCCCCGTGGTCAATGTCACGTGAGGGCCATCACCACTTACAGAGACAACCTTTGTGCCTGCCCGCACCTCAGCGCCCGCTGCTATGGCAGCATCGTACAGAACTTTCCGGAGTCCGACATGCTGTATGAGCAGATAAAATTAATGTGAAGCGAGGGCAGGAGATTGTACGCACATGCAGGAAAAGGAAGTCTCCTCCAGTTTCTCGCAGAACCTCTTCTTCCCACAGATGGGTACCAATATACTCGCCAGTTTCGTCTGTAGATGTAGTCAGTTATAGAGTAGGGGTGAGGTGCCGATGTACACGAACAAATCTCAACCTCCATAGCACTTGACGTTATGGATACTTGCCGAAGAGCACGCTCGAGGCCCCAATGAAAGAGAACTTTCGAGACGTTTGGAGGCAACCGAATGCCTCCGTGCGACATCTGTCCAGTGGCACATTGAGAATGCGACAACGTAGATGGTTGTGGGATACCGACCTTCGAAACGTCTGCATCGGAGTATTGTTCGAGAACAACCACACGATGACCGACCCGTCTCAGTGCTATCGCACACGCAAGACCTGCAATTCCGCCACCAACAACAATAAATTTTATGGTCAATTCTGCCTGGATAGGTTGGGTCAATAGATTTGCCTGGTGTCAGATGTGATATAACATACTTTTCTAGACATTTAAGCCAGCAAAGGTAAGAGAGTCGACGAAAAAGTAAGGGCTACTCGGGAACCCGTCACGGGCAATGCATGCACATAAATATATGGTTTGAACCTGTTCACCAGTGCCAAAAAAAGAAAAGCAGAGCAGAACTACCGAAGTGCCTATTCTGCAACCGTCCTCAGCACGTGCGCGTGAACGGCGACTTGCACGGAACTTCACAGAGTGAAAAATTCAATTCTGTACACCCCTCCGCAAACCCTCGTGGGTCCTTTTGGTAATTTTGATCCCAACCTGAACACTCGTCGTGAGATGCCGGCATTGGGAGCTGATTCCTCCGGGGTTCCTCGTGTAAGAGTTTGCTACAATTGTGGATTTGCAGTGGTTATATAGGACTAATTGTGAAGGACTCACTCGTCTTTCAAGCCATAAGTAATGGCGTTAAGCTGGGCGAGTGCTCGGACGCAACTTGAACGTATCGATTTAATACCCAGATGTGCTAATTACATAATCAATAAGTGTTCAGTCCTTTCAATTGAAATCGTTTATTCGTTTATCTTCCAAATAACCAGGAAAATAGGACTTGGATGCACAAGTGCTGCATTGAAACACAGTTCGTTTCAAGCCCCCCAAGGCTTCTGTACAGAGCCGGCGTCAAGGGACGACAACTCATTGGTATACTTAGCCAATGGATCCAACGGTTTATCCGTGCGATGATCGTATTGCTCCTGCATTACCAACCATCAAATTCCTAATCTGTTAGGCACCCATGGCCACTGCGCCTATAAGCGCGTATACAGGCAGATACAGGTCAAGCTTCAAGATCATTTCAAGTTTGCCGCCGGGCTCTAAATCCGCGGATAGAGGAGTTGGAAGACGTCGACATCGATTTCGACTTGTAATATATATGAATCCTACATTGGCCGCATCTACTATGATACAAGTCCAGGTGTACCGCACGTGCAGATAAGCCGGCGGCTCAAGTATTAATGACGACAATAGGCAGTATAGGCCGCTCTCTTGGAGAAATATAACGAAGGGAATACGCTGATCACAGTTCGATTGTAGGTCCAAATTGCCTTTAGAATCGCTGTCGACTCAACCTCTCCAGTTGCAATAACCTAGCGTCTGACTCGATCTACCCTTTGGGGTAGATCTGGTACGACTGTGCACTGTGACATTGTCCAGCCGATCGCACCGCATCATGCTCCATTTGGATAGGCTACCTGCATGAGCTGCTTCTGGCCAGGAATTCCAAGGTTCTTGGCTTTACGTCCATGTGAGACGGGAACCCGCAGCACGGAAGTGGGCCCCTTCACCCTCCTTCACTGATGAGCTTTCCCCGACAGCATGTTCTTCAGGTTGTATGTAGGTCATCCCAAACGAGCGCTCGAAATTCCGACAACGCCAGTAACTGAGTATGACTGGCTAATTGTTTCTTCGTGTTTACGCGTGGAAGTGCTTCTATCCGCATCAGGTGTCGTGGAGAGAAAGGCAATTATATTAATCTGACAGCGATCTACTCAAATTTTACTGCCGTTAAACTTCACCTTAGACTATTACTTGTTCGGAATAGTGGTCACATAATACAAGCCGCGGGACCGCACACGAACTGTCACATCAAGTAATGCTCGGCGTCCGCTGGCAGACTAGACATCAAATGCAAAATTCTCAAGACGCAACCTGTCGGGTCCAAAGGTCAGACCGTGTAAGCATCAGAGTACACCCAAACCAATTTCCACGTAGCTTCTGATCTATCAATCCGCCCACACTATTTTAAGGTCGTGACGCAAATACGACGTTCGCTTTTCGTAACTGTCAGCTGAAGGGTGTTCAGGGTGTAGTATTACATAGTGTCGCGGGGCATTTTCTCGAACAGGCAGCCCTTGAGGGTCAAGATCTGTCACAGCGTTTCCTCGTTGCCAAGCATTCGCTTTGACTCCCACACCTTACATTTCTATCTGCTCACGTCAGGGGGTTTAAGCTGCTGTATCTATGATGAAGTGAAAAATACCAAGGACTCACGTGTGTTATCCCTCCTTCGCATCTACCTTGAAGCTTTGATATACTCACCCCCCCCCAATTCGGATTCCAGATGAGATGCCGGACGAATGATTGCCCGACAGGTTGATCTATCACGCACAGGAAACATTCGGGTGGGCTGGCAGATTCTGATTCGAGCCAGGGCAAACCGATGCATGCTGAACACCCAACATTGCCATGCCACTGATCCTTATTGTCTTACCCAGGTCTGATCCCGTTGCACAAGTCCTTGTTCCATAATCAGCATGATGTCACTGACTGGGGCAGTGTTTCCTTCCAAGCCTGGTTTGCAGGGTTTTGCACACGTGTGCTTGCGGCCGCAAGGTCATGTTACCTCAGAATTCATTTAGCAAGGGGTAATTACGACGTTCATCTAATGGGGCCTGATGAGGCCAGAGTCGCGGCGCTGTTACAAACACCCATTCCTGCAAATGTGAGTGATAAGTAGGACGTGCTTTTTTGTGTGTCGAGCTCAACTCTCCAGTTGCCTTCTTCAGGACTTCCCCACACATTGTGGTATGGTGATATCCTATTTTTATCATCTTGATGGGCGCTGCATCTTTCAGCACTAGCGTGTCGCTTCCATTTTCTAGGTCGGAAATACCCGTCCTTCCTGTATTAACATACTGTTGATCATGGATTTGATACGGCACGCCCAATGAGAAAGAGGGAAAATCTGCTAGATGTAAGCTTAGTCCTGCTTGGTTTGAGGGTGCGAGTCTTACGTTGATGATCATTCGATTATATGATTGACGGGTACAATACAAGGTAACCCAGCAATATATAGGTTCTATCATTCTCTAGGGCGCCTCGCTTGTCATGCTGCATAGATTTCTACTTTTTTTGCGTTTGTCATATTATTGGACGTCCGATCCTCCCTGGCTGGTTGTCAAGGGTTTTCCAAGATGTGTCGTGACACTTACCCTAGCAGATGACATGTCCGATGGTAGAAGCAGAGGCAAGTGATATCTGTGAGTTCCTAGTAACATGTTTGCGAACCTATCAATTGGTCTTGGACAGGGAGGCGAAGCGTTGCCAGAGTCCAGACAGTACTTTGAAATATTTCCAACGAAGGCGCATTGGAATCCTCGTAATCATCTCCCTTGATGGTAAGATGATTATCAGGCACCCACGATTCCAGTCCGCGCAGATGTCATTCAAACCGATCGCGATTGAATATTGAGTTATGCGTGCAGTATGTTGCACAGCAAATTTTTTTGTATAAATTTTAAGCGATCTCCCAAATATTCGATTTTCCCAGTCAACCGAGGGTGTCAGTCGATCTGGATGCTGGGCTGGGCCGCGGCTAATAGTTTACCCTCTTACTTAGATTCTTGTTCGCCGTACATGGTAGGCTCTGTAATAAGATCATCGCACGAGGAGGTCAAATAAAAGGCGTTCTACCTCCGTTCAAACTTTGAATATGTAAGTTGCCAATATCTCGCTCAAAGCTTGATCGTCCCATACACTTTGTTGATAACTTCCAATCATTGCACAACAATGTCGTCTTTAAACGATAAAATCGCTGCTGCAGTGCTCCCTTCTACGGATTTTACATCCAACGACTATCTCTCTCTAGCTACATCATCGACCCTTCGCACGGCGTTCTAACGTGCTCTTTCCACTGCCCCTCATACTCGGATCAGGTGGTTCTCGGTTGCTTGTACCAACGCCTGCTCATGTTGCCCTCGAAAGTCGATTGGAAAGATTCTTCGGTGCTGAGAAGGCGTTGTTATTCAACTCAGGTTTCGACGCAAACATTGCATTCTTCTCCGCCATTCCTCAGCCTGGCGACGTAATTCTATACGATGAGCATATCCACGCATCTGTGCATGATGGGATGGGTGCTTCACGGGCGGATTTCTTGAGCTCGTTAAATTTCAGTCGCTGCAAAAATTACTCCACGAGCGAGATGATCTGCGGGATTGGGGAGCAAGCGCATTCGTTGCGGTGAAAAGCCTATATAGCATGAACGGGACATTTGCGCCTTTACACGAAATCGTGCACTGTGTCGAAGAATTGCTGCCAAGGGGGAATGGATATGTGATAGTGGGCGGGGCGCATGCAATAGAGATATATGGCCCGTAGGGTCGAGTAGGCATTGCAGTGAATGTACAAAGGGCGAGGCCATCCTAACATCTGCAGGGTTCAGGGTGAGCCAGACTCCAAGCTGGTGGGTGTATAAAACCAAATTTGTAACGAAAAGCGAGAAATCAAGTTAATTATGTAAGTGTTATATGCCAGTGTCTAACCTTGTGTGCACACGTACAAGTAGTGTTCTCTGAGATATAACCAACTTAAGAGCCTGGACTAGCTGCGTTTATTTCGCAGTTTGTTTCGCCAGTTTGTTTCTGTATGTGGCGTGGCAAAGTGTTACAACCTGTGACTCATGTGTGACTCAATCAGCATCCAACCCCTTGCCAAGTTATGGCAAAATGGAAGAGTACAGCATCTACAAACACTGGTGGCACAAGCTCAGCTCACTGGACTGATCAAGAGACCACCTGACTTATTCAATATCTTGCACTTCATTGTGCCAAAGGTGGAGATGGTATCAACTTCAAACAGGCAACCTTTACTGCTGCAGCAGCTCATTTGTTGGAGCTGTTGGAAGGCATTCCAAAGGAGAATCACATTGCTGGGAACAAAAGGGACTGGCAATCTTGCAAGAACAAATGGATCATGGTGTGTACATTATTATTTTGTAAGTTGATTAATTGAAAGTTTGACTACTGCAGTGTAAAAAAAACATGCCACCATCACTGAAATCAAATCACAATCTGGATTTTCATGGGATGAGGAACTTGGTGCAAATATTGGCCCCACTGATGCTGCATGGTGGACTGCATTCGCAAATGCATGTCCTGATACAAAGCCCTTTCGCAACAAGGGCTGGAAGCATTTTGATGACATGGATGATCTCTTGCATGTGCAGATCATGCGTGTGTTACAGTACCCCTATTCTTTTTCTTACCATCACCATGGACACCTTATGGCTGTACTTCTAATGCTTCCTTTTCACTATGCTGTTTCCTCATGGTCTCTCTTATCTCTGACTCATACTTTGTTTTCCCATGAACCTTCCTTTCTTAGCACTTGCTACCCTTTGCCCAGCTTGGTCTGTGCATGATTCCTTTATGTATATAAACCCTAATTACTGCTTGTATTTTCTCTAACTTGAATCTACTTGGTTCTCTTTCATATTTGAACTCTAGCTCCTTGGGAAGGAGGCTAGCCACTTTCCATTTGAACTCTAGATCCTGTGGGAGTCTAGACAATCACTCCTGAGGGAGGCATTAACTTGATAAGGCTTAGTCCTTGATTGACCCTGACCCTTGATTCCTTTATTGGAACAACACTCCATCCGAGTTCGTAACAGCATGGCACCAACACTTTTCACACAGGCCAGGACACCTTCAAATCACAACAAGCTCCCAGTGATGAAGGTCTTGGTGTTGCTGTTGAGCATGGGCCAGCAGTATTGGAACCTGTGATAAGAGACTTGGGAGTTGAAGAAGAAGAAGAGAGCAGGATGGTTGTGGGAAGAGAGCAGGATGAAGATGAAGAAGACATCATTCCTTGGGAAGCAACTCCTCCTCCTCCTCCTCCTCCTCCTCCTTCGAAGCAAAAATTTACAACTGCATCTTTGACTCTGTCTCTTACTGGGTCTTGTTCTTCTAGACCACCATTGAAACACCATCATGTTGGCAGATCAGCCACTGTGCTCTATGCAATAAATGATTAATTTTCTGAGTTCACTGATGTCTTTCATGTAGCATCACAGTCAGAAAAATCCACTATCGCCTTATCCCCTCAGCACAAGCAGGCAGCAATACAATGTGCACAACTTCTAGAAACACATCTCAATGATGATAGCATGGCTGTGCTTATCAAAGCTTTTCAAATGGATGTCAGCACTGCTGATGCATACATGGTCATGTCTGATGATAGGCCAAGGAAGTCATTTGTTGACCACAAGATCAAATTTATTAACAAGCAGAGTCTCTAGATAGTATTGTATTTTTGCGCACTCATCCTGTCATGTCCTGATGAGCGTGACACACTCTATGATAATCTCTCCACATAGCATCTGCAATACAATCTCTGTTTTCTGTTGCCTTATGCCTTTCAGCACGGTCTGCTGGTCCTTCAGCAAGATCACCCCTTGACTTGCCTGGATCAGGATCAACAAGATCCTCAACAGTGAATTCTTCAATTTCCTTTGGATCAAAAATTCAGATGAAGTTATGGATGGCACAAAGTGTGGGGGGAATTCAGGCCTGTGTCAACATGCTATACTCTGGTGGATGTACAAGTATCACGAACTGTCTCTTGAGAACACTGAATATCTGCTCAATCACATTTTGAGCTTGAGCATGCTGAAGATTGTATATTTCTTTGGCGTTTTGTGGCCTGCCTTGCATGAGAAGAGAACATCAAAGTGAAGTATTGCTCACTGAACTGCAGCTCAACCCCACTCAGCCAAGTGGTACTGAACACTTTGGTACAGAATGAGAAGTGAATTGCAGATTCCAAATCCAGCATCTGCAAGGTAGTATCTTCCTTGTGGAATGTATAGGTTAGTGAGATGGGCATTATTGTAGAGAGTCAAGTCTGAGGTGGATCCATCCCAACCACTGAGAAGATACTGGAAGCAAAGATCAAATGAACAACATGCAAGACAGTTTTGGCTGGTGAAACCTTTCCAGTTTCATGCAAGCTGTCTTTCTTCTGCTGATGGACAACATGCAGTGTGTGTACCATCCATAGCTCCAAGTGCCCCTTCAAAGTGTGGAAAGAGTTTTGGATTCCCTGATATCTCCACTGGAATAGGTATGTCCTCCCATGGAAGAAATACAAATTTATTGTAGAAGGGTGCTGAAGACAAAGCAGGCAAGACTCTCTTGAAATATCTGATGTGGTATGTGAGACAATGTATATCTTGCAATAGCATGAATGTACTTCTGCATGGTTGTGTGGGAGTGCTGAAAATGTTCTGCAACATGATGGCTTGAAAGCCCTGTCACACATGTATAGAGAAATATAGCAACTTGCTCATCAAGCTGAATATATTTTGAATCACACAGCCTGCAAGTCCGAAGCTCATGTAGAAGTGCATGGAAGACGTGTTTTCTCATTCCAAGCTCGGTTTTGATCCAGTCAGGGTGTCCATTGATAAGTTCTTGCACCCATGTGTGCCCAGTAAGGACTGAGGTATGGTAGGGCTGCTTGTCCAGAAAAGGAGTCATATATGTGATTATAATGCCCATAATAAGTTGAGAAATCATTGTGGCTGCCATCTGCAGCATGTGGAAACGTTGAATATCATGCATTTCAGCCTTGGTGTGATGTCATAGTACATGTGTGATACATTGAGCTTGTCACAGTTGTTTGTACATATTGTTGCAAATAAAATAAACTGAAACAAACTGCAAAATAAACGCAGCTGGCCAGGCTCTAAGTTGGCCTTGAGATATCTACCTAGTTATCCACCATGATGTGGATGACTAGACTACTTCACAACATGCAAATTCTTGCAAAAGTGTGGAATGCCCTGCTTTTCTTGAGCCTCACAGCCTCCCTGTTTTGGCTCATTCAATCAATGTTGCACCACAACACATGCCCTTGCCATCCAAATCTGAAGCCCATTGTAAATGAGGCTATGGATAGCTTGATCATATCCTGTGACTCGCTTCTGTCCTGTTTACATCAGTGCTGCAGTGTGGATACCACATGCTATTATTGCCTCACTTATAATACATCAGGACTTTACTGCAGTGTTCCATGACCTCTAGCACACATCTTACTCTCAAGTGTTAGTTTGCATCTATCCATCAGCCATCATTATGGCCTGTCGTCGATGTGTCACCTTTGAGTCTTCAAGCTCATCAGAATCAAACTCTGATTCAGACTTTTCTTCAGCATCATCACATAAAACCTCTCCAGTAGAGAAATCTGCTTCCAGTACTGAACCCTTGAAAGGCAGAAATCATAAGTGTAAGTCATCAAGCAATGATAATGACAACAAGACAAAGAGTTCAGAATGTCCATGATCGCAAGTTGTTGTGTTGTATAGTACATGTATGGACTTAACCTCATGTTTTCAGGCAAAAAAAGGACAAGTAAGTACATTAAGCACTGATCATCTAAATGCCTAACAATGTGTGTATTGTTTAGCAAGGAGCCAAGCTACCTAGAGCACACCCAGGACCTGGGAGAGACACATCTTGGTGGAGTGGAACAAGTTGTCATTACCAGTATGTGATACTATCTCCCTTCAGCATGTATCAATGATTCTCCCCCAGCCATTTGTGCAACTAATCTCACACTTGGCCTCTGAAAGATCCCTGCTGGCTTCCATGTAGCAGTAAAGGCTGATGGTGCTGAATTCCAGACAAGCAACAAACCTGCACACATAGATCAGGCTGTCATCAAATGGAACAAGCCCATACTTCTGTAAGTTGTCCTTAATCCCATCCTTCCAGCAGGTATTAAGAAAAGTCTAGGCTGTGCAAGCCATCTTCTATAGTTTGGATTAGCATGTATGCCTCATTTGAACTGGGTCCCATGCTCTGTCATGGAGAAATCCTCTGCACATTCCAGATCTCCATCCAAGAATTACTGGCTCACAGTGACAATTTACATTGTCAGTAACATCTTTTGCAAATAACATCTGATGGATGTTAATGAGTATCACAGCCATAATCTTTCAGCCCAAGCAGGGTGAAGTTGTATCCTCATGTACTTCACTGTTCATGACACTGGAGCAGCAACTTTCTGATGAACACAACACCACAGTTCTTTGCCCCCTGACTACTGTGAGTGATCAATGCTGTCTAGCATTCTGATCCTGAGAGCTTGTAACATGTAGCTTACATCCTGTGATATGGATGTGATAGCACTAAAGACAGATGCCAGTCATTGTCTTCTTGCGCAATAGTGCAGGATGCAGAATAGTAGGGATCTCAACCAATCTATAAAGCACTTTGAACACACTATGGATCTCTGCCTCATGGACTATCCCTACTGCCCTGCAGTGCTGTTCAATCTAGGCATTGCAAAGTTTGTTAGTTGCCAAGCTGACAGAAGATACCTCAACCTCAACTTCTCTATCAATCTGTTTCAAGATGCCCTTAACTTGTGTCCCACTGATCATCCAGACCAAACTGTCACCCAGCTCCATCTTGCCATTGCTCTGCTCTTTCACTTCACAAAATGGGGATTTCAAATGGATGCCAATGCAGCTGAAGAGTTACTGAGTGAAGTCCTCAAAGTCTGCCATGCCAACAACCACATTTATAGAGCAGCTTTGATTGCAACCAAAACATCTGCTGCAAGCATTGATGCAAATGATCTTGGGCAGGAGTGGCCTGCTGCATCTATTCTTCTGTTATCGCTGAATCAACTTGTTGATCGAGTAGAGTGGTGTTTACAGAGAGATGAACCTCATGCCTTAGATGAAGTGATATCCCTTCATTATGATGCACTGGGATACTACAACACTGGGCATGCTTACCAAGGGGGGTTACTAGGTAATCTGGGTGTGATGCTGCAAATTCACTTCAAATGTTGAGGCAATGGTGGAGACTTGGATCAGGCCATCACACTTCACAGAGAAGCACTGGCTTTGTGCCCAGTCAGTCACATGGATCAGTCATTAACATTAAATCATCTTGTGAATCAACTTGCCTCCCACTTTGACTGCCAAGGCAATGGCGAAGACTTGGATCAGGCTGTCACACTTCACAGGGAAGCACTGACTTTGCAACCAGTCAGTCACACAGGTTGGTCCAAGTCATTAAATAACCTTGTGAATCAACTCACCTCCTGCTTTGAACACTGAGGCAATGACAAAGACTTGAATCAGACTATTGCACTTCACAGGGAAGTGCTGGCTTTTCAACCGGTTGGTCACACAGATCAGTCATCATCATTGAATAAGCTTGCTGCTCAACTCTCCTCCCACTTTAACCACTGAGGCAATGGTGAAGACTTAGACCAGGCTATCACACTTCAGAGGGAAGCACTGGCTTTGTGCCCACTTGGTCACACAGATCAGTCCATGACATTAAATAATCTTGCAGTTGAACTCTCCATCTGCTTTGACCACCGAGGCAATGATGAAGACTTGGATCAGGCTATTGCACTTCATAGGGAAGCGCTGGCTTTATGCCTTGTCAGTTACATAAATTGGTCCAGGTCACTAAATAACCTGGCAGTTGAACTCTCCACCTGCTTTGGCCACTGAGGTAACAATGAAGACTTGGATCAGGCTATTGCACTTCACAGGGAAGCGCTGGCTTTGTGCCCACTCAGTCACACAGATCGGTCCATGTCATTAAATAGCCTTGCGAATCAACTATCCACCTGCTTTGATCACCAAGGCAATGATGAAGACTTGGATCAGGCTATTGCACTTCACAGAGAAGCGCTGACTTTGCATCCAGTCAGTCACACAGATCGGTCCGGGTCATTACATAACCTTGCAAATCAACTCACCTCCTGCTTCATCACTGAAATTCAAATTTTGCTGTCAAGTCTTATATTCACCTTATCATTAAGTAACCTTGTGAATCAACTCTCTATCCACTTTGGCCACTGAGGCAATAGAGAAGACCTCCGCAAGTCATGAGACAACCTATGCCATGCATTGACTCTGTTGACGCAACATAATCCTCATCAATTAGTAGTCCATATGTTGCTAGCTAAGGTCTATCTGTCATTCCATCATTCGGTGCTTGACGACACCGGCGCAGGCGAAGATAATGACAGCCTGAATGCTGCCATGCACCATCTTAAGGCAGCAGCAAATGTTGTTTCTGGAGGCCCGCTATCTCGCCTGCGAGCAAGTCTACACTGGGTTACTGATGCCCATCAACATTCACATGCCACTGAGCTGGAGGCTTATGCAACTTCAATGCAACTTCTGGACGCTTACATGTCCACAACAGCTTCAGTATCGTCTCGTCACAATATTATGAAGGACTTCCCGAGCACACTTGTCGTGGAAGCTGCATCGTGTGCTATTCGTAGCGGTGACGTGTATCACGCCGTTGAGTTGTTGGAACAAGGCAGGACTATCATCTGGACCCAGATGACACGACTTCGCACGCCTCTTGACAGCCTCCAGAATCGCAGCGATCACACAGCGGCACTGATGAAGAAATTCAGAAATCTCAGCTCCCTCCTCGATAAACCTCCTGCAAACTATCCAGAAGCAGCCCCAAGAGTCTATGTAGAAGCAGAAGAAACACGGTACAGATGTTTAGTGAAGGACTGGAATAGAACTGTAGAAGAGATCTGGAAGATCGAGAGCTTGTCTTGCTTCCTCCTTCCCCCCTTATTCTCCGATCTTCAAGATGCAGCTCGTGATGGACCTATCATCGTGCTCATTGCAAGCAAGTCGTCTTGCCATGCCATTATCATCCCGTACAACCAACCTCCGACCAGCATTCAACTCCCTACCAATTTTGGGAAACTCGTCAGATTGGTCCTCACACTCCAGGGGGCAATTAAAAAAGATGCCAGTCCTAAAAAGAATCAGACAGCGCTGATAAAAGCTTTGAGGGAGTTGTGGCACGACGTCGTCCGCCCGGTGGTCGAGAATCTGGGCGGATTTACACGACGAGGTTCCCAAATATGGTGGTGCCCGACATCTCTCTTCAGTTTCTTGCCATTGCACGCTGCTGGTGAGTATAGGGCAAATGGGGAGTCGCTTTCGCAGCAGTATATCTCTTCGTACACGCCATCACTTACTGCGTTGACGAGGGCTCGCAGAAGTCATGATAGGTCGCTGTCGGTGTCCTTCGCTGCCATTGGCCAGAATCGCCCCGCCGGCGCTTCATTCACTTTGGGTGGTGTGGAGCCCGAGCTGGATATGGTGCTGAGTCTTTTGCCCCCTCCCCCGACTGTTTTCTCCACCAAGGTAACCAGTGTTGATGCCACGAAATCGAGAGCACTGTGCGCGTTGCGAGATAATACTTGGCTTCATTTCGCATGTCACGGGGCACAGAAATTTCCCGAACCCTTCAAGTCGGCCTTTCTGATGCGCGACCACCCGCTTTCACTCCTCGATATTACCCAAATGGATCTCTCTCAGCATCAATTTGCATTTATTTCTGCCTGTGAAACCGCAGTCGGTGACCCTACAACGCCTGACGAAGTGATTCACCTGGCGGCTGGCCTGCAATTCGCCGGGGTAAAGAGTGTCGTTGGGACATTGTGGAAGGTCAACGATAGTACCATGCAGCGCTTAGTCGAGGCATTCTACAAAAACTTGTGCGGAGATAGCACAATGAATCCCAAACGAGCTGCCCGAGCGCTGCACCGAGCAGTCCAGTCGTTGGCTTGCGACAAGGACATGCCCTTGGACCAGCGCATAGTGTTCATGCATATTGGCGTGTGATCGATTTAGCGCGCACTCCCAGCTTGTTGATTAATGCGTTGTTCTGACGACTTCGCGTGTAGCATCCAGCCGTGCAGCCTGTTGCCAAGAACTTCGATATTCCAAACTTTGAGACTGTATACCTCCACAATATGTACACCCAATTTAAGTCCTTGTTTATTGTCCGTTGGGGCCTTGTGCTATGACGGACACTACCTACTGTATCGTAGTTGTTTCATGTGTCTGATCTATGCAGCCGCGGCTGTTCTGAGCTGCATGCCGATGCAGTAAGTGATAAGTAAACGATCTCCCAAATATTTGATTTCCCCAGGATGTCAGTCAATCTATAGCGCTGGGCTGCAGCTAATAGTTTACCCTCTTACTTAGATTCTTGTTCCCCGTACATAATAGGCTCTGTTTTATCAATAAGATCATCGTACGAGGGGGTCAAATAAAAGGCGTTCTACCTCCGTTCAAAACTTTGAATATGTAAGTTGCCAAATTGTATCTCACTCAATTGAAGCTTAATCTCCCCATGCACTTTGTTCATAAATTCCAATCATTGTACAATAATGTCGTCTTTAAACGATAAACTCGCTGCTGCCCTTTTATCTCGAGAAAAGCGGCATATTCGCCGACGTCTCCCTGTCTCAGTCTCTCCAGTGCTCCCTTCTGCGGATTTTACATCCAACGACTATCTCTCTCTAGCTACATCATCGACCCTTCGCACGGCATTCCAACGTGCTCTTTCCACTGCCCCTCAAATACTCGGATCAGGTGGTTCTCGATTGCTTGTACCAACACCTGCTCATGTTGCCCTCGAAAGTCGACTGGAAAGATTCTTCGGTGCTGAGAAGGCGTTGTTATTCAACTCAGGTTTCGACGCAAACGTTGCATTCTTCTCCGCCATTCCTCAGCCTGGCGACGTAATTCTATACGACGAGCATATCCACGCATCTGTGCATGATGGGATGGGTGCTTCGCGGGTAGATTCCTCCAGTCTCATTAAATTTTCACACAATTCAGTCACTGCGCTCAAGCGATCGCTGCGAAAATTACTCCATGAGCGAGATGATCTGCGGGATGGGAGAGCAAGCGCATTCGTTGCGGTGGAAAGCCTATATAGCATGGACGGGACATTCGCTCCCTTACACGAAATCGTGCAGTGTGTCGAAGAGATGCTGCCAAAGAGGAATGGATATGTGATAGTAGACGAGGCGCATGCAACAGGGATATATGGCCCGCAGGGTCGAGGGATGGTTGCTGCGCTAGGACTTGAGGGACGCGTCTTGGCGCGCTTGCATACATTCGGGAAGGCGCTTGCGGGATCAGGAGGTGCGAGTTTTTGTCGCTTAATTGATGAACGAAATCCTGAGCATCGATGTAGCTGCGATACTAACCACAGAACTCATACGGGATTACCTCTTGAATTATGCTCGTCCATTAATATACACCACGACGCTCACGTATGCAAATGTCATCGCCGTCGAGTGTGCCTTCGATATGCTGGAGAATGGGAGTGCCGAAGTGGTAAGCCCTGTCTCAAATGTTTGTAAACCTGTTATTAACGTGGGCCCAGCTCGCGCTGCATCTCCTAGACCTATCAAGGTACTTCCTGGAGCTTCTAAGACCTCACCTACAATCAGCTCCACCCGAACTGCTCTGCTTGCCTGGCCATCTACGTGTGGATGATCATAAGGATTCCATAAATTCTCCCTCTGACACATCTTTTCCTCCTCCGACACCTATCATCCCTCTCCTCACGCCTCATCCACATTCCCTTGCTGCACACCTTGCCTCCCTTCCCCAACCACTGTTTACAAAAGCAATCACATGGCCCACAGTTCCTGTGGGAACATCCCGAGTAAGAGTATGTTTGCACGCAGGGCACACTCGTGACGATGTAAAAAAACTGGTAGACGGTATTGTCGACTGGGTACAGACATGGCTCGCAAGAGAAAGAGAAGTAGCAAGACAGTGGCTGGATGTAGCCGAAGTGGAGGGTGTAGGAGTGTGGATGGAGTCGAAGTTGTAAGACATTCATTTTGGAGGTATAATTTAACCTTGGTCGACTAGAAATAGTAGCTTTACACACCACATCAAAATTCCTGTTCTCCTGTCTCGCTTCACTTGTTATCCTACGTTGCTCCTACGCAGCCTCCTTCTGAGCCAGGACCGCAGAAATGATTGCGACTATCATGCCAACTCCTGATGCTAGCCCAGTTTCGTGCAGCAAAGGGGGGACGGGGGAGCAATATCGAAATACGCAAAGCGCACCACCACAATGGAGAGAGCTGAAGAGCTCCTCGGAGTCACAAGGGTTATGATACCTTCAGACTAATTCAGTCCTGCAAAGCCTCAATCTCACGAGTACTTCGCGCGAGATAGTCATCATATGAGTCATGATGGAGTGCTGCATATCAAGATAAAAATACAGAAATTGAGCAAGCCTGCCCACATCTGCATCCACCATGCTTACCGGCATTTTTGAGTTTAGTGCGAAACCGCGCAATAACTTCTCGGTTGTGTGCGATTGCCGAGAGTTGCGCATGTTTGATGGTACCTACATGGTGTTTGCAATGTCGATATTTTTGTTTAAAGGACGGTAGAGACTCATAGAAATACAAGCCTACCTGAGACATGAATAACACGCGGGATGATCCTGACATCGTGGATGCTAGTGAGAAGCGTGACCGCACCCCATGCAATTCGATGATGATCTCGTGCGACACGAATAATACAAAGGTTGGTGGTCGGTGAAAAATACTTGACTGCAGCTATGTGAGATGGAAAGCTGAAGTATGATGAAAGATATACGCACCGGTCAACGACATCCCCACTGCTCCCCATCCAGTGTCGCCAAAGTTTGTCACGACACTATCACGGAGAGCGTTGTAGATCAACCTCCCGTCCAGAGACCGCGTACTTAGAGGCTCATTTCCAGTGGAGACATCCGCAGTAGACGTGTCAACAAATTCGACAAGGAGCCAGCGATTCTTGTTTGATCACATGGGTGAGCATGTTACAAACCGTTGAAAACGAGTTTTACCTTGAACCGAACCATGTCGTGCACTGAAGTGCAAGTATTCCACAGTCAATATTTGATGAAGACAGGTCTTGAAGGAAGTGGGGACTGACAGACTGGAAGTTCCAGAGTGTTAGATCATATCACAGTCTGGATGTACTCCGTCTCCAAGTCCAGCTCGACTCGAGAGACCAAAATAGAGTACACGTGACACATCACGTGCAACGTGAACTGTCGTGTGTTTTGCGACCTCTAAAGGTCCTCGCAAACGTGGAGGCTCATCATTGACGAAAATGCGCAGTGCGCACATGCGGAAACTCTTGAATAAAACACGCAAGCACTCAATTGACGAAATGTGCAAATATAACGTTACAACTTGTGAAGCTGAACGAGCAAAGGTGGGCTGTTCTCGGCAAACCTGATTTTCCCTTATCAACAGTCATTGCCCTTGCAGCGGCTTGCGCAAGGTCAGGCGGAAATTGAAGTAGAAATTCGGGAGCGACAAGAACATGCTGACATTTTTTGCTATCCTCATAGTTACATGTAGCTTCCCATCAATCTTCCATCAATCTTCCATGTTGCTTGCTTTGCTACTCCCTCGTTCGCCTAGGAGTTTGCAGTCCTCGCCGAAGCCCTAGCGCCCATAATTAATATTAACGTGAGCCAATATCTGATGACGACATGTACAAAACATGAACTTCACTTCCCGAGGTTGCGCGATACCATCAAGTCGAAACGTTACTCAAGGAACTATCAGACCTGTCGATTAGATGTTGATGTCTCATTGGATTCTTGATCATGCATGATAAGAAATTCATAATCCAATTAATACTAAGCTCTTCCAAGTACTGGCGGCCGTCCTATCAGTATGAGTATGGAGCATCGACCTAGCAAATAAGATGGACTCATGGGGCTGTGGCACTTATTGACTTTAGACGAATATTTCAACAAATCTAGCTGGGTTCAAACCCACGAGCCCGGCTCAAGGTCCAGGTGATGGGAATATGACATTTATCAACTTCTATCGATCTTCCACTGTTATAAGATGAGAATACAGACTTTCAATGATTGGCTCTAGGATCACAAAGATTAGCACTACTCGGAAAGGCACAATCAAGTAGGTGAGTTCAAATCGAGTTAAACTCGACTTGCTTCGAAAATGACCAAATTTGTTTCAACTCGAACCTACTGAGCTAAATTGAGTTGTAATTTCTTGGACTTACGAGTTAGAATCGAGTTGATGTAGTTCACTTCCATACATCGTAATCCCCTCTACAAGTTCTGAAGTTCATCTACAAGCAAGATTGCCTCGGTTTTACAGCGGACCTGGTGGCTAACGAGCAAGACTACACAATATGTGGACCTGTAATCCCAAGAGCAGTTGGTGAGCTGATGGTTACTGGGAATCTTTGAGAGCTTGATCAGTTGCTCACGAATGCAAGGGAAATTGATTGTAATTAGTTCTGTCTGCTTTTTGTGTACAGTCACAAACAGGCACTTGAGCCAGCAAAATTTTGTTGGTCTCCTGTTGCACAACAAAGAGGTATCATTCAGATCCGTCTGGTACAAAATTTTAGGGTGTGTTCATAAATGTATAAAATAAATTGTTGAGTCCATCGATTGATGTATGAATATGCTGTGAATGCATCAGTGTTTTCGGTCTTTATCACTAGTCCATGGTCACTTGAGCCAGCACCAAAAGAAGTAAGTCAGAAGTGATTAGCGTTATCTTTACAATTGGTAATGTTAATGACCAACTATTCACTCCCACCATCGGACTCTTCATTGTCATTCTCATCAGTGTCTTCCTCATCACTGCCAAGCTGCTTTTTCTTGGTCTGAGAATATGGGCGATACATCTTCTGGAGGAGAATGGGTGAGTGGCACATTGGACACCTTTTCCAGTCTCAGCAGCAAATTGAAGGGTCCAAACCATGTACAGCTTATCATGTGTCATTGATAAACCACTAAGATATGATAGTGTACATTTTGCAACCTTCCACCAGCATCACACTGGCAGATGATTATATGCAGTATTCATACTTTCTCTTTGATGAAGTTGTTGGCAGGGGTTGTGTCTATTGATTTCACAAACTTGGGGGATGAGAATAATTCAACATGGTCTTGTAGCGCCAAAATAGTGAAATTTCTGCCACATTACAACACACAACACAAGATCATAAAACATATTTACTTGCAAATAATCGTTGTTGGTGGTACAAGCGTCACTGGCTTCTCATTGGCTGGACTATCGGTCCGTATCACTCCCGAACTCGTTACCAATTCGCGAGTCAAGCGAGGCACAATTCTTACAACTCGTAAGTGCCGAGTTGTGTCGAGTTACTGCAATTTCCCACCTCGATTCGGTTCGATTCGCCTCGGCGGCAACACTAAATACAGGGTCTATATAGGTCTATGACCCCTTAGTAGGGATTATCAGGGGTTCTACTGCTGCCGATCAGAATCACTGACGTGACTTTGCTGTCATCTAACATGTACAGCGTGCTCCACATTGTTGTATCCAATAACCTCTATGTAATCAAGAATAGACATTGCTTGCAACAATGGTTTCGCTACTCATGATGTCAGGAGATATGACCGATGCCATGGTGCGAACATGCACAGAATAGGTATGCGCGAGGAGGTCTGAGGGCGGTGAACTTCTTAAGAATGACACTTACCGAGCGGTGATTGAGACATTGAGGTCTTTGCCACTCATGTAATTGATGTGTGCAAGGACTTATGTCTCCTGGGGGACACCCTGTTGGGAGCTGAAGCTTGAAGCTTTGAAGCGATGATTACCTTGTCAATTTTCGACCAACCGGCAACTTTCGGCAGCTGAGCTGGTCATACCACGTGATCATATTGTTTACATGGTGCGGGAAGATTCATAACGTTGCAGATTAATTCTAAGAGAAACCTTCGGACGTGGACAGGTGGAAGTAGTTGGGAAGCTATGGATGTGGATATGCATCTGGCTTTTGAGGTGGGTGAGTTGGTTCAGGCTTCCAGGTGAATTTGTCAGGAAAAAGTGATAATAGTGCATGTTCAATACTAGTAGACGTGCCACTGGCAGTGGCATAATGTTCCACAGCGAACGGAGCTCCAGGTATCTTGTTCTTCGAAGCACCACACTTGGATTCATCAGTCAAGACTCTATGTACAGTCCGTATTATTCTTCTAACCTCCAGCTCATGGCATCCCCGTCGTGTCTACAACTTGAAACAATTTCGCCATCTGTACCTCTATTCTACACTTATTGCACAGTTGATTTAAGCTCGACACGTAACTCGCCGAATCTGTATTCGCTATTGCAGATATCCCTCTTGCCTGTCAAAAAGAAGTCACTGTGGGATTGTAACAGGTGAGCCAGTGCTCAATTTTTGTTGGCTCACTATCTTCATATCTTCATATGTCAAGGGCAACGGAAATGAAAGGGAAGATCAAGCGATGCGGAAGATGCAGTAAGGGTCTCAGCAACCGAGGAACTTTGTGTGGTAGGTCAAAATGATCGTTGCCTATTTCAAGTTACAAATATCAGAACAACTTGCACCATTTAGGCACTACTAGTCTTATCCTGTGCAATTCCTCGGAAACTTACCTATCTCGATAATCCATTCTGGTACTGTGCTCTCCTTGATGCGGGCGGGATCCCAGGAGAAGGGCCACCTTCGTAACGAATGCGGATTCTTGAGTTTCTGGGGTTGGTGAGGACGAACACAACATTTTTGCAAATAGCTGTAATATTAATGATGATATACAACCCATCCAGACACTATGATATATAATTCTATGGAATTCACTAGTTTCCGAACTTCTTCAGATTATCGAGGTGCTTTATGGTCACCAATTTCATTAAGACGAATTGAACTACTGGGATGTGAGTCGCGCTGGAAGCAACTCATTTCGAATTGTGCAGAGCTGAGCTGGTAAAAGCTCACTTACAGCTTGCTTATGAGGCTCCTCACGAGTTCCATTGCTCTGTGACGGATTCTGACCGACAGAACTGACAGCAGTGCCCGACATGTCACAGGTGAACGGCAAATAGACCCTGTAACCGCTGAATACTGTCTATAGTCCTGAAAGGCGCCGCCAAAATAGAAACGACTGTCTTCCTTCACCCAAGGTTGGCCTTGAGGAAGACTCTAGCTATGCTACCCGGCTCTGAACGAAGACAAAGCGGTTGGTCTACCTGTTTGATTGGCAAACTTGCCATATGGATCACGAACCATTCAAGTCATGCGTATCAAGAAGCAGCACTGACCCTGGAACGGTGAACTGGACCCTGGATATCTGACAAGTCTTCTTTCTCGTATTGCATTGGTCTGCCTAATAGAAATCGCTTGTGCCGAATAGTGCTTGAAAATATCTTCCATGACACAAATCCAAGCGGGACAGACATCCACTGACGGTAAAAATCACTATAAAGACTGACGATCTTGTACCCATAGGTTCCTCATCTTGACGTTCACAATATGGATCCGACAACCCCTATTATGCTTCCCACCGTCGCCCACAACACCGCTCCTGACTCCGAGCCCTCACAATTCATTTTACCTGACCTCATCAATGATTGTCACTATCCCTTGCGAAAGAACCCTCACTGTTATGCGGTGTCCTGCGCATCTGATCAATGGCTTATTGACGTGGCGCGACTCGCAGAACATGAGCTCAGAGGGTATATCGAAATGGACGCGGGCAGATTCGCTGCCTTTCTCTATCCTGATGCAGATGCCTTCCATCTCCAAGTCTGCTGTGACTTCATCAACTGGATATTCATTATAGACGACTGGATGGAGGGACGGTGTCGTCGATCCACGGGAAGCACGCGAATCCTGTACTTTCTGCGTTACGCGATCCCATCAATTTTGATACTGGAACAGCTTGGTGCAAAGATGTGTAAATCGTACGGTTATTTGTTTACATCACATACTGTTTCTTAAAGTCAGTTGACTCGTTATGCGGTTAGGTTTTTCAGCCGTTTTAGGGAGACTGCTAGCCTTGGCTGCACAGAGTGGTTTATTCATGGAAGCGAATTGTTCTTCGCAGGTGCAGCTAAGCAGGCGGGCGACCTGTGCCAAGGGACAGATGTATGATCTGCAATCTTACATCGCCCTGAGGCGAGAAGTAGTCAGGGATAAAGCCCTGCTTTGCCCTCATCGAATTCGTAGCTGGAATTGATCTTCCTGATGAAGTTATGTCGCATCCAGTTGTTAAGGCCTTGGAGGACGCAACCAACGATCATGTTGCTTGCAATGATGTAATCCTGTTTTATCATTGAACACGGGGGCGCCGCTGACGACTGCAGACAGGATATTTTATCATACAACAAGGAGCAATCTCGCGGTGACGAACACTGGGAAAACATAGTTGCTGTGCTCATGCATGATCGAGGACTAGACCTGCACAGCGCCATGGACCACGCTGGTCAGATGTGCAAAGATGCCATCCAGCACTTCGAATTCAACTGTACCATCCTCCCTTCGTGGGGAGAAGATGTTGACAGGCAGGTGGCTATCTACATCGAAGGGCTGCAGAACTGGATGATTGGCTCACTTCACTGGCATTTTGTTTCCGCCCGCTATTTTGGCAAGGATAGACATGCTGTCAAGTTGGACCGAATCGTCAAGCTGCTCCCCAAAAAGCACTTGTAGAGCCTAACACCTAGTGCATGGCTTCTGGAGGTGAGATCGGCTTTACTTGTTTCACGCATTGCGCAATTCTTACGACTAGTTTAGTGGAACGTTAGTACATGATTTACGTCTCATATGGACTTCACAAGTTTTGCTTTGGTTGCATAATACGTGACATCCCGCCTTCCTTGCTTTGTCCTTCTTGATTTCAATACCTCGTCCAGCTTCTTGCGTGTGACACTTTCCGCCCGTCTTTTGTATCACCACCGTATGTCCATAGAAGAGTCTCGTCTCCTTGTATGAATCAAAGCTGTGCCACAGGCAGGACCGATTTGTGTTATTTAAATTTTCAGATCAACCAGTTGATGATCAACATTTTCATTGACCATGAAAGACATAAGGTAATGGAGGTTAGAGTTGGAATAAGGTTTAGCCTGCTGTTTAGGAAGACGGGTGACGAGAATTCAGCGTCTAAGACTGGCCCCAACAACCAGCCAAATCTTTGAATCTCTGCAGAAGGGGTCCTATGATATGATGCTCATGATCAACTTAGATTTTCGGTTGCACCTTTGCGAACCATAAAAGTTCATTCAGAACGTCCCCGCAGGTCGTGAAGCATCGCGCCAGTGATCAGCTGGTGTGCACGCCACCGAGGAGAACAGTTGCTCCCTGGAGGCACTATACAGCACTCTGGCCTCCGACGAAGCAATCGTGATTTCAAAGCTTCCATCATTCCAATCCGCTAACGAAGAGGGCGATATAACTCACTACGAAGATAAAAAGGATGACAATACAAAGACTGATGAAGAAGAATCAACTCGCCAAAGACCGACGAAGGCAACCCAAGTCACTTTGAGGACGAAAAGAAAATGACCCAAAGATTGATGAAGATCAGGGCGATACAAATTACTACGAAAGCAAAAAGGACGACGACAGCAAGACCAACGAACATGAGGCCATCACCAGTGACCATCATGGAGATACAGAGGACGAAGATGAGGGCTATACAAGCCATGAGGACGAAAACGACACCTTGGTGTCTGGAGACGCCGATAATGAATTTGAAGTCGAGCACAATGCAGAGGAGGTGGTGGTCACGGTGGTCATCTCCGTTTGTTCAAACGATTCCGTCAGCTTTCAAGCTCGACCTACACAAGCGCAAATGGACATGATGACAACGTTGCTTGGAAAACTACAGTGTGGGTGAGCTATAGGGACATTTAAATGTACTTTGGTTGTAGGTCAATATGCAGGAATATTACTTACAAGCTCCCATTTCCGAGCTGCATTTCGTCACCCCGCTTCCTTATAAAAGTACCTTCGCATTGTCAAATCACCCTGAGACAAAGGATGTCCCCTGTAGATATCGTGCGGCAGGCTACTTGATACTTGGACTTGTGTGTCTGCTTCAATCAGAAGTGTAATGGTGAATTCAAGGTTGTTTGTCATCCATGTACCTAGAACTGGATTGGGATGATTGATCTTGATATGAGCACTACGTGTATTGTAGGTCTTGACGTCTATAGCGTTGGACGCAGCATCGATATGCACGGACGACGTACGAAGGATAACGTTTCGGTGGACAATCGAGTTGGCTTCGAACAAGGTCGTAAAACGAGACAATTTCTCTGAGAATATTCGAGCACTCCATAAAAGAGATGGTATGCGGCTGCGAATGAGTTGGTATCTCAATCAACCTTTGAGCACCAAGTTCGATTATGTGCTGTAGCTAGGTAGAAGACCCGACTGTGCTGTACATTATCGCTTGGCACAACTATGATGAAGTAGATCAGCGCATTAGGCGCATGGCTTGAATATTAGCTAGATAACTCACCAATGCGCAGCGGATAATTTCATTGAAGAGAGTGCGAACCATTGAACGATAGGTTACGGTTCGAATTGCCGATTTGCCGCGACTTATTTGGAAGTCCGATCGATGTTTTCCCTGAATATGCCCTCGTTATGGTGCAGATTATCTATAAGCTTTTAGCAGAGAAACTTGCAGCAGCCGTCCTTATTCTACTACGACCCAAGTACTCATGTGTGAGGATATCCCCTCTCCCTAGAAATCGGCATGTTCTACGACTCCACCTCCCTACGAACCCTTCTACAGCATTATCCTCTCTCTGTGTCACACGTTCTGCTGCACTCGACATATTTTTAGACTACCGCCTGCCACTCCAGGGACTTCAAAGCTGGTACATTCCTACTAGTCAAGAATACTCTATACTGCAATCTATCATCCAATCCATCTCCCGACTCCCCACTTTCCGCACTCTCGAGTTCAAAAGAGTATTTTATTTCGCCTCCGACCTCAAGTTCTTACCTCTCCTCAATCCCGTGTAGGTCCACCTGTCAAATCTAACAATCGATAAATGCCAGCAACACGTTGTAATGCGCTTGCTCACACTAGCTCGCAACCTCTCTTCATTACAAATCGGCAAAATCTTCAAGTATTGGGACTCTCACCTAGAATTACTTGCCCACACCACTATCCAATCGTTGTCCATCGCAGCTAACCCAAGTAGCAAATTTGATCCAGTGGCTCCCGTTCTTAATGCACTCACTCTCTCTAACTCTTACGTCTGCTTAACGTTGGCATGAGATCCTGGGCTGATGAAGGGTTGGAAGGTGCTGGGAGTGGTACGGTCGGATAGGCTATTGGACTCGCATAATCAAGAAGGAAGGACTGTCTTTCTTCTATATGACTAGGAGAAACTAACCCATACTCGTTACGTATTGCGTTTGCCGTGAAAGGATATTTTCCCGTTATCCATGATCCGTTCCATGCAAAGTAATGGTCGACCCCACACACGGAACATCCAGGCTTCCGCCTTGATTTCCTTCCAAATACAAGTCAGGATTTCTTAGTCTACCTTGAGCGTTGGTGAGTATACATGCCACATCGAACACTGCATGTCAGAAAAAATCCGTAAAATTGCATATACAACATACTCGTCAGATATAAACGACCAGTCGCGACATAACATATATGAACTCCACACCAAAATTCGAACGAAAACATTGACAAGAGGATGTCGATAACAAGATGGACGTGGATGTGGCTTAAGGCAGCGTTAGCGACGCGGGCTATGCGTAAATGACGACTGGTTGTGGCGACAGATGTGCAAATGACGATCGTATTGTGCATATATGCAAGTGGGTGTATGGGTATAAGGATGTCGGTAAATGGATATGCATGTATAAAAGTGCATGTGGGCGGGGTTTGCCACCATGTGGAAGACGTACAACAACGAGGTGACACTGTACAACGAGGTACAAAGCCCGTGTAGGAATAATCAATCAATCCGATACAGCGGTTGAGATGAGACAGGCCTAACGCGCCCGGTCCTGCGACGGCTAGTCATCCGCACGTGTACGGCGTACGAGCTCGAAGCTTCTGACAAGCTTCAAACGAGCACACAGGCTCGCAGGTATAACCAAAGATCCTGTAATCCTGATACAGATCAGGAGAAATTTATCGCTACATTTATGTTGCGTTTAAGTCATGGTGGGTTTGGGGGCAGGCATGACGTGGTGGTGACGCGGTGCAGGGTGCGGTCGTGTGTGATAGGGTAACGAGGTGCACACGACGACTCGGAGGTGTGGTGATGGGGTGAATGAATAAGATGAAGAGGTGAGTGCAAGTACAACAAAGGAAACAGAAGAGGCGAGCTGTGTGAGAGCTCCAATCCAGCGAACAACGACCAGCGTAATTCACCCAAGCGCAAACCTCAGCGTACTATCCGCTTCCCCAACGGAAATAGGTTGCGAGGCCCATTCCTTGCCTACCCACACCCATATCCATGTCCATGCCTGAGCCTCCGATGCCATGATTCTGTGCCCCGATCCCGACCCCGACCTGCGCCCCTATCATACCCTGTGTCCCTCCTAAAATATTCATACTCTGCGGTACACCATCACTACACATGCCCTCACTGCCCCTGCGCACCTTGCGCTCTAAGCTCATACCACCCCGTGCCCCCGTCCCGTCGCCATCAAGCATCGTGAATAAGAAACTTGTCCATTCGCCCGGTACACAGAGAGAGAAGACTGCGTGTGTATGGGTAGGTCTTCGTGGGGGTTAGGATGCGGATGCTGATCTTCGTGTTGTCGGGGTGCGTGTTGGGGTTGGTGCTCTCTCCGCCTTTCCCATACACCTGCACACACCCTCATCTCCCCTGCTCGCTCAACCGTCTCCTATCAGGAGGAGCGTCACACCCCATGAATGCGCGGGGATGCAGAGGATGGTAACGTGGAAGGAAGAGACGGGTGGAGTGCATGAGAAGGCGGGCGGGTGCATTTGCGGCGGTGTTGAGGATGGCGTTTGGGATGAGTGTATCGGTGGTGTTTTGAGAGTGGGCGTTGGACGTGTTGATATTGAAGGCGTTTGTGTAAGCGTTGATGACATGAGAGGGTTTGAGGGAGCAGAAAGACGGTAGGTCGACGAAGGAGATGGCGTTCGCCGTGGAGGGAAACACAGCGGGGACACACAAAGGGCGTGGAGTGAGCATTGTATCCAATCAAGGCTGCCCACCAAGCGCAGGCGACGAGGTAGATCTCGGAAGTGACGCAGCCTGTTTCTGTGGCGTCGGCGCTACTGATGCTATCGACGGCAAAATCGTCGGAACCGTAGGGGTCACAATCGCTGGGACACAAGGCGTCGCAATCCCCTTGGCACCTTCAATATCCATCAAGAACAAGCCGTACTCGCCCTCCGCGTTATCATCGTAATCGCCATCAAGGTCACATTCATCTAAATCTTCATGTTTATCCTCTTCGTCGTCCACATCAAAATCAACAGCCTCGAGTGTTAGAGGGGTGGGTGTTGGATGGGAAATGTACCCGTTCTTTGGATGTGACAAAGGCTTTGATGGTGTCTATACCATAGCGGAGGAGTCTACAGGACGTTAGCAGTGTGTGATAAAAATCAAGTTGGCAGACTGATTGGATTGGTTATATCCATTTGTATAAGGAGTGCTGTATTTGAAAAGGCATTGTCTTGGAAGGGAGAAAAGCCGGGTTGGGGGATGAGCTCGTGAGAAAAGCCAGCGGAGGAGGTAGGAGGGGAACGTATTTGATTCGAAAGGACCGGGCGGCGGGCTGTGATGATCTGAAGGGCATGGAGAATTCGGATTCAAATCTGTGCCAGAGGGAAACTTTGTGGCGTCTGCGGGTAAATGATCTAATGAGATTAAAGAATCAAAGTCGAGCGAGTGGCGTCGACGACTTGGCATCTGCTCCGTCAATGGCCCACTGGCTCCGTCGACTTGTAGGGTTCCGTAGTCAATACACTGACCACAAATAAGTCCGGCACATCAGCATCTGAAAATCGAGGCATGTAAAAGTAGGTGTGCACGATATTAGTAAATATATCGCAAATCGCCAAACACAAAACACGGAGAGAAACACTTTTCTTCGCTGAGCGCATCAATTAATCAAACCACCCGGTGTCTCTCGTTTCCACAGCCGGGTTGCCTCACTTGCCCACCAGCCTCGAGCACAACCTGCACATTCCGTCGCAAATCCCAAGCGCTCATCGAACTAGCTCAAGCATGTGGCGACATTTACATACTTCTCCTCTGTCTGCATAATCATCTTCTGGGTCCTCCGAGCGTGATGCGCGTGCACAGAGCCTTCCATGTACGTGCCAGGGAGTGCGCGTCATGCATGCATGGTCGTGACTGTCAGTAAGGTGAGGATCAAGAAGCGAGTGCAGGCTCGGTTTGTAGGTATGTAAAAGCCGGCGGTAGTGAACGTTCATCATGATGCAAAGGCGTTGCCAAACATACGCAAATACATTCCATTCACCATTCCTACATACTATCACTGGCGGGTTTTTCAAAGGTTTTCAATGTTTGAAGCGTAGCACACTCATCAAGAGGTTTTTTTTCCCGCTTCTTGACAGACCTAAGGGAAAAATCGTGCTCTATCACACCCAGGTGAAATCTGATTTTTTTGTGATGATGTTCGAGTGGCGGAAGGAATCCGGTTGTGCGATGTCAGTTTGGCAGGGACTGGATATGCTGTTTCAAAATTTGTCACAGCAATGTCACACTGGAGTTTTATAGCTCCGCAACGGCACACTCGGCAAAATTTTGAATCTCGATATCTGAACGAATGAACGTTCAATGGATTCGGAGCGGAGATTATAATTGATGCAGCACTATAGTCACGGTGCGGGATGCACTCTTTCAACAACTTCACTAATAACATGGTTCTGCCCTCACTCAATCACGATATAGAAATCGCAGTGGTAAGCATCATTTGTATAGGGACAGAGGTTATTTTCACATAGTTTTTGTCCTGTTTGACAAAGTATATAGATTGTAGCATTACAATCATTAACATTCAGTGGTGTGACATATTTCAATGGATGATTTATTGTGAACACAACTGCTCGATGTTTTCTATATGATCTTCACAGCTGTGTTCTATAGACACTAGAGAACACTGGCTAAAATCACAGAATATTTTTGTGCAGTGCGCAGCTCGCGATATGATGATCAGCGAATTTTGAAACCCAATACCCATTTTGAAAAACCCCGTCAGTGATAGTATCATAATATTAACCTACTTCCTTAATACTCAATTCTTACCCATACCCGCCCCGACTCCACCATGGCGTCGCATGCAACTTTTTCATGAAGTCCATCTTTTCCTGCGTTGGATGCTGGAAAGTTGGACAAACTGTAACGAGCGAGACCAACCGGTCAAGGTGTATGTGTGCTTCTCTCCAGTTTCCTGATTATTTGTACATTTACACTGCTCAGGTTGATACTCCGGGCCCATGAAGCAAATGTACTGGAGAAAAGCGACTTAACGATCCACGGTGCGGTATATACTAACATCCTTGCCTTCCAGATCCCCTTGGGGTTGATTGTGCTTGGGCTTACGATGGTGTCCCCTCGTTAGTACCTTCAGCCTCATCCCTACCGATACACTCCACTGCGGTCTCCTCCATCTTCATATCCTCTGCGAGACCTACTTCGTCGTCATTATCCTGTCAAGTCTACATTTGGATAATTTACAAATCTCTTCTACCTCTACCATGGTAAACCCGTATTCGAATGCCATACCCTATCTGAGCACCCTCCCATTGGTATCATCGTCGGTATCATTGTTTTACTTCTGCTTTTTATGTTTGAACTTACGCTGACTAGATTCCAGGACTACCACACCTATATGGATCGGATGGAATGTTCTTAATCCACCAAAGCACCACTACTGATAGCGAACTTCCTGTCGCATCAGAAGCTTGGTCTGCGAGATGATGACTCCACAAACACCCGACCTGTGCGCTGGTTGGCGCAACTCCTCGTCTGCGGACGGTAGTTTCAAGTTGGATCCCCGTCGCAGTATATCAAGATCTAGCTCGCGGATGGGATCAGACAATGATGCCAAGGCAGCGCAATCGCTCATGTAGGCCGTGCCCCGGTAGGAGAGCGTCCAATGTCGAGCACGAGCGCTAGATTCGAGAACAGGGTGTACCATGGGTCATCACGACCTTTGCCGTCTATTTTATTTTCGTGATTACGTGCTTGTCAAATAATGCTGGTATCACAATCGACGTACTTGATGCGAACGCGTGGTGATCAGAGGAGCTTAGCTGGCGGCTTCCTTGGTGACACTGCAGGACCAGACTCACCAGACTCGCATCAACAGAGAACGATGTTTGTAATTGTAAGTTTGGAGACCTCCTTGTTGACGATCTTGGATTCGATTGGTTCAGCCTTAAGTCCTCCATCAAGGGCATTCCATGGTCTCCAAACGAGGGTCTCTGCACTCTATGCAGTTGTGCCTAAGCCCATACTTTTCTGCACGTTGATCTTCAGGCTCGGCACCTGCTCTGGACGCGTTTTCAATCTTTCGGGTTCAATGCTTCTTGTCCTTCTACAAGTTTTGCCTACTTACACGTAGCAACACGTGTCCTCTGAGCGTGTTTGAGCATGCAGATACCTTGTTGTACATGACTCGCACTACGGACCAAATCACGTATCCAGGCATCACTACGGGCTCTGAAGTCTCGATGAGCACACCTGTACCATGGTTTCAAGGACCAATGACGGTGGAAACGTGAGATGACTCAGTGCTGCTTGTCTGAATCTTGTGGTACCTTGTATACTCGATCTTCTATCCTCGTTACGAAGACTGATACGACTGGTGATGACGATCTCTCAGATACGATCCTTCGATCCTATAGGTGAATGACAGATCTGATATCCTGGTCGCATTGTTGGTGTGCTCATGGAATTTGTCGAAGTCGAGCTAGTCGCTGGATCTACCCATCTGTCAGCCTTTTGGACCACCGTACAGAAACAATTGTCTTTCTCTTAGTGTTCTGACTAGGAGAGACCCTGACGTCTCTGACGTTCTGAGCCGCTTTACTTGATAAGTGCACAGTCCCATGCATCTTATTCACCCGGTCCTTGAGCCAGGCTCGTGGGCCCTACCCCAGTTGGACTTGTTAAAATATTCTCAAGTTCCACTGGCAGGTTTGAAGCTACAACATCGTTCTTCAGTGTTACATAGCATACTAAACCTCACCTCAACACCAAAGATTTCCTCGTCCACCCAGGAATTCGCAGTCCTCACAACTTCCTAAAGCCCTAATGCCCACAATAAATGTGAGCCAATACCCGATGGCTACCTATACGAAGGGCCTTTCCGCTTCTTGAGATCGCGCAACGTTATCGGGTCGAAGCGTTGCTCGAGGAACTATCAGATACGATTAGATATCTATGCCATCTCATCAAATTGTTGATGATGTATGATAAGAGGTTCGTAACCCTCTATTACGGAACCAAGAACACTATCAGCTCTTCCAATCACTGGCGATCGTCCTATCAATATGCAGTATGATATCGACCTGGCGAGTAAGATGCATGGGACCGTGACACCTATCAACTTCTTCGGCTTTGGACGAATATTTCAACGAATCCAACTGGGGTTTATGGCCCATGAGCCTGGCTCAGGGCCCGAGCGAGCAAGATCCATGGGACTGTGACGCTTATCAACTTCTTCTTGGGGTAAGGCCCATCAGTGGCTTAGACTGCCAGATGGCGTTTGTCAACCGATGAGTCGTGGTGGTGCGAACGTGCACAGAATAGGTATGCGCGAGGAGGCGCGAGGACGGTGAACTTCAACTTGAGAATGACACCGTTACCAAGTGGTGGTTGAGGTCTTTGCTACTCATGGTAATTGCCGTGTACAAGGACTTATGTTTCCTACCCTGTTATCTGCTTTGGAATGTGAACAGGTTACTACACACTCAAGCGCTCAAAATTCACCGGTGATTTTATAACAAGTACTGTGATTACATTAAAGGTTAGTGAAGGTTTTTGTCAAAGACTCGCTTATCAGTAATATTTATTAGGCAAATGTACGGGCCGGGGTAACCCGTGCGGGTTCGGGGTATGAGTACGGGTCGGAACCCGTATTCTGACCCATACCCGTGCCTTCCTAATATGGTAGTGTATCTGGCATGGTGCACCACTGACGCTTCTGAGTACTATAGCTAGTACTGCCGACTCACATATCCACCTGAATGCCAAGTAAGTAACATTTTTCATTCTCTATATGTTTATTCATCATGTTTCTTATTGCTACTGGCCCGGAGCACCTTCTCCCAAATGTCAACTATTGACTCCAAACACTGACTATTGGCATGACACTAGTAACGTTCACACAGCTCTCTGGCTTCTCTTCCATTACCTCCTCTGGCGGGACGTGACGCGTAACGACGGAGTATACGAGCGCAGATGTTAATTATGAATATTATGAGCAGGTGTGTTCGTTCGTTTTATACTTTGTCCGATTGACGGTTCTATTTATCTTACTGTACGTCTAATCATCATACTCGCGCGTCCTGCAACCATACATCCAATCATTCCATCCAATCCTCGTCCAACCACTGCAGAGGCCAATCAAGCATCCACAATTCGCACCGCCAATGTCTAAACAGACGACCTCGTCTGCGTCCATAACTACCATCGCCTCTTAGTCCCGCGCATGTTCAGGAATGTGATGCATTCTGGCGTTGTGAGGACGTGGGTGGAGAGAGCGGTGGGATGTGTAAGTGTTTTTTGAACGACGACGACAAGAGTACTGATATACTGCCGCAGGACGCATCGGTCTTTTTGTCCATACGCCTTTCTCGAGGTTTGGGTGTTTACTGCGTGCATCCATCTCCTCCCCAATCTCTGCAATAGTCGTCGACAATACCAAAGAACATGGCGACGTAGAGCTCGGTATCTTCAGAAGCAGTTTGCATGACTGCCGTTGGATAGCAGCAAGCGCACGCATATGAGTTGGTACCTGACGATGCCTGACGGGGTGGTGGAAGATTGGTTTGGGAGACACCTCAGGGAGAGGTGGTGCATTTGTACCTCCAGTATAGTTCCTGGAAAGTGTTACAAAGACTCACAGGACTTGCCGCAGGAAAATTGTCTTATTATCCAGTACCCAAATCCGCCTGCATGATAGCTCTCCGTTGTAACAGTTTACGTCGAGCTAGATGCGCTTGGTGCGTGAGCATGTTTAAAATGTATAGGTATGTGCATTCTCGAATTTATTGGATCCCTTACGTGTCAGGGCATCTACTGTTATTGTAGCTCCAGCGAAAATATTACACCCGTCCGTTCATATTCGTTCGTTCGCACTCATAACTGGTAATGTAGGTGCGTTTTTTCGTTGTTTCGGTATCTAATAATTTTCTAATTTGTATATGCTACCCATGGTAGCCGCGGGTAAACCCAACCTGGGTGTGGGTAGGGATCTGAGCTTGTGGTACCCGCCGAAAACCCGTACCCGTCAGAGCGGGTGCCGGTACGGTTATGGCCTCCGGTGCCCGTTTACCCGTGCAGTTCCCTAGTGATAAGGAGACATTATGGCTCTTGTGAGTGTTGAGCGAAGCGATCCGATCTCATACGTACGCATCCCGGAGGACTAACCTCCGGGACTTCCGTTTCCTCTTTCGTGTGTCTTCACCTTCGACATCACATGTCACTGTAGCTTCTTTCCGTCTCGCAGTCTTCTTGCCCATTTATCCCGCTTGCTCGTATTCCCACCTCAGCGTTGTCTACACACTCGCTGAGACTTTGTCGTCTAGCTCTTTCCAGTGAGTAGTGTAGGAAGCGAAACTACTTGGATTTAGTTTTGCCGGTTATATCCGGCAAAACTCTAGGCGACTAGCTATGTTGTGTACAACATTCCTAATGATGCCATCAACGTTACCTCGTCCCAGCCGTCACCCTCGCCATTGTAATTAACCACCTCAACCTCATCTAGAATAGCCTGTGGTATTATATATTCCTTGTTCGACCCGATCCGACTTGTCAAAATCAAAAACATTTCCCTCAAGTACTTCAACTTCGTTAATGCTCTGAACTTCTTCAGTCCTCTTCAACTCTTCGAGAGCTGCAAATTCGGCAGCAATTTCGTCGGACTCAAGCGAGATACTGTTTGAGCATCTTATGAGTTATGAGTGTAGCCACAATGTTTGCATTTGCATTCCAGTAGTAACAATGCGAATTGTTATCTAACATCATTTCGTTTCAGGTTTTCGAAATTGTCGTGGATCAGTGATGCGAGGGGGTGCCCTCCAGCATACACATCTTACTCTAGGGACGTCGATTTTCATGTTCTCTTGAGTTCAATCTGTGTTATCAGAGACCTAAATTACATCTTCGCGAGTCTCAGATACCCTGGAGTTTTGCCACCCCTTTCGCGTGAGTTCTGCCGAGGACCAATTGCAACCAGTTTGCCGAACCAGTTGGCAAAATTCGGTAACACTCGACTGGGCACTTACGAAGTCGTTATCTGTTTAGACGCATACCGTCTTTTGACCTGGCCCTGAACTAAGACATAAAGTGATTGGTCCACTTGATTGGCAAGCTTGCTATATAGTTCACGAGCCATACAAGTCACACGAAGTGGCACTGGACCCTGGAACAGTGAACACGGCGACCGGGTCTGCGCGTCCGATAAGTTTTCCTGGTTTTGCCTTTTTCATTCCAACTTATGTCCATTGAGGATAGAACCCTATGTAGGACAGTACTCTCTAATCTATGGGATGGTCTTGCCTAATGGGACTCGCACCTGTGACTCCCGCTTAACGACATTCATTACAGGTGCTAACACACGGGTATCGCACCTATAAGACGAGAACCCCCCTTGTCTTATAGGTGCGATACCCGTGTGTTAGCACCTGTAATGAATGTCGTTAAGTGGGAGTCACAGGTGGGGACTCGCTTATGCTGAATGGTGACTGGAAAAAAACTTCAATATCCGCATTCGCTAATCCGAGCGAGACAGACATCCGCTGGCACTAAAAATCACTATAAAGACTGACGATCTTGCACCTAGATGCTCCTCATCTCTACGTTCACAATATGAATCCGACGACCCCTATCACATCCCCTGCTGTCACCCACACGACTACTCCTGACTGCGAACCCTCACAATTCATTTTGCCTGACCTGTTAAATGATTGCAAGTTTCCCTTGCGAAAGAACCCTCACCGTCATGCGGCGTCCCGCGCATCTGAAAAATGGCTTACTGAAGTGGGGGAACTTGCAGAACCCGAGTTCAGGGGGTATCGCGATATGGACGCAGCCGCATTTGTTTCCCTGATCTATCCTGATGCAGATGCTTGCCGTCTCCAACTCTGTGTTGAATCTGTTAACTTCGCATTCATTATGGACGACTTGATGGAGTCTGGTGGCGTCGATGCACGGAAAGCGCATGAATGGTGTATTCCTGTACTCCGCGATCCCATCAATTTTGAGGCGGAACACCGTCCTGCAAGGATGTGCAAATCGTACGTCTTTTTATATATACCGCACACACTCTGTCTGAAAATCGTTATGTGGTTAGGTTTTCCAACCGCTTCAGGGAGACTGCTGGCCCCGGCTGCAGAGAGCGGTATATCCGCGGAAAGGAATTGTACTTCGCTGCTGTGGCTAAGCAGTTGGAGGACCGTGCCAAAGGAAATACGTATGATCTGGAATCTTACATTATTCAGAGGCGAGGTATAGTCGGGATGCAGCCCTACTTTGCCCTCATCGAATTCGCAACTGGAATTGATCTTCCCGACGAGGTTGTGTCGCATCCAGCTTACGAGGGATTGGATTGCGCGGCTACCGATCATGTTGCTTGGGTCAACGTAATTCTGTTTTGTCGTTGATCACTGGGGTGCCGCTGACATTACCGCCAACAGGATATTTTGTCATACAACAAGGAACAAGCTAGCGGTGGCGCACCATGGGAAAACCTAGTTGCCGTGCTCATGCATGTTCAAGGACTAGACCTGCAAAGCGCCATGGACTACGCTGGCCAGATGTGCAAAGATGCCCTCCAGCGCTTTGAATCCAACTGTGCCATTCTCCCCTCATGGGGAGAAGAGGTTGACAGGCAGGTGGCTATCTACATCGAAGGGCTGCAGCAGTGGATGATTGGCTCACTTCACTGGCACTTTGATTCCGTCCGCTATGTTGGCAATGATGGAGGTGCTGTTAAGCGGGACCGAATCGTCAAGCTGCTTCCCAAAATGCCCTTGTAGAACCTAATACGTAGTGCATGACTTCTGGAGGTGAGATCAGTTTTACTTCTTCGTACTGCGCAATTCTTACGGCTAGTTTAGTAGAACATTAGTATGATTCATGTGTCACACAAACCTGAACGTTATGCTTCGATTGCATAATGTGATATCCCGCCTTCCTTGCTTTTTCCTTCGTGGTTTCAACTTCTTGTTCAACTCCTTGCGTGTAACACTTCCTGTCCGTCTTTTGTATCACCGCTGTATGTAGAAGAGTCCCATATCCTTGTACGAATCAAAGACAGGACCGATTTGCGTGCGATTAGAATGTTCCCAGTTGTTGTGAAGCACTGTGCTTGGCGGCCGCTGTGCACGCCACTGAGAAAAACCGTTCCCTGGAAGCATCGCACAGCGGTATGGCCTCCGACGAAGCGATCATGATGTCAAAGTTTCCATACACTTCGATCTAGCATTGACTAGGAGAACCACCGGGGAACAAAGCAAAAGAGTCTGAAAGGCCACAGTGGATGTAAGGAGATCATATATAACGTCGAGCCCTCGAACCTCATCCCAAACATTTCACGCACGATATCCTTGTCATTCGAGCAATTTTCGGTCTTATTCAAAGAATTCGTCCAAGCCTCGAGTTCCAGGTTCACCTCAACGCCGCAGATTTCCTCGGCCACCCAGGGATCTTAAATCGATATCGAGTGTCCCCCTAGAGAAAACCACGAACAACATTACGGTTATTACCTCACCCAAGATTTGACTCTCGCTTTCGAGAACGAGACCAATAAGTCCATCGATCCCGCCGATTTTTATGATTCCATGTGTGCGCAGTTCACTCGTGACTGGCTTCTGAAGGAGTTGCGCCGCCATCAGTTGGATTACAAATGTTGTGTCGACCCGGTATTAGAACCTGAGGATTCGGCAGATGAAGACTCGAGGAGGGAGAAGGGCTAGCTGATGAAAAGGAGGACGGTACAAAGACTGAGGAAGATGAGGTCGGTCGAAATGAGCGCGAAGACGCAAAGGAGGATGACACGAAGACTGATGAACAAGACTCGAGTCACCATGAAGGCGAAAAAGACAATGCAAAGACTGATGATGAAGAATCAACTCACTATGAGGACGACCCAAAGACTAACGTGGCGATGGCGATCCAGCACACTTTTGAGACGAAAAAGACGATGACCCAAAGACTGATGAAGATCAGTGCGATGCAAGTCACTACGAAGACGAAAACTGACGAACACGAGGCTATCACCAATGACCATCATGAGGATACAAAGGAGGATGAAGATAAGGGCTATACAAGCCATGATGATAAAGACGAAGCCTCAGTGTTTGGAGACGCCGATAATGAATTTGAAGTCAAGTACGATGCAGAAGAGGTGATGATGGTCATCTCCGTTTGTTCAGACGATCCCGTCAGCTTACAAACACGGCCTACACAAGCGCAAATGGACATGATGACGACGTTGTTCAGCCAACTACCTCAGTGGTGTGTGAGCTATAGGGACATCTAAATGTACTTTGGTTGTGGGTTAATATGCAGGAACACAACCTTAATGACTTACAAGTTCCCATCACCGAGTTGCCTTTCATCACCTCGATTCGCTGCAAAGTACCTTCGTATTTTCTAATCACCCACGAGATATATGATGTTGCTCCCCCATGCTTATCATGCAGAAGGCTACTCAGTACCTGGAGCCGTGTGTCTGCTTCAATCGGAAGTGTGATAACGATTTCAAGGTCATTTGGCTGGTTCATGTAACTAATTGTGTGAAGAACTGGATTGGGGCGATTGATCTTGATATGAACACTACGTGTATCGTAGGTTTCGACGTCTACAGCGTTTGGCGCAGCGTCGACATACACAGACAACAATCGAGTTGGCAAGGTCGTAAAAAAATTCTCTGATGATATGTAAGCACTTGGGTGCATGGTTTGGATATTGATCAGAAAACTCACCAGTCCGCAGCGAATAATTTCACTAGATGTTCAAGAAAGCTCAGAGGGCCAATGATCGACATCTGTTTGTGGCACAGCCACAGACCGGATGCATTCAAATCTAGGTTGGTTTTCCTTCCATACGACCATCATGAATTTGCACGACAGTGAGACTGGTAGTTTCGTATCTCACTTCCAACCGAAGTCCTGTGCCATATTCTTATTTACACTCTCCCCGGAATAACCTGCACGCTGCCCGAATTAAGTTCACCTCCTATTCTGCTCACCAGGGTATACCGTGATGGAGGGAGGTTTTCGTGGATATGCCCTCGTTGTTGTGCAAATTATCTACAAGAGTCGACCGGAAAAACTTGCAGCAGCAGTGGTTCTTCTGCTATGACTCATTGCTCAAGTGCACGCGAGGATATCCCCTCACTCTAGATGTTGGCATGTGCTTCGAATAAGACTCCACCACTCTACGAACCCTTCTACAGCCTTACATCCATCGAATATCCTCTCTCAACTTTACATTGGCCTGTCCTGTCGCACTTGACATATTGTTAAACGACCTCCCGGCACTCCAGGAACTTCGAATTGACCCAATTCATGGGTAGTTTACAACTGGCGAGGGTCTTCTGAGGGACATCGTTGCGGATCTCAGCTTAGTACACCTCCGTGTTATGCAATTGTGTTTGATTCACTCGACAGTTTCTATTTCTCGATCGGAGCCCATTTAGAATGATTAACGTTGTTCAAGATTGTGTTTGGTTTACCTGGCTTTATCTTTCTGCAATGTTCCTAGATATGGCTGTCGCAGGCTTCTGAGACCAGGCACATTGATTGCATCTTCCACATGCGGAAGTCGACCATTACTTTACAGAGCGGATGATGGATAACGGAAAAGTATACCTTTGCGAAAAACACAGCATAAACGTGGCAAATATAGGTCATCCAAAGCCAAAAACTGTCCTGCTCACTAATCTTGCTCGCCAATCGGTATCGCGGTCTCGAGTGCCCATCTTCAACTAAAGCTTCAATATCAATAGCCATTTCGACCGTACCACTCCTAACACCCCTCAGCTCTTCACCGGTCCAGGATCTTGTGCCAACGGCAAGCACACGTAGATTGGGGAGTGTGAGCACATTAAGAAAGATAGCCACTGGATCATTTGGAAGCGCGTGCCTTGAACAGGTGCGAAAACGACCTTGGCTAGCTTTGATGGAAAAGGATCGAATGTTGGTGTGAGTGAATGGTCCTGGGCAAAATTCATAGCATAAGAGTAAGCATATTGTTAATGAGGAGAGGTCGGGAGCAAGACGGAGCAAGCGTATTACAGCGCCTTGCTCGTATGAGTCGAGTGTCAGATTTGACAGGTGTGCCCATATGGGGTTGAGGACGGGTAAAGAGGCGAAGTTGAACCTGGAAAGTCCTTTGAACTCAAGAGTACGTAGAGCGGAGAGTCGGGAGATGGGTAGAGTGCACCTGTGAATACTAGCACTGTCCATCATGTCAACTCGAAGCTCCTGAAGTACTGGGAGGTCATTTAGTACGGTTTTGTATTCGATAGGGTTGCTACACGTGATATCGAGAGAGGATAGAAGGGGTCGAAGGGAGGAGCAGCTGCGTTTGAAGCATATGATTTTTAGGGAAAGGGGATGTCCTCGTGTGCGCTTCAGTCATGAGTCATAGCAGAAGACCGACTGCTGCATGTTTATTTTGTCGAGTCCTATAGATAATTTGCACCACAACAAAGGAGTATCCTCGGAAACCTCCCTCTATCGACGGCATATTCTGATGAGTAGCATAGGAGGGAATTGTGATCTAGGCAACAAGTGGTCGGTGTGGGGAAGAGAAGATATTGCATAGGACCTGCTAGATACGATATCAGTATTGTTATTCATGATGGGGACCTGGTTTTGAATGAGCTGGAGATTCTGATAGGTCGGTTTATAACCGGGAAAAGGGACTGCAAAGGTTCGCCCAATGAGTGTAATTGTCAATGATTGATCAGTCTTATCCCTGATCTGCGCGAGCAGAACACTATCCCCGGCACACGTGAGCTTCACGTGATATGGTCCGTGCACGCTTACGTGATCCGTTGATTTGTGAGTGTTCCCGCTGGTTCTGTTGTTGTTTGATTCATTTTGCAATTTCTATTTCCTGATCGAATTGCTACTGTTTACCGGAGCTGCAGACTCGCTGTTTGCTCGTTCTATGGCTGCCGTTGACATCGTCCTTCGCCGTTCAACCCGAATAGCACAACACCCTCATCACCATCACCACACGACTAAACGACGTCCTTCGAATCACCCCGAAATAATAGAAGAAGGAGTTAATTCTACCAGCGAGAATGACGAGCTCACCCCACGTGCACTCAGAGCACTCAAACGTCAGCGTTTAGCGCTTGACTCGGACAGTTTTCTACTCTCTCATATAGAGGCACATCATCGGAGAAAGAGACGCAAAGAGAATGACAATACCAATATCGGGCATGGTAACGTCGGGGAGGTGCGTCGACGCATGCGCCAAGTACGAACCAGAACCCGTGCTCAAAACGTGCCCAAGCCACGCCATATTCCACCTCTCGCGCCGACAATCATCGATCTACCTATACAACCAGTTACAACTCAAGAATCACTTCGCAGCGTGCTCACCGATCAACCCAGTATTTTAGCGCCCAAGGATGACGACTCCAAGTCGGAGTCCAAGTCGACAACGGAACCCAAGTCGATGACGGAGTCGACGGAGCCAGAACCATTGATGGAGCCCAAACCAACAGAGGCCAAGTTGTCGACGCCACTCGACCTTGACTCTTTAATCCCACTAGATCCTTTGCCCGAATTCCCTTCACATGACCCACCTTACACCAACTCTTCAGACTTTCAGTCAAACGCCACATTTCCCACTGGCACAGATATCAACCCCTTCTCCTCCAATACCATCCCCTTCGGATCGTCCCCGCCCGGTCCTTTCGGGTCAAATCCATTTCCCTCAAATCCTACCTCCTTCCCCCCTGGCTTCTCTCACGAGTTCATCCCCCAACCCAGCTTTTCTCCCTCCCAAGACAATACCTTTTCAAACACAGCATTCTCTAACCAAGAGTATAACAATGGATACAACCAATCCAACGGATACCCCCAACAAGGTATGTTCTCTCCTTCATTAATACCCCCATCTAACACAACCCCAGCCACCTTCTCCCAACCAAACTCGTTCGACTACACACCCGCTCCACACCGCGATCGAGAAGTCAACATCTGGAAATTAGCATGTCAAGAACGAGTGGAATTCCTGTCAGTCTTCCAATTTACTTTTATTACATACCGCTGACGCCTTGTAGACTCCGCCGCTATGGCATAGACACTATCAAAGCCCTTGTCGCATCCGAAGCACGTGCCCGTTTCCCCTCCCCCAACACCCACCCCTCTAACACCCGTTTCCGTCTCTACACACCCGCTTCCTACCTCGAACGCGCAAGCTACACCTACAAGTCCGCAGAACTCGAAGCTGTTGATTTTGATATGGACGACGAAGAGGATGAAGATGAAGATCTGGATGAATGTGACCTTGGCGCCGACTACGATGACGATTATGATGATGACGAAGAAGATGCGGAGGGCGAGGACGGCTTGTTTTTGATGGATGTTGATGGTGCTAAGGGGATTGCGACACCTTGTGTCCCAGCGATTGTGACCCCTACGGTTCCGACGGTTCCGACGATTTTGCCGCCGATAGTGTCAGTAGCGCCAACACCGCAGAAACAGGCTACGTCACCTCCGAGATCTACCTCGCCGCCTGCGCTTGGTGGGCGGTCTTTATTGGATACCATACCCACTCCACGCCTTTTGTGTGCGTCCCCGCCGTGTTCCCCTCCACGTCGAACTCCATCTCCTCCTTCAACCCCTCAGCGTCTTCCTGCTACCTCAACCACTCCCACGACATCAACGCCTACACAAACGCCTTCCTTAACGCCCGCATCTAATCAAACGCCCTCACCACCAACACCCCCACCATTACATCTCACATCCACCCCCCAGACACCACCACCGATACACTCACCCCAAATGCCATCCCCAACACCACCACAAATACACCCGCCCACCTTCCCACGCACCCCACCCCTCTCCTCCCTCCACGTTACCATCCTCTCCGAGCCTCCCCGCGCATTCATGGGGCGCGGCACTCCTCCTGATAGGAGACGGCTGAGCGAGTGGGGGAGGTGGGGATGTGTGCAGGTATATGGGAAGGGCGGAGAGAGGAGACGTTTAAGTTTAGGACATGGGGAGATCATGTGCATCTGCATCATGAGCAGCCTATACAATGTGGAGAGAGCTTGGGTATGGGTATGGAGCAGCTGCGCAAAGAGGATATAACAAGGCATGAGAATACACCACCTCTACACCTCACCGAACATCAATCCCCACACGCACCCCAACAACACGATCACCCACATCTGCATCCTAACCCCCACGAAGACCCACCTCATACACACGCTCACACTCACTCTGTACCAGGCGAATGGACGAGTTTCCTATTCGCGATGCTTGAAGGTGACGGGACGGGGGGTACGGGGTGGTATGAGCTTGGAGCGCAAGGTGCTCAGGGGGTCAGTGAGGGCATGGGTAGTGATGGTGTGCCGCAGAGTATGAATATGGGCGTTTTAGGAGGGGTGCAGGGTATGGTAGGGGCGCAGGTTGGGGTTGGGATCGAGGCACAGAATCACGGTATGGGAGGTGGAGGCATGGGCTTGGGCATGGGTGCGGGTGGGCAAGGAATGGGCCTGGGTGCTTCGCAGCCTGTCTCCATCGGAGAAGCGGATAGTACGCTGAGGTTTGCGCTGGGGTGAATTGCGCTGGTCGTCGTTTGCTGGATTAGAGCTCTCACGCGGCTCGCCTCTTGTTGTTTCCCTTGTTGTACTCGCATTCACCTCTTCATCTTATTCATCTCATCACATTCACCTCATCGCCACACCTCCGAGTCGCCGTGCACCTCGTTGTGTGCACCTCGTCACTCTATCACACACCCCGCACCGCGTCACCACATCACACCTACCCCAAAACCTACCATTCCCCCACACCACGACTCAAACGCAATATCAATGTAGCGATAATTTCTCCTGATCCATATCAGGATTATAGGATTCTTGGTTATACCAGTGAGCCTTTGTGCTCGTTTGAAGCTTATCAGAAGCTTCGAGCTCGTGCGCCATATACGTGCGCATGACTAGCCATCGCAGGACCGGGCGCGTTAGGCCCGTCTCATCTCAACTGTTGTATCAGATTGATTGATTATTCCCACATGGGCTTTGTACCACTGCCCTCGTTGTACGCTGCTACCTCGTGTCGTACGCTGCTACCTCGCTGTTGTACGTCTTTCACATGGTGCCAACCCCCGCCCATATGCGCCGTTATACATGCATATCCATTTACCGACATCCTTGTACCCATACACCCGCTTGCATATATGCACAATACGATCGTCATTTGCACATATATCGACACAGCCACGCTCATCTACGCAACACTGCCTTGACCTGCGTATATAACCCGCGCTTGCCACACCAGCGTTGCGCCCATCCCACATGTTAGATACAACTCCACTCAAATCCGCATGTTACCACGTCCATGTCCACCAGACTCGTGACCAGCCCGTCTATGAGGCAAGCCACATCCAGATCCATCTTGTTTTCGACATCCTCTTGTCAATGTTTTCGTTCGAGTTTTGGATCGTGGAGAGTTCATAATGGTATATATATGTTATGTCGTGACTGGTCGTTTTTATTTGATGAGTGTATTGTACATGCAATTTTACGATTTTTTTTTTGACATGTGCGATGTTCGATGTGTGGCACACCTCAGGCCTCAATTTTTGACTTGTTCGAAGTGAAATCGACGCGAAGGCCAGGATGCTTCATTGATTAATCTATTACGTCTTCCGTGCGCGGAGGTCGATCATTTAATCTATAGTAACCTAGAAGTGCTGCAGCAAGTGGTCTGACCAGTCAGAATTTCAAAGCGACATGGCAAGTTAGCGTGCGCGCACTTCGAGCTATCGTGGGATAATTATATTGCTGGATTAGGTACATAGAGGAGAACTTCTAGTATTTCTTCCTTCAGGTGTTGGTTACTTCATGTCTTATCTGCGCGGTTGGTTCTCGCTTGATACCTCGAGCTCCGCGACCAAGGTTGAGCCCAACGACTCCTACCCAAATCAGCTACTTCCAGTCCCACAATTCCATGAAGAAGATGAGGACGATGGATCGGACACGGCAGGTGAAGACGACTCACCGCCTGCTTTCCCCGCGATCAACAGTGCACAACGTGCTGTCTCGTCTTCTTCATCTTCAGACACATCCAGGGGACTCAGCATACCAAAGATACTCACTGACTCTGCATTGATGCCCCCACCACCTGTACCTAGCCTTGCTATACGCCAACCAGGTATTCCGCCTCCACAGAGCTCATCATCTCTTCTTGCACCTATGACTACGACTCAACCACCCAAACGACTTTCCAGACGTGATAAAGTAGCTTTAGCGCCAGGATTTGGTCCTCTCGATTGGGGAAACCTCAAAGCATCTGGCCAGAACCTACGAGTAAGCAAGTCGATGCCATCTTTAGTACGCAATGTAGTGAGATTTCATCAGGGAGTTGATGCATTAATGCGCATCCCACCATCTGTGCTTAAGTTACATAACAAGAAGGAGGATGCTTGGACAGCGATCAATGGGAAGGTTTATAATATCACACCCTACCTCCCATATCACCCGGGTGGTGAGAAGGAGCTCATGAGAGTAGCGGGTAGAGATGGAACCAAGTTGTTTTGTGAGTACTTGTGGTATCTTCGTATGGGCTGCATCATTGAACGAGATAACTTAGCACTGACACACGCGTGGGTAAATGCAGACTTCATGCTTGATGCATGCCTGGTCGGATTCCTAGTCTCAGAACCAAGCTCATAATAGATCGGACATGATGTTGCATATAATTGTTTAGATTGCGTGGATTAGAACTGCAGGCTGCTATCGATATCTGTACCCAATTACTTGCTGTGCTACAACGGGCGCCGCATAGGCACTATGGTGTACTTTGTGTCTAAGCCGGACCGCCACAGGATGGACATCTGGGCTAGGTGGCTGCTTGTATGTTCTCCTTCTGCTAAATTTAATGCAAAGCCCTAACATGTGACTACAAGAGTTGATCGCAATTGTGATATTCAGCGTCGCAACTCAGTACCAGACTATGGAAATCTACCATTGCCTTGATTATCGCAATGGAAGCGTCGCAACGCGGCCAAAGGCACCTCTGGTACCGGGTCGTTCGTCGAAGAACGCAAAGATATGGTCACAAGGGGGCTCAGAATACCTGCTTTGATTATATCGCATCCGAAAATGGCAAGGGAGTGATGTGGTTGCGCCATAAGACCTTCGACTGGCACCACATTCCGCATTAAGTTTCTGGGAGTGGTCGCCTGACTTCTTTGTTCCGGTATAAAGGACGAGGAATGTACAATGCAGAAGCTGATATCAGGTTCTTCCCTTTTAAATCACGACGACATGGCACCAGTAGCTACCCGCGAGGAAAGCGGCAACGGAATCATCGGCAATGTCGCAGAGTTGAAGAAAGCTCAGGCCAATAAGCTATTAGACCATGAACCTATGTTCATAAATCCCTTCTACTCGCCTAGTGCTGGGAACGAGAACGACGATGACTACCAATATGCCAAGTACAAGGTGAGCGACTTTGGATTTCAATCTCGCAGGCAAACGCTGATGCTTCACCAAGCCCCACTTTCCAGTTGTGAATTGGAAACCGCTCACAGAAATTGAGGTCACCGACCGCGGCCACCTTGCAGACTCGAGCAAGGCGGCTCTCTTCAGTGCTGCACAGAAAGTGAAACACCTTACACCCACCATTGGCACAGAGCTCGTTGGTATTGACATCCGGCAGCTAACGAATCAGCAAAAGGACGAACTGTGAGTACTACATATCCACGGCTGCAACTATGTTTGATGAATCTATCATGCCAGCGCCCTTCTTGTTGCGGAGAGAGGCGTTGTTTGTGAGTGAACCTAAATATGTCACAAACAGGTCTTGCTTGACTAACCAACACATCCATTGCGTAGTCTTCCGAGACCAGGAGCTCAACATCCACGAGCAGCTTGACATTGCTAGATACTTTGGACCCCTTCATAAGCACGCAACGACCCCCGTCCCTCGAGAACCAGGACTTGAGGAGGTTCACGGTGAGTCAGATTGTTCAAAAAACTCTTTAACTGTTAATGACATCTTTCAGTTGTTTACAATGACGCTGCACGACGCCCTGATGCTAGCGCGTTTTCGAAGATCGAGCTTTGGCACAGCGATGTGACATATGAGATCCAACCACCGAGTACCACGTCTTTGAAGGTGATTACTGGTCCCGGGTACGGCGGTGACACGCTCTGGAGCTCTGGGTAAGTAACAGAGGATGGGCCGTTGTGCAAAGAAGTTATACTGATGATTACGTACAGTTATGCTCTTTATTCCTCCCTCAGTCCAGGAATGCAGACATACCTCGAGGGTCTTACAGCTCTGCACAGTGCGGTCGCGCAAGCGGAGGGATCCCGCGCGGCCGGCCTCCACATCCGTCGCGAGCCCATTGAAACCGTACATCCTGTCGTTCGTGTCCACCCAGTAACTGGCTGGAAGAGCGTTTATGTCAACCCTGGCTTTACTCGTCGCATACTCGGTGTCCCAAAATCTGAATCCGACACCATTCTCAATTTCTTGTTCCACCAAATCGCTGAGAATGTCGACTTCCAAGTGCGCTTCCACTGGGAGCCGAATTCAATTGCGTTCTGGGATAACAGGGTCAGTACTGTTTCTACTCAACAAAGAGCATAGAGTTTGACCAGATAGTAGGTTGTCACTCATACCGCAACTTTCGATTTCTGGCCTCAAACTCGCCACGCACTCAGAGCTACGCCTCATGGCGAGAGACCTGAGTCTGTTGAAGACTACGAGAGCCGGACAGGCAAAGTGGCGAAAGATCGCCAGATTGAGATCTGGAAGGAGCGGGGAATTGAGATTCCTCAATCGAAGAAGGGTCCGTCTCGGGCACGCGGATACAATGACTGAGGTGTCAGTCTATGCTTTAATTGTAGAGTAAGTATAACGGGAGTCCAAGCCATTGAGAGCTATTTGCTTGGCAAAAGCCTTTGATCCAAACAACCCTGGGAAAATCGGAGACGGTGAGGCTCTGACTGACTCGGAGAAATCTGCTATCAACGCGGCCTTCGCAACCAGTCTTCGAGCATACCATCCGCTGCTATAAATGTCTTCGGAGTTCCCGTCTAAGTCGTCAAAGAATAGAGGACTGACAAACACTGACTTTCAAGTTGAGCTCGATAACCTGAGCGCATAACGGATGGGAGTTCAGCGCCATCGAGTTTATTGCGAACTGGACTCATCTCAATCCCTGACAGAGGTGATCATACTCGAGGCTTGTTGAAGTCGTAATTGCTTGGGTGTCCCTCGTGAATCAGGATATCCTGCCCACCGACAACTGCAGGCATTTGCCTCTGCCTGACAAAGGCAAACACTTCGGAAAGTCAGTCATACAACCCTCCTCCCTGATAACCCACGGCTCTGCTTGTTGTGTCTGATAAATCACAGCCACTGAAGGTTGGCCACACCTGGAAGACGCTCAATCGATTAGAACCACCAACTCAAGAAACGAGATATTTACAGAAGGATCTAGCTAGTGGGTGTTCCATCATCAATAATGCCATCAGTAAATTGTCATTGCAGCACCTTCTCTATTTGGATTGAGCAACGTTAATGGCATCATGAAATGTCTGCTAGTTAGCCCATTTTAATGCATTAAAACTACAGCATCGCCTGACAACGAACCAGTCTACACGGTAAATCAGTGACTTAGTTCACGGCAATCGCCAAACTACCAGTTTGTCGGTAGATGCCGAGCCTGAGCGGGCCATAGCCGAGCCGTGGTGGCACTACTGGTCAGCATCAGATGGGATCAAGTCAATTTCTCGTGCATGCCTCGGACATTCATTCTGCTAGTTTCCTCCTCCTCCTTTTTACTAGGGAACCGCACAATTATTAAACATGCTGCTGCTCAAAATCCAAGTATTTGACCAGGCGTCCTGCGCCGCTCATAGTAATGCAAGGGAGGTATGTGCGACCCATTTTTTCCCTCGCACAGATATAATTCATTTAACTGTAATATCAGTATGCCACAGGTATACATTGTTTCTCGGCTGTGAGGCTCACGGTTGTAGTCAGGCTTTGAGTATCGTCATGGCCCATATGGCAGGAGCCAACCACATCAGCTGTGTCAGTGATGCCCTGAACCCACTGACTTGCTGCAGTCCTTCCCACTTCCGCCATTCCCAATATGTTTCTTCGCATGATGGTACTCTTGTCGACTCGATATTACGTGTTTGCGTAACAGTGTCCCACCATTCCGCAGCCGGATCTGTTATGATGGAAACGAATGCTCGCTCTTTATCGAGGCTATGTTTTCACATGTGGTAGATCCAGGAAGGAGTGGCTTTATTTTATGTGATCGAAGTCTCGGTGGTACTAAATGCTCACCCGGAATCACTCAGTTGCCGAAATTAGGATGTTCGTGTTTCAACATTTCGAACTATATGGTCATTTCTCCTTGTTAATTGCCTTCAGATACTAGGTCAATCAAGACAGGAACAGATATAATGCGCGTGATTATGCTCATTTCGGCCTCACAAGCGCTGGATGGTTCTATATCTAGCACGAACTCTTTCGTCGTACGTCCACCAAGTTCCCCGCTCTTTTGCACCGATCCTCTGATACTCATACATCCTCTAACAGCACTAGTATGACCCTAGTCTCAGACGACCCTGGTTGGTGGCCGTTAATCAATTCATATCGTGTTGGCAGTTATTTTATATGTTCGTGAGAGCAGTCTGAGACTGTCGCTGCTGCTGATGGCTCGATCGAACCTTGAATATGGTTTCGCAGTTGCCGCTGTCGTTGCAGTAACGTATGATTGGGGTGAGGATGATAATATTAAAGAACTACCGATTTCTTACAACTATATACAGCACTTACATTCGGACAGGAGGTACGTTGATGTATTACCGGAGCAGCCATCTCGCTAAGAATGATTTAAGGTCGAACTGATCTGGGTGAGCAGAACCTTACATCGGAGTAACAAAATTGATTTGCGACAGAGGCAACGTTGGTCACTTATGACCGTTCTGTATCTGAGTGTATGTAGCTTGCAATATAGGTGTGGCTGGCAACTTACGCCGACTCTTGAAATATCCTAGGTCCGCTATCTTGGAATGTTATTTACGGTGTATGTTCAGAACGCTTAGCACTGTTGTTGTACTAATGAACCATATTTTATAATCAGCTTGAACATACCGAGTATGTCTTCTCACATTCGCGATCTTTGCCTCTTCTGACTGCAACATACAGGCAGTCTTCCGACACTGTTGTTGACAGATACAGTGAGTCTTCTGCACAGAGGCCAGCTATTCCCCTCCAACTGACCGTGGTGCCCTGTAGGAGTAAGTATGATTCTTTACTAACTTTCTGGTTCGCTAATGTCTGCCACGCTATACTGCCGCAGATGTGAGTCTGGTTGGAGTGTGTGCTACCCGAGGCTGGTCACTGACTGGACTCGTCAGGCTGGATTGTGTTCATCATAAGTGATTGGATATATGTTGGGGTGAATGCAATGCTGGGGGGTGAGCTTTGCAGTTGCAAGACCACAGTGATGTTAACTTGACTGAAACATCTCGCAAGTCATCATTATCGCTCGGTTACACGCCATGTATCAACGATCCAGAAAGATCCTGATATGCCTCGTCGTTACCTTCCTGGTTAACAACATTTTTGGTGTGGTGATCGCCGTGATGATGACGATGCATACATCAGCGGGTACGCTTAATTGTGGATCAAAAAATTGCATGGAGCTCATTGATGTATACCAGAGGAACTCATCCTCTCCGGCACCTATCAGTGCTCGATTGCCTCTGCGGGAGATACCCCGCTTCTGACTGCCATGAGTTGGATGGTTGGCACTGTGTGGGAGGTCTTTGCCCTGTGTCTCGCAGTCTGGACTGCTGTAAAACACTTCCGTGAACTGCGACAACATTCGGCAGGAGGAATTGTCGGAGACTGTTTCAAGGTGTTGATGAAAACTCACATGTTTTACTTTTCGAGGTGAGCTCATGTTGTGAATATGGTTCTCTTATTCTGCTGAATGATTGGACATGATAGCTTTGTTATTGTTTCTTGTCTCAGCCTCATAACGAGTTTGTCTCCAACGATCCCACCGGTATGCCGATCTGTCACTGACCTTTGTATGCGACCACGGTTAATCATTTCTATAGGACGAATTTTGGTGTCTTCAAATTTTACAGGTCGTGCAGGCGTTCGTGTTGGGACCCCGCCTCATCCTTGGTGTTCGAGAATATCACGCGAAGCTCGTGGCCGACTCCGACGCAGCAACGGGCATGACCTCAATAGCTTTCCAGGAGCGCGTGCACATATCGACTGGCAATGGTGTGTAGCACGGGGGATGCTCGATGCAGTTGACGGTTGTCTGGCGCTCTAGAGGGAGCAGGAGAATTTTATTTTCGCTTGATTCTAAGTTTCGTTTGTGGTATTTACTAGTTATATGGTGCATGCGGCGCCTGTAAGCTAATTTATGTAGTTGGCGTCAACGGCGTGAGTCGGGAATATTCACGATGTCGAATACATTAACTTCTGCATGACGGATCAATGTCACGCTTGTATTTGAATGGAGGTAAGATAAGACGTGATGTCTGATGAGCTGCTTGCTGTTAGCACGCGGGACCTTGAGGACCTCTGGTAGACCTCTACAAAGTTTTCGCGATATCACTCGATGAGATCAACATGTCACTCCTTGACAACTCGCTTCTTCACTTGCAAGCTTGTCATCGTTGTCGCACCGCTACCATTTGAATCTATATAGTTATGCGCGTCACTCAGATTGTACATTCCACTCGTGTACATGTTGTAATATTTGCTACTGCCAAACACTGCGCATGGTGCAGTTTTGTGCACTACGCAATTCGATCACGCATGTCGGGTGCGGCGTCTGGGCGTGTGCAGACATGAGGGATCAATCGATCACGATCTGCTGAGCTGAGTCATCTAGGACGTCCTATGAATGACGTTGCGCCCAAGCCAAGTCCATCTGCGGTTCTACACTCTGAATAACACTTAAAGAGCGCCCAATACCCTGTCGAATTCTCTGTCGAGAAGTTGCTTTCTCTTATTCCGAAATCGTTTGAAGCCCTGAAGGTAGATCCACTTGCTTATATCCCGACCACATGTCAAATTATGCGACATTGTATCATAAACATGTTACGAGAAGACCACAAAATGTTCAGATGTAGTTCCTAAAGTACTCTAGTCGAAAAAATCTTCAGAACGTGTAGATGAACTGTATAGTTCTTCCTCTTTGTCAGTCCTCGAACATCGCAAACAAAAATGATACGTACACATGATAGTCATGGGCTCTCGGAGCCCTCGCCGTTAATTGCATTATTGAAACTTAGGCAGCACTTTGCCAGACGGAATAGTTGTTTTCCGTCTCGATCGATCGCAAGTGACAGTGGAGTAGAGATGCCATCCCGTGCTTTGGCACCCAGAAAAGCACCAAAGCCACGCAGGGCTTTTGTGCAATGGCCGATACGTCCTGAAGTCTCCGTGTCCGTGTTTGAATGATCTTCAAGCCCTTGTAAGGCACGTTCGTAGTCGAGTATACACCGGATCAGATGAAAGAATTTTCCTCCGTCCCGCTCAACAGCCTCCAGAATGCGCTCATCCGTTTCACTCTTGCCGAGGCCGTCAAGCCAGTCAGCAAATCTGGAGCAGAGTGACGCGATCTCTGCATCTTGGCTTGAGCTTGAGAAATACGATGATCCTTTGGAAGATCCAAGTCCATCGCTCTTAAAGCCTTCACCGTACTAGATATTTTCTCCGAGTCAGTGTAGCGCTTACGTAGACTTGAAAAAACCTACCTGTTTCCTTGGAGGCTGGCGTCCGGTGGATTTGCGAGCGATATTCTTCTGATGGCGTTTTACTCCCCCGGGAATGGAAGCTGGAGTTGAGGGGGAGCCCAACATAGAAACGTGGATGTGTGGCGAGCGTGAAAGGTTGTCGTTGATCATGAAGGCTGCTCGTCGTCAGTACGAAGTACTAAGCAGGTACTCGTGTTTAAGGCGCATGTTCGAGTCTGTACACGTGGGACTTCGGAAGAGAGTTACTGTTATGTAACAATTGTAAGCGTGTGTTGCAACTTACCTCAGACATGGCAAGTATCATACTCAGACATTGTCATGTACGTCGCACCTTATGCTATGAGAGGTTGAGTGCACCATGAATGGCACTCATGTCTCTTCGAAATTAGGTACGAGACCTCCAATATTAATTATCAAGATTCAGTTCGATTTCGAGGCTAGAGATCTCTAGAGGGAACGTTCGACCAGTACCAGCAGCCAGGCTCTCACACCACAAGCGCACATTTAGCACTGCTTGTGCAATCCTTCGTCCTTGTCAATCATCCGAATCGGATTCCAAGAACATCATCGATAGATGGGATGAAGCTTTCGGAGACTCGGCAACCAATGACCGAGGGTATATGACAACCACAGGGTATTGCCCATGCCACCAGACTGCGCCTGATCGATCGATAAAGGCCTCACTTCTGGAATCTGGACAAAAGGTGCGTGCAACAAACCTAAACAAGATGTCCAGACTCATCTCGGACCAGCAAGCGTGGCCACTCACTGGGCATATGGTGTAGCTGGTTATCACATCCGCTTAGCACGTTGCTTGAGTGCGGGGGGTCTCCGGTTCGAGTCCGGATTTGTCCACTGTTTTGCTCAAGAGTCGGAGGCCCAGTACATTGCAACGCAACATATAAAATGTTTTGTCGAATCTTCATCCAAATTCAAAGATCGGTTGGCATCTTTCCTTTCTTGTGATAAACCAAATACCTATACACACACATGGTAAGTAACTTCGATTTAACCATCCTTACTCATTCATAACGCATATATAACTCCTGGTCAGAGTTGCTTGGACTACAACAACCACATCTATCACTTCTTCGCTTAATGTCTCTTCTGTGCACATTCTACGGCGCTTCGCCGAGTTCGACAAGCCATTTGACGATGCTTTCAATTCTTGTTTATGCACCTTGACTCGTCGCCGAAATCGGGCGTTCCCTAGGTAAGTATGATGGTTTTCATGACCTCGACCTTTCATGACGGTGTCTCACACGAACACAAGAAGGAACTACATGAGAACGTCGAGACAGAGACCGTGGCCGCGACATTAGAGTCCGCAGGGACGGTGAGAGCATGGGTGGCGATGGTGTGCCACAGAGTATGGATATGGGCGTTCTGAGAGGGACAGGTTGGGGTTGGGACCGGGGCACAGAGTCATGATGTGGGAAGTGCAGGCATGGGCATGGGCATGGGCACGGGTGGGCAAGGAATGGACCTGGGTGTTTTGCAGACCGATTCCATTGGAGAAGCGGATAGTATGCTGAGGTTTGCGCTTGGGTGAATTGCGCTGGTCGTTCGTTGTTCGCCGGATTGGAACACTCGCGGCTCGCCTCTTTTATTGTATCCCTTGTTGTCCCTTGCATTCAACTCTTCGTCTTATTCATCTCGCTACATTCACCTCATCGCCACACCACGTCGTTTGCACCTCGTGACTCTATTACACACCACCGCACCTCATCATCCATCAGGCACCACCTCACACCCGCCCCAAAACCTATCATTCACGCACACCACGACTCAATATCAATGTAGCGATAAATTCTCCTGATCTATTTCAGGATTATAGGTTTTTGAGGTTATACCAGCGAGTCCGTCTACTCGTTTGAAGCTCGTGCGCATGACTAACCCTCTCTGAGCTTTCTTTCATCTTGTGGAATTATTCATATTGGTGAGCTATTCGGCCAATATTCAAACTATGCGCCTAATGCACTGATCTGGCCCATCATATATTTTCCAAACGATATAGTACAGCACAATCAAAACCTCCACCTAGCTACAGTACATTATTGAACTTGGTGCTCAAAGGTTGATTGAGATGCTAACTAACTCGTGGCTGCATACTGTCTCATTTAAGGAGTGCTTTGCATATCTTCAAGGAATTTGTCTCGCTTCACGACCTTGTTTGAAGCCAAGCCGATTGCTCACAGAAACGTCATCCTGATTCCTCTGTACGTCGTTCGTACATATCGATGCTGTGTCCAACGTTGATGATGTCAAAACCTACCACACCCGTAGCGCCCATCTCGAGATCAATCGTCCCAATTCAGTTCTTCGCACATTTCGGTATATAGACGAACCAAACGACCATGAGATCGTCATTACACTTTCGATTGAAGCAGACACACACGGCTCTACCAAGTAGGCTTCCGTATGATATCTACGGGGATGAACATCCTTTGTCTGCACCGGTGATTCGACGATGCGAATGCACTTTCGTAACGAAGCGGAGTGACGAAGGCAACTCGGAAGTGGGAGCTTGTAAGTAATCAAGGTTCGAGGTTCCTACATATTGACTCACAACCAAAGTAGATTTAAATGTGCCTATAGCTCACCCACCACTGAGGTGGTTGGCCGAGCAACGCCGTCATCATATCCATTTGTGCTTGTGTAGGTCGTGCTTGGAAGCTGACGGGATCGTCTGAACAAACAGGAGATAACCACCACCACCTCTTCTGCATCGTACTCGACCTCAAATTCATTGTCGGCGTCTCTGAATACTGAGGTTTCATCTTCATTATCGTGGCTTGTATAGCCCTCATCTTCGTTCTCCTTTGTATCTTCATGATGGTCATTGGTGATAGCCTCGTGCTCGTCAGTCTTGCTGTCGTCGTCCTTTTCGTCTTCATAGTAACTTGCATCGCCATGATCTTCGTCAGTCTTTGGGTCGTCGTCTTTTTCGTCTTCAAAGTGAGTTGGATCGCCCTCGCCCTCATCAGTCTTTGGATCGTCCTCCTTTTCGTCTTCGTAGTGAGTTAGTCCTTCATCAGTCTTTGTATCGTCGTGCTTTTCATCATCTTCGTAGTAAGCTATATCACCTTCCTCGTCAGTTTTTGGATCGTCTTTTTCGTCTTCATAGTAATTCGACTCTTGTTCATCGGTCTTCGTGTCGTCCTCCTTCGTGTCTTCGTGGTCAGTTGGACCACTCTCATCTTCATTAGTCTCTGAATCGTTCTCCTTTTCATCGGCCAACCCTTCTCCCTCCCCCTCCGAGTCTTCATCTGCCGAATCCTCAGGCTCTATGACCAGGTCGACACAGCACTTGTAATCCAGCTGACGGAGGTGCAACTCCTTCAAAAGCCAATTACGAGTCAACGACGCGCACGTGGGATCATAAAAATCGGCGGGATCGATAAACTTCTTGATCTCATTCTCAAAGGCGAGAATGAAATCTTGGGTGATACAATACCCGTAATGGTGTTCACGGTTTTCTCTAGGCGGGCACTCAATGTCGATTTGAGACTCCTGGGTGGGTGAGGAAATCTGTGGTGTTGAGGTGAGGTTTAGTATACTATGTAACGCTGAAGAATGGTGTTATAGGTTCGAACCTGGAACTTGAGGCTTTGGACGAATTCTTTGAATAAGGCCGACAATTGCTCGAATGACAAAGACATCGTGCGTGAGATGATTGGGATGATGATTGAGTGCTCTGACTACTGAGTATCAGCCGACTCGTCATATATGAATCCCTTTCATCCACTGTGGCCTTTTAGACTCTTTCCCCCTTTGTTCAGCGGTCTTTTATCTTCATTGTTCCCCGGTGGCTCGGGTGGTCAATGCTAGATCGGGATGTGTGGAAGTTTTGAAATCATGATCGCTTAGTCAGAGGCCATAGCACTATGCAATACTTGCAAGACAATGTTGTTCTCCCCGGTGGCGTGCACACCAGCCGTCCACTGGCGCGATGCTTCACGACCTGTGGGAACGTCCTTATTGAAGTCAGGGCAGACCCAGAGATGGAAGCATCCGCATCAGGATAACAAACGGCAGTGAACCCCCCTGCGTCCATATCAATGTACCCTCTGACCTCGGGCTCTACAAGCCGCGCTACGTCAATAAGCCATTGATCAGATGCGCGGGACACCACATAACAGTGACGGTTCTTTCGCAAGAGATAGTGGCAATCATTGATAAGATCAGGTAAAATGAATTGTGAGAATTCGCGGTCAGCAGTGATTGTGGGTGACAGTGGGAAACATAATAGGGGTCGTCGGATTCATATTGTGAACGTCGAGATGAGGAACATATAGGTGCAAGATCGTCAATTTTTACAGTAAATTTTTTAGTGCCAGTGGAAGTTTGTCTCGCTCGGATTTATGTCATGGTAGAGAATATCGAACCTTCAATAACCGTTCGACACGAGCGATTCCATTAGGCTAGACCAATGTTAAACTCGTCAGACGTTCAGGGTCGCCGACGAGTTCAACGTTCCAGGGTCCGGTACAACTTCTTGAGAAGTGTGGTTTGCCAATCAGACAAGTGAACCAACCGCTTGTGTCTTCGTTTGGGGCCAGGTTAAAAGACAGGTATACATCTAAATAGATAAGAACTTCGTAAGCCCTGTACATCAGCAAGGAGCGTGAATATCGTAGTATGAAACTTACCCCAGTCGAGTACGAACAGACTGGAAAAGATAGAAAATAAGACAAATGAATGTGCCGTAAGCGGAGTTAAAGTGAGATGCATTGATCATGGCCCTCCGGACAACCCAGGACACGGTATTTTTTTCTCGTCGCATTCCACATGCAACCTAATTCACATCACGTCTTTACGGCTGCTATGTGAAGTTTATCTCTTGCCAATGTATTCCACTGTCAGGGTCCAGGGAGCTCCTGATCCGACACAACCAGCGAAACGGAAGGCGCGAGCAGACACAATGACAAGGCAGACGAAGCTGCAGCTATGACAGGTTCAATGCGATAATGATGTTGAGCTGGCTTGGGCACGTTTTGAGCACGGGTTCTGGTTCATACTTGGCGCATGCCCGACATTCGTATGATCATTATCTTTGCGTCTCTCTCTCCGGTGATGTGTCTCTATATGAGGGAGTAGAAGACTGTCCGAATCAAGCGCTAAATGCTGACGTTTGAGTGCTCTGAGTGCACGTAGAGTGGAGTGAGCTCGTCATTCTGGCTGGTAGAATTATCTCCTATTATTTCAGGATTATTCGAAGGACGTCGTTTGGTTGTGAGATGATGGCGATGAGGATGTTGTACTATTCGGGTTTGAACGGCGAAGGACGATGTCAACGGCAGCCATATAACGAGCAAACAGGTCTGCAGGCTGCAGCTCCAGTAAACAATCAGCGGGCGGGAACAAACGGAACCACGTAATCGTGCACGGACCATATCACATGCAGTTCACGTGCAGTCGAGCGCACTGCCATGAGAGTCTGGTCGAGTCCTTTAATTCTATTTCTCGCTACATGTCCGTGTTTGTGTTATCGGCGACATGTTACCAAACAATGACAACAGCATATATAAGGCGGGACTCAATTAGAGTCTCTCGTTTTATGGCTGTGCGTTGACATGCTAATCTGATCGATGACTCGAATCGCAACTGGTGAAACGCGAAGCGATAACGTTTGTCTAGACTCATGATCATGTCGTCCGCGTCGAGGGGTAAGTTTTATGTTCCCACACGACAGAGCCCAATGTGATCAATCATTGAAAATGACCAGATTCTTATTGGGTGAATTGCACTTAAGCCCCTTTTTCTGGTTATTATAAGACTTACTTGGTCCTATCAGGAGAAAAATCAACCTTCGCTCATCCAAAAGCAGTCCCCATCATGAACACCAATACTGATATCATATCTAGCTTACCAACTGAGGTCCTATGCAATACCTTCTTCCACTCTCTCCCCCACACTGGCCACTTGTTGCCCAGATCACAATCATCTCCTATGTTGCTCTCTAGAATATGCCCTTGTTGTGGTGCAAATTGTCTATAAGACTCAACAATACAAACATGCAGCAATTGGTCTTCTGCTATAACTCATGGCTGAAGTGCACATGAGGACATTCCCTTTCCTTACAAATCCTATGCTTCAAATACAGCTGCTCCCTCCTGCAGCCCCTTCTTCAGCCTGATACTGATCAAATCTCCTCTCTCAATATCATGTGTAGCAACCCTATTGAACATGAAAGCATGCTAAATGACCTCCCAGTACTTCAGGAGCTTTGAATGGACATGATGGACAGTGCTGGTATTCACAGGTGCACTCTACCCATCTCCTGACTCTCTGCTCTATGCACTCTTGAGTTCAAAGGACTTTCCAGGTTTAACCTTGCCTCTTTACCTGTCCTCAACTCCATATGGGCCCACCTGTCAAATCTGACAATCGACTCATATGAGCAAGATGCTGTAATGTGCCTGCTCTGTCTAGCTCCAAACCTCTCCTCACTGAAAATCTACTCACTCTTCAGCCATGAATTTCCCCTAGAACCGCTCACTCACACCAACATTCAATCCTTGTCCATCAGAGCTAGCCAACATCATTTTTGCATCTGTTCAAAGCAAGCTCTTTGACGGGACCCAGTGTCCACCTTTCTTAATGCACTCACACTCCCAAATCTATGTGTACTTGACATTGGCAGGAGATCCTGGATTGGTGAAGAGCTGAAGGATGTTAGGGGTGGTACAGTCGGAATTGCTATTGATATTGAAGCTTTGGTTGAAGATGAACGTTTGGGATTGTAATATTGACTAGTGAGCAGGGCTGTTTTTTGCTTTGGATAACCTATACTCATTATGTGTATGCTGAGTTTCCCACAAAGGTAACTTTTCCGTTATTCATGATCCGTTCTGTGTAAGATCTCTGCATGCAGAAGAATGCAATTAATGTATGACCCTCCAGGCCTCTGTATCTTTTATCGTGTGATCCAGAGTAATCCTATAGCAATTTCACAGTTGCTAACCATTTTGCTTTCTTCATTTCCAGTGTCTCTCATTCATGCCCCTAAGAGCAGATCTCTCTCTCTCTCCATTTGGGTCACAATCCAATCCTCTTGGGGACCAATGATAATCTGGTATGTCTGCACAAATTATGGTTGCTGTTCCCAATGTGGTCATTCCCATCTCCACATTCCAGTGGAACATTTTCCTATCCACTATTGTCCGTGTAACACATGGTTTGGCCATATTTGGGTAGTCATGACTCACTCAAAGTGCTTGGAGAACTATGACAAGGGTGGCTACATAATGCAAGAGCACTCATATGGAAAATTCTTCAGAATCCTTCAGATTCCTCAAGGGATCAAGGTGAGTATGTTGACTACCTGAATTTGGTGCGGTGATTCAGTGATTTCATAAACAGGCTGAGGGTGTCCACACGATGATGGAGAATGGAATGCTCACTGTGAGCTTCCTGACAGCTGGACCTGACCAGCAACCCCAGCATGTTCCAACCATGTGTACATGCAGTGGTATCTCTCCAATCTGTATCAGATGAAGATGTAGATTTGGATGAATGTGACCTTGACGGGGACTGTGATGACGGTCATGATGATGACAAAGAAGATGCAGAGGGGGAGGACAGTTGTGTTTGATGGATGTTGAGGGTGCCAAGCTGGGATTGTAATGCCTTGAGTCCCAGTGATTGTGACCCCCATGATTTCAACAGTTCCATCTATTTTGCTGCTGGTAGCATCAATAGTGCCAATGACACAGAAACAGGCTACATTGCCTCCAATATCCACCTCACTGCCTGCACTTGGTGGACAGTCTTTATTGGATATAATGCCCACTCCACTCCCTTTGTGCGTGTCCCTGGTGTGTTCACCTCTACATTGAATACCATCTCCTCCTTTGATGCCCAGGCATGTCTCTGCTCTCTCAACACCTGCACAAATGGCTTCCTCAACCCCTGCATCTAATCAAATGCCCTCAACACCAACTTCCCCACCATCACAAATACATCTACTCACCTTCCCATGCACTCTATCCCTCTCCTCCCTCCACATTACCTTCCTTGCCTCACCTCCCTGTGTATTGATGGGGTGCGGCACCCCTCCTTATAGGAGACATCTGAGTGAGTTGGGGAGGTGTGTCTGGTTGTTTTTATCTCATGAATGTATTTTACATGCAATGTTATGGTTTTTTTTTGACATGTGCAGTGTTCGATGTATGGGGGATGTGTGGCACATACACTCACCAATGCTCAAGGTGGAACTAGGACACCCTAACCTTGGCTTGTATTTGGAATGAAAACAAGCCAAAGGCCAGGATATTTCATTGATTACACCTTCCACATGCAGAGGTTGACCATTACTTTGCACAATGCACAGGATGAATCATGGATAACAGGAAAGTATCCCTTCAGCAAACACAGTATGTGACAAGCAATACTAGGTTATTCAAAGCCAAAAAGCATCCTGCTCATAGTGGTCCACCTGAGCAGAACCTCCAGAGTCCAATAGCCCATCTGACCATACCACTCCCAACACCTTTCAACTCTTCACCAGTCCATAATTTCGAGCCAACATTAAGCAGACGTAAATTAGGGAGAGTGAGTGCATTGAGAATGGGAGCCACTGGTTCAAATGCACTACTTGGGCTGGCTGTGATGGACAATGAATGGATAGTGATGTGGGTGAGTGGTTCTAGATGAGAGCCATGCCCAAAGAGTTCGCAAATGTTGAATGAGGAGAGGTTGGGAGATAGTGTGAGCAAGTGCATTACAGTGTGTTGCTGGCATCTACTGATTGTCAGATTTGACAGGCAGGCCCACATGGGGTTGAGGGGAGGTAAGAGGTTGGAGGCAACACACATTAATCCTTTGATCTTGAGAGTGCATAGAGTGGACAGCCAGGGGATGGGTAGCGAGACAGATCATAGTGTATTGTGATCTCCAGTATAAGGAGTATACCCATACATGGGGTCAATTTGAAGCTCCTGGAGTGCTGGGAGGTCATCTAACAATATGTCAAGTGCACCAAGACAGTGCAATGTGACATCGAGAGAGGATATTTGATGAATGTAAGGCTGTAGAAGGGTTCATAGAGTGATGGAGTCTTGTTTGAAGCACATGCTGATATCTAGGAAGAGGGGATATCCTTGTGTGCGCTTGAGCCATGAGTCATAGCAGAGGAACCACTGCTGCTCCAAGTTTTTCCAGTCAACTCTTATATATAATTTGCACCACAGTGAGGGCATATTCATGGAAACCTCTCTCCATCGACTGCATACTCTGGTGAGCAGAATAGGAGGTGAATTTGATTCAGGCAATATGCAAGCGGTTTCGGGGAGTGTGTAAGTAAAAATATGGCACAGGACTTCGGTTGGCAAGCAGGATATGAGACTACTAGTCTCAGTACTGTCATGCAAATTCATGACAGTCACATGGAAGGAAAACCAGCTGGGCCTCATTGATGCATCCAGTCTGTGGCTGTGCCACAAACAGGTGATGTAACTTGAATCACGCACAGTGCCCTCTGAGCTTTCTTTCATCCAGTGAAATTATTCACTGCACATTGGTGAGTTATCCAGCCAATATTCATGCCATGTGCCTAATACACTGATCCGCCACACCATAGTTTTGGAAAACAATATGTCACAGCACTATCAAATCTGCTACCTAGCGACTAGCTCCCACAGACCACAGTGCATCATTGAACTTCAATAGTACTCAAAGGTTGATTGAGATACTAATTTGATTCGCAGCCACATACTGTCTCTTTTGTGGAGTTCTTGCATATCCTTGGAGACAAGGCAAACTTGTAGAATGCTCTCGAACCAAATATCTTGGATTCATCCACTTTTGTGACCTTGTTTGAAGCCAACCCGATTGCCCACAAAATGTACATCGTCCATACATATCGATGCTGCGTCCAACACTGTAGATGTCAAACTCTAGAATACATGTAGTGTTCATCTCAAGATCAATTGTCCCAGCCTAGTTTTTCGCACATTTAGGTATATAAACAAGCCAAATGACCTTAAGATTGTCATCACACTTCTGACCGAAGCAGACACACACGGCTCTACCAAGTAGCCTTCCTCATGATATCTATGGGGGAGGAACATCCTTTGTCTCATGGCAGGTGAATATTCCACAATTTCTATCATTTTCAATTATTCACTTGCCGTTGCAGGCATATTTGTCCTGGTAGGCTGATTCATGGCCAATCTGGCAGTGTTGAGGATGATACATTGCCTTGGCAGGTCGTTGGTCTGCAGAGAACAGTCTGTGGACTGCAGCTGCTACCATACTTGCCATCTTGCACATGGATCATGCTAAAGACTCAAATTGTTACAGTAATGTTTGCCCCTATTCATTTCTCTCTTCTTGTATTACATCATGACTGCGCCTCATTGCGCCATCACTAGACTCATCTCTTACCATATGTGTATTACATCACGATCACCACTGCCATCACTAGATGACTCATTCTTTCCTTATCTCTGACTCATCGTTATCTATGACTCACTGATGACATATCGCTGACGTGTACGTACCTGCCCTAAAGTACATACATCTATATAAGCTCAGTTATGTACTTAGCAGATCTCTACTTTAATCACTAGGTTTTACCTGACATATCCTTCACTTGAGACCCCCAATCTCAAGTCAACTGATCATCGATATTCAAGTCAGAGACACTCTTTCTGACTTGTCTTATGACCCTTGCATTTGCAAGGTCTTGATTCAACTCCAGCCGTTACTCTTATCGAGTAGCTGTTGTTGCGACCATCCTAGTTTGTCGTAACAAAAGATTAAAGTCACCCATTGACCCTCTCCATCCGAAGAGGTCCCAGATCCCAGATCAGAGAGAGACAAGAAATGTCCCCTGAAACCAGAAAACATCACTAGACCAGAACAATCAGGATGTCCACCATCACCAGCACCCCAGAACTTAAAGCTGGAGCCCCCTCTACTTACAATGGGAACCCCCAGCAGGCTTTATGATGGTTGTACGCGATTAAGGCATATTTTGCACTTAATGCTACAGTTTATAACACCAACGAAAAGAAAGTCATCACCGCCCTCGCATATATGACTGAAGATAGCGCCATGGGCTGGGCACTCACCTTCTACACTGAAGTCGACAACTCCTCCTCCAAGTCTTATGGGATGTTTGCAAACTTCAAAACCAAGTTCAAAGAAGCCTTTGTACCAGCTGATGCTGTTGGCACCGCCATGAATAAACTCTGAACCTTGAAACAGATGGGCGATATCACTTCCTATATCGCTAGCTTTAAGACCCTTGCTGCGCAGGCCTCTGTAAAGCAAGATGCAGTCTTAATCACGTTTTTCAACGACGGATTAAAGAAAGGAATTGTCAATTCCATTTTCCAGATGGAAACCATTCCTACAGATTTTGACAAATATGTCGCCGTAGCCAATAGGCTTGACAGTAACTATCAGAGAGGTACCACATTTCGACAGAACCATCAAACTGCCACCAGACCAACAGGACAACGTTACGTACCCAGACCATCTATTGATCAACACGATCCAAACGCCATGGAGGTGGATCGACTCACAGAAGTAGAAAGAAGCGACCATATGAAGAAAGGATTATGCTTCATGTGTCACCAGAAGGGACACATGACTAGAGCATGCCCACAGAAGAAGAAGACTCCTGTCCGTCGTGAAGAAATGGAGGACAGTGATGCGGAAGAAGAAGATACAATGATCTGTCGCCTTGCAGAGGATTTTTGATGTGGAAGACTGGATCGACATCAGTATCTTCCGATGTACCTATCAGACTTGTATGAAGTATTGGAATCAGAAAGGAACTTCGTGTTCCCATTTCCCTCATCTCCAAAACTTGCCTGAAAACCGTCAAAACAACAGCTGTTGTTGACTCCGGTGCTGCCAGAACTTTCATCTCCAAAGAGTTTGTTAAGACTCATGGAATTCATACGCACAAACTATCGAAACCATTCCGAGTTACCACTGCAGATGGAAGTTATGCGAAAGGAGGGGCTATCACCCAGTATTGTGTCCTCATTGTGAAAATTGATGAACGATCTATGATCGGAAAGTTTAACATCACACGGCTTGGCCGTCATGACCAGATTTTACTTGGGATTCCCTGGCTACACGCTATGGACCCAGTAATCAGATGGAAAGTGGAGACACTAGAACTCCCAAGGACCGAGAAAAGCAATCAAATTGAAGAAGAAGTTGACGCCGAGCGGAAGAAGAACAGACTCCCACCACTCTTTCAGAAAAAGAATTTAATGCCGAGAGAAGTTCCAGTTGTAGTGCTGCTGAAGGTGCCTCCTGGAGAAACAATTGTAACAGCGCCATCTAGAGAACCGACACCACAGGCTACTATCACAGAAATCCCAGACGAAGAAGCCCCACTGGTGCTGCCTAACCTTGAACCCATCCCTGATGACGATGATGACTCTTTTGACACCAAAGATGATGTATGGACCACGGACTACGCACCGCCAGTGCGTGAGATTGCTATGTACCACCTAGAGGACGATGAATTCTTAGTTGAATACCCCGCTGACACTTCCAAGCTTCGGGTCATCACTAATATTTCCATGGACACTCCGTTAACCAAAGACGGTACTAGCGTTGCAGAACAACGCCCTAAGGTTACACCCCTGACATGGCCGATGGAATACGTCAAAACTAGCAACAAGGCACAGCAGTTTGCACTAGCTGCAGGACTTGAGCAGAAAAAGAAATCGTTTGAAGAACTCATCCCCTCCTATCTTCACAACTTCATCGACATTTTTGCAAAAGATGGTCTCAACCAGTTACCACCCGAACAACCTGGAATAGATCATCGGATTGAAACAAAACCCAGCTTTATCCCCAAAACATCCAAGGTGTATCCATTATCAGAAGCAGAACACACAGCAGTCAAGGCTTTTATCGATGAAAATGTAAAGAAGGGATTTATCTCAGAATCGAAATCACCGCAAGCAAGCGGGTTCTTCTTTGTAGGAAAAAAGAGTGGAGATCTTCGCCCCTGTCAGGACTATCGGTACATCAACG